TGGAGGAACAATTCAACTCAACGCATATTTTTCACTCATTATTACACAAACATAGTTTGTTTGTGTTTTTTTTAATCCTCACCCGAGGACATTTTTCCATTTTTTGTTCAGATAGAGCGGGAGGGAGAGAGAGGAAGAGAGAGAGAGAGAAACATCGACGTGAAGGGACACATCGAGTGGCTGCCACCCGCACGACCAACCAGGGCCGGGGACAAACTGCAACCGAGGTACGTGCCCTTAGCGGGAACCGAACCCGGGTCTCTCTGTACCGCAGGCCGGCGCTCCAACCGTTGAGCCAAACCGGCCAGGGCACAAACATAGTTTTAATGATTACAGAAGAATATTCACTTATCTAGTTCTCTACTATTAAATATTTATTACTTTGCAATATTATAATTACCATGAACACCTTTATATAATGCTTTTTTGGTATCATTTTCTTAGAACAAATACCTAAAAATGAAATTGTCCTATCATTATAAGGTACATGATACATGCCATAGATATTTACAAGTATGAGAGGCATTTTTTGCTTTATTAGTAGTTTATTAAGCATATTTTCTCTTTGTGAATTATCTCGTTGAGTCATTTGCCCATTTAACTTGTAGTCTTAATGTTTTTATAAATTCATGTAACCAGAGTGATAATTGTACTTTTTCTTATATTTTCTGCAACAGTTTAGCAGTTTTCATTTGCCCTTTAATTTTGGTCTTGTTTCTTTTTAAAATTATAGAAAATTTTGCCCTGGCCGGTTTGGCTCAGCGGTTAGAGCGTCAGCCTGCGGTACAGAGAGACCCGGGTTCGGTTCCCGCTAAGGGCATGTACCTCGGTTGCAGTTTGTCCCCGGCCCTGGTTGGGCCGTGTGGGTGGCAGCCACTCGATGTGTCGCTTTCACGTCGATGTTTCTCTCTCTCTCTCTTCCTCTCTCTCCCTCCCACTCTGTCTGAACAAAAAAAATGCAAAAATGTCCTCGGGTGAGGATAAAAAAAAAAATAAAATAAAATAAAAAATAAAAAAATAAAAAAAAATAATAATAATAAAATTATAGAAAATTTTATTTTATTTTCTTCAGTGTTTTTTTCTGTTACTTCAACAATTGGCTTTTCCTTCTTCAGAGTTTGCTAAGTATGTAAATTCTGCTTTTTCCTGGATGTTTTTATTTTGTTTAAAAATATTTCACTATAATACACTTGTAATTTGCTTTGCTAAATGATACACTGTTGGAATCATTTTGTTTTTTATTGCTGGTGGTTCAAATTTTATTAATCACTGCTTTCCTCAGTGATTAAAAATGTCTTATATATTGAATTAAATTATTTTGGGATGGAGATCTATTACATGCATACTCTATTAAAGAGTTACAGTATTTTTTTTTTTAATCCTCACCTGAGGAAATTCCTCCATTTGTCTTCAGATGAAGTGGGAGGGAGGAAGAGGGGGAGAGAGAGAGAGAGAGAAACATCGATGCCAGAGAGATGCATCAATTGGTTGCCTCCCCCGCATAACCCCTACCAAGGCTGGGACTGAACTGCAGCCGAGGTACGTGCGCTTGACAAGAATTGAACTCAAGACTCTTTGGTCCTTGGGCTGATGCTCCAACAGCTGAGCCAAACTGGCCAGCGCGAGTTATAGTATGTTTTAATACCTGAAAAGAATATTGTCCTCTCCCTGTCTTTATTTTTCTTCCCTTTTCAGATTTTTTTGGTATTTTTGCCAGTTTATTTTTGCTTATGTGCTAGGAGCATTTGTCTCCATCTTCCACCCCTGCACTACTTCTGACATTTAAAAAAATTTATTTTATTAAATTTACAAGGAAAATAATTTGAGAAATTCTGAATATATATCATTTACTCTTCCCTTTAAAGTACTTGTTATGCTCGGGCTGGTTTGGCTCAGCAGTTAGAGCATCGGACAGTGGACCAAAGAGTCTCAGGTTCAATTCTGGTCAAGGGCACATACCTCGGATGCAGTTTGTCCCTGGCCCTGGTCAGGGTTGTGCAGGAGGCAACTAGTCGATGTGTCTCTCTCACGTCGATGTGTTTCTCTCTCTCTCTCTCTCTCTCTCTCTCTCTCTCTCTCTCTCTCTCACACACACACACACACACACACACACACACACCCCCCTTCCTACTCTTTCTAAAGATAAATGTAAAAATATCTTTGGGTGAGGATAAAAATAAAGTACTTGATGTTTGTCACCCGGCCAGTGTGTCTCAGTGGACTGAGCGTCGTCCTATGGACTGAGAGGTCCCTGTTCAATTCCCTATCAGGGCACATGCTCGGGTTGTGGGCTCGATCCCCAGTAGGGGGTGTGCAGGAGGCAGCCAATAGATGTTTCTCACATCAATGTTTCTATCTCCTGCCTCCCTCTCTGTCTAAAAAATCAATGATATTTTAAAAATAAGTAAAGTACTTGATGTTTTTCTATATTGTTTCAACTCTTTTTATTTTTATAAAACTTGTAGTTTTTCATATAATTCAGAAAAATGATTTACTATTGTTATTCCTTATATGTGTATATTAGTTTCTAGTGATTTTTGTTTGATTCTTTTTCTGTTAACAGTCAAACTTCTTACTATTTCCTCATTGCTTCTATCTGGAAGTACTATTGATTAGTGTTTATCTTATATGTAGTTGTTTTACTTTTATCAATTCTAACACTTTTCAGTGGACTGATTTGCATTTTCTGGGTGAACAATTATATTATACAATAATGATTTTATCACTTTTTAAAAATATTTCTTGTAACTATTTCACATGTAACTTGGTCAGATAGAGTATCTGAAAACTAATATTAAATAAGAGAGATAATGGAAGACATACTTTCTGTTGTTGTTATTCCTGAATGTATTATATGTACTTCTGGTGTTTTACCATTAATTATTATGTTGTCTGAGAGCTTGAAAATCAATCATTTTTAAGTAAGCAGAATTACTGTACTTTTGTTTTGATTTATTGTGGGACTTGGGGTAGTATTTGGAATTGGTACCTACAGAGATTATTGCATGGATTTATTTTAATTTCACCTGTTAAAATAAAGCATTTTTTGCACACTTATTAATACATTTACTAATATTAAATCACTTTAAACAACTGTAGTAAAACCTATTATTTTGCTGTTGATTTTTCTTTTGTACATATCATTTCATTTTGTTTGTCAGCATTCCTTTTGGCTTTTTATATCCTTATCAATAAGTGACATTTTGGTGGTATATTTGTTAGGGTTTGATTTCAGGGTAATTTTTGTTTGAAATATCTAGAACATGCTGTTACTATTCCAACAACCAAACTACACTAAACGGAACAGCAAACTAAAAGTGTTCTTTAGGTGATTAGAAAAATGAAAGAATAGTATAGAAGTCCCTCCTTATCCACAGGGGATAGGTGCCAAGACCCCCAGAGGATGCCTGAGACTGTGGATAATAGTGAACTCTATGTGCACTGTGTTTTTTCTACACATGTATACGTATGATAAAGTTTAACTTATAAATTAGGCACAGTAAGAGATTAATAACAATAATAATAAAAGAACAATCACAACACTATTGTGTACTGAAAGTTATGTAAAATGTAGTCTCAGTGAGTACTGCACTATACTCACTCATCTTCTTGTGATATGTGAGATGATACAGTGCCTACGTGATGAGATGAAGTGAGGTGGATGATGTGGACATTACTATTAGGCTAGTATAAAGGTTACTTAAACACAAGCACTGTGACCATCGAACTGATAACCGAAACAGCTAAGTGACTAAGGATAGTAAGGTATACAGCATGCCTACGCTGGATAAAGGGATGATTTACATCCTGGCAGAATGGAGCAGCCTAGTGTCCTTTTGACTTAAATCAACTACTGTTACCAGTTTTTCAGCCCTTAATACCAGCTTCAGCAAAGGACACAGTGTCCTCCAGAGCTTGATTCCTTATTGTCACTAAATATAAGCCCATAGGTCTTTTGGGTTTTTTAAGTTTTATTGTAGATCACTTGAGAAAACAGATCACAAAGCTCTGGAAATCTTACAGTCATAATCTCTCTGTTTCTGTTTATGCTTTAGCCACTAACTGGAAGAGCCTTTGGACTTTACATTTTCTTTTTTCCCTTACTACTGAGAGTGTATTTCAACCTAATTTTTTTTTTTTTTTTTTTTTTTTTTTATCCTCACCCGAGGACATTTTTCCATTTTTTGTTCAGGTAGAGTAGGAGGGGGAGAGAGGAACAGAGAGAGAGAGAAACATCGACGTGAAGGGACACATCGAGTGGCTGCCACCCACACGACTGACCAGAGCCGGGGACAAACTGCAACCGAGGTACATGCCCTTAGCGGGAACCGAACCCGGGTCTCTCGGGACCGCAGGCTGACGCTCTAACCGCTGAGCCAAACCGGCCAGGGCTCAACCTAATTTTTTAAAAGGTGGCTTTCAACCAGATTTCTTTGTCTTTATGTCCTACCTAAATGTAAAGAGACCTATCTTTTTTTTTTTCTAGAGTGAATATGAAGATGTTAGATTAGACCTTTGTCACTACTCCCTGGATATTGCAGAAGCCCTCTCTTTTCTTTTTGTACATTTTAGCTCTACCATCCCCTCCCCTGATTTAATCGTTGAAAAACACAAATGTATTTATTACCTTTTATTGGTTCCACATCAGAAACAAGATGCAGGTAGATTTTTCCCTCATTCCATATACCAACAATAATTGTATATAAATTAAAAATTTAAGTATAAAACAAATAATTATTTAAGTACCAGCAGAAAATATAGACATATAATCTTGTTGTGAAGAAGACTGTAAAATACACAATAGTAAAGGAATATACATTGAGAAAAAAATTGCAGCATGTGGCAGACAAAAGATTAACAGCCTTTAATAAAGAGCTATTTTTATGTGATAATATACAAAAATAGTATTTAGCTATATGAATAGTCCTTTATAGTATAGAAAGAAATTACTTAATATTTGACTATTCTTATAGACGAACTAATCTTTTATTCTTTTATAGCAAAAACAAATTAGTTACTCACCAGGAGTATATAGTATAGAACATCAGCAAGAGATAACTAAACTGAAGACAGACTTGGAAAAGAAAAGTATCTTTTATGAGGAAGAATTATCCAAAAGAGAAGGAATACATGCAAATGAAATAAAAAATCTGAAGAAAGAACTACATGATTCAGAAGGCCAGCAACTTGCTCTAAACAAAGAAATTATGATTTTGAAAGACAAATTGGAAAAAAACAGGAGAGAGAGGTAAGACTCAAGTTACTTACCCCTCTAATAAATAGTTATTGGATGCCTATTATGTGCTAGAGACTAGAGTTACACAGGCAATAAACATGTTCCAATCCTCAAGAAGACTATAGTCAAGATTGGTAAATAGAAAATTATAGTACAGCTCTATAGGAAGCAGTGGATGTGAAGAGGAACATCCGTGGAAGAGGCACCGAAGATGACTTCGGTACATCTAGGGTTTTTTGGACAAAATGATGTTTAAGTTAAGACCAAAGAACTATGTAACTGTAGAACAGTGTTTGAGTAGAGGCTTCAGAATGTGCTAGGATCTACAGGATAAGGGGAATATGGCACATTCAGAAAATGAACAATGTTCATTATGGTGAAACATAAAAGGAAAGGTGAGCATGGTGAGAAATGAGGCTGGAAAGGAAAATAGAGGCATGCTCAGGAAGGAATGTAAGGAACTTGGACTTCATCTAAAGGCCGTTGCAGGAAAGTAACATGATTATATTAATATTTTTAAAAGATTACTCTTGCAACTGTGTGGATAATAGATTGGAAGGAGCAGACAGTAGATAGGAATCTAGCTGTGAGAGATGAGGTGGGTGGACCTTAGGTAGTGATAAGGAAGATGCAGAGAAGTAGACAGAACTTATCATTATCATTGTCAACTTATATTAGAAGACTAAGTTTATTCAGTTTGGTACATACATTCAACAGAAGTGTTTTAGAACCTACTATGTGCAAAGACATTGGGAACATGGCAGTGAACAGAAAAAAATTATCTGTCCTTATGGAGCTTTTCTTTAGTTATGGTGAAAAACTACAAACAATAAGTAACATACCAAACGTAATGATAAATGTCAAGAACAAAAAATATGGCAAAAGATGGGGGCTATGGAGCATTAAGGGGAAAGATTTAATTATATGTATAAAATGGCCAAGGACCAGTTTGGCTCAGCGGTTAGAGCGTCGGCCTGCGGTCCGGAGAGACCCGGGTTCGGTTCCCGCTAAGGGCACGTACCTCGGTTGCAGTTTGTCCCCGGCCCTGGTTGGTCGTGCGGGTGGCAGCCACTCGATGTGTCCCTTCACATCGATGTTTCTCTCTCTCTCTCCCTTCCTCTCCCTCCCTCCCACTCTATCTGTACAAAAAATGGAAAAAATATCCTCAGGTGAGGATTAAAAAATAATAATAATAAAATGGCCAAGGAAAATTATATGGAGAAGGTGATTTCTTCTTTTTTTTTAATCCTCACCCAAGGATATTTTTCCATTGATTTTCAGATAGAGTGGGAGGGAGGGAGGGAGGGAAGAAGGGGAGGGGGGCATTGATGTGAGAGAGACACATCGCCTGGTTGCTTCCCACACGACCCTGACCAGGTCTAGGGACCCAACTGCAACTGAGGTATGTGCTCTTGACCGGAATTGAACCGGTGATTCTCCGGTCCATAGGCTGACACTAACTGCTGAGCCAAACTGGTCAGGGCTAGAGAAGGTGATTTTTCAGTGAGGACTGAAGATAGTGGGAGAGGTATCTCTACAGATGTATGAAAAGAACATTTTACATGGAATAGAACGAATCTGTTAAGAATAATAACAGGAAGGCAAAATTATGTAGACAGTAAAAAATAAGTGGTTTCCAGGAGGTGGGGGTGGGGGATGAATAGGCAGAGCACATAGGATTTTTAGGACAGTGAAACTGTTCTGCAGGATACCATGATAGGGGTACATGTTATTACACATTTGTTCAGACACTAATGATGCATGACACCAATAGTGTTGTGTGTGTATATCTATGTATGTAGGTAGGTATTAGGTAAGAAGGAAAGAAGGAAGGAAATAGCAGAGGAAGAAAGGGTTGAGTGTATTGAGATAACTGTTGGAAATTTAATTGTGAATTTTCTATGCTATTAAGAGCTGAGTATAAGGATTCATATTGTGGTTCATATATCCTCTTAACCTCCTCATTTTCCCATACTTTCTAGTATATGCATAACCAAATAAGTGAACATGATCTAGAAGTCTACAAATCACAGATGTCTTCCTCAGATTTTCCATTGGAAAACAAAGTAGATGTTATTAAATAGACAAATCTATTATTTAAAAGGAAACGATTGTGATTTTTAACTTTAAGGGAAAAGATTGGGATTTGGAATAATCAAGATCTAAGTGACTTTTCAGGATAAAGCATATGGTACCATAGCCAAGCAGGGACACCATAAGTTTACCTTTAATTCTATTCTCTCATGTTTTCAATTGTGTTAGTCAAAGTGAAAGGGAAGAATTTGAAAATGAATTCAAACAGCAATATGAACGAGAAAAGGTGTTATTAACTGAAGAAAATAAAAAATTGACAAGTGAACTTGATAAGGTGAGTGATTCAATCTAACTCATGCATTGAGCACATGCTAGATGTTCAGCACTGTAAAACTTTATATTTGGTGTACATTTTTGTTTAATATTTCTCCTTATATGTAAGGATTGCTTGTTGGTAAAGGCAATTTCTCATTGTACCAATCTGTACAGTAGTAGTCTAGAGAGAGGATTTTGCTTATCTTATATTTTGTCCCATTTATTTTTTTGACCCTCTATTCTTTTTTTATTTTTGTTTTATATGTTTTTATTGATATTTTGGAAACAGGAAGGAAGAGAGAGAGAGAGAGAGAGAAACATCAATGTGAGAGATACATTGATCAACTGCCTCTTGTACTCACCCCCAGCTGGGGATCGAGCCTGCAACCCAGGCATGTGCCCTGACCAGTATCGAACTGGGACCTCTCAGTCCATGAGACAATGCTCAATCCACGGAACCACACCAACTGGGTTGAGCCTCGGTTCTTTACTTCACTTCCCATTTATTTTATTTTCTACTCTTTACCTCCATTCTGTCATGGCTAAGTTAAAGCTGGCCCTTGAAACAATGAGGCCAAACTGGAGAAGTTTTAACAACTATAATATCATATTTGTGATGGAGAACTGATAATAGCTAGAAATAATAGTGTTGGTCTGTAAGAATTCAAAGAAACCAACTCTTTCTGCACTCTGTGACTTGAATAAAGAGCAGAACCAGAGATTTAAACCTGTAAGTGGCCAGATTAACAAACTTTCAAATGCTTGAAGGAATATTTTTCCATTTAGTGTATCAGATTTCTCAAGTGGCCATCATTCTGCATTTCTTGTTTTATCCCTTGCAAATGGTCTTAAAAATCCTAATAAGCAGAAATAAAATAATGATTTTATTTACATTTAAATAGGGTTTGGATAATTGTGTTTTACAATGATTTCTAGGATTTTCCTCTAATAAAAATATTATGTTCAATTATTAATCATTCTGGTAACAGACTGAAAGACCATGGCTAAATAGAATCTTGGTCAGTAGAGTTTTGGCTGCCTTCTTATCTCCCAGTGCTTTTCTGCAAATGAATACTGTGGGAAGTATTCCTATAGTATGAAAAACATTTTTTATCCAGTCTATGGTGTTTCTGCTCTAGTAACCTGAATGGACTAAGCTAGAAACCTATAAATAAGAGACTTGGAAAATGCAACAACCTTATTAAGCCATGTTTTCTGCTGGTGTCATTCAGTTTACCAGACTCTTTAACTTTTTTGATATTTTGAGATAGCTGGAAATTTGAACAGTTACTACCTATATGATGATATCAAGAAACTTGTTAAATTTGTTAAGTGAGATAATATTATGGTTATATTTATTGTGTAATCCTCACCTGAGGATATTTTTCTATTTATCTTCAGACAGAGTAGGAGGGAGGGAGGAGGGGGACAGAGAGGGAGAGAGAAAGGGAGAAAAAGATCAACGTGAGAGGGACACATCGATTGCCTGCCTCCCGCATGACCCTGACCAGGGCCGGGGACAGAACCGCAACTGAGGTACATGCCCTTGACCGGAATTGAACCCACAACTCTTTGGTCTGCCGGCTGACGCTTCAACCGTTGAGCCAAACCGGTCATGGCTGTGGTTATATTTAAAGGGAGCCTGTTTTCTGGAGATATCTATACACAGAAATGTATATAGATAAAATTATATGATGCCTGGTATTTGCTTCAGAATAATACAGGAGGACAGATAAGAAAACAGGAGTACAAATAAGTTAACATTCACATTGTGATGATAATTGTTGAGGGTGAATGATGGGCTCATGGGCAGTCACTAATACTATATGTTCATTCTTATATAGCCTTGAAATTCTTTATACGTTTTTTAAAAAAGAGGATGACATAGAGACAGTTTCAGACAAAAAAATTAGATGTTACTGGCAGAATTGGAGAGTTCTTCAGGCAAATAGGGAATATTCACAAATGGGACTGATTCAGTGTGGGGAATAAGAGGGCCGAAGGAGAATTCAGAGAGTTTTGATGTTTCCAAATCTGTGACCAGAAAGGTAAATAATAAGGGATCAATAAAATAAGCATTTTAAAATGGAATATGGTGAATTTAAGATTTAACAAGAGGCATCTGAGCACCGTGAGTTCCTATTCCTAAAAGTCCACGTGTCTTACAACTGCCTTTCAGCTTACCACTCTGTATGAGAACCTAAGTGTGCGCAACCAGCAGCTAGAAGAAGAAGTAAAAGATCTGGCAGACAGGAAAGAATCAGTTGCACATTGGGAAGCTCAAATCACAGAAATAATTCAGTGGTGAGTATTCTTTTAAATGTGTTTTTGTGGGTGATTTTAGACATAGGCTCAAGTTGGTATGAATTTCAGGAGGCAACTAACAAGTTACCTTATTTTTTGCTATGAAAAAATAAGTTACTCTAAAAGCATAGTTTTATTACTGATGTTATTTATTACTCATCCGTGTTCTATATTTTCCATTACATTCCCTAACTCCAGCAGAATACCCCATGTCATCTTTTACACAGATCACTGAAACCTGGTATTTCTTTCTAACAAAAGAAACTGTTTTTCTCTCCTAAGACAATTGGTCTTTAAAGAACAGAAGAAACTCATTCACTACTTATAGATGTTCCTTCCTAAGATCAAAATTGCTGTATTTGTGATTATTTGAAGGAACAGAAAGCCTGGAGAAACATTTAGAAACTGAAGTTGCGCTATCACCTTTCATAATTGTTATTGGTTGATTCACACATGGCAATTTAAAAACCTTAAATGGGTACAGTTTAGTTTTATCAACTGTTCTTTCAATTAAGCTCTTAGCATTTAATTTGAAATAATTACCTTAGTGACCTTCATATTAATTCATTCATTAAAATGAATTTGTAAAAATTTGTATATATTTTTAATACATGCAGGAAGTGAAATCCAGTGGGGACTTTATTTTCTAATGAAAATAATTTAGTTTTTTTATATTTAATTTCTAACTTTTTTACTTTTTGGCAAATCATGGTTATTTAATTTATCTGAAAACAACTTGTTTCTTCATATATTTATAGACCAGTCATCATTCAGTAGGAATTTTTGTTTCTTGTGCTCTTATTTTGGTTCTTTAAGCATTTTTTCCATTTTCCTTACTTTTGCCAGATCAATACCCTCCTTCTTAAAATTAAAGTGAATAAACACTCTTTTAAGAAATCATACCCAAATGACTCAAGTATCGTGATATTGCCTTAACTGTGGAGCTGTTATGTTAACTCATCTTGAGCTTAATAATGTGACTATTCAGTAAATATCTAAAGGAAAATGTCCCAATTGTGGAATTCTGGTTGTGTTCCACACAGTACAGTAAAATAGTTCATTAATGTTTAACTTATGTCCTTGTAATCAAGTCTACATTTCTGAAGCAAAATCATTTTAATATTTAGTCAAGCTTATATAAAAAATTATGACTATTTATTTGTAACTCCATTATTATATAATCAAATTTATAATTAGGGTATGGCTGACAATGACTTTATAGACGAGAAAGCTGATCTGGCCAAAGCCTAAGCTCCTAGACCACTGGTCTTTCCAGGGAGTGGGCCTGGTAAAGGCAGGAAGCTTTAAATGTGGCCTCTCTGGGAAGGATTGGTAGACAGGAGAAAAGTGAAAGTTTTAAAAAAATCCACAAAATACTCATTTTACATTTTTCATATTCAATTGAAATATTCAGACGAGGAATACAAGGAAGTCACTTTGCTTAAAAGCTGTTATTTAGAAATTTAAATGTTATTTAGAAATAACAAATTATTAAATACTTAATAGGCTAAAAGAAAAAGATATACTTCCTGTTCTCACCTATTTGAAAATTAGCTCTCTGAGATATTCTATCCAAGCTTATGAAAGTCAAGGGTCTCGAGCTATTTAGAGTTTTTTAGTGTGATATATTAAAAAATGAAGTAATGCCAAAACAAAGATTTGGAAACTTGTAGTATATAGTAGTACCCACTTATCTGTGGTTTTGCTTTCCGTGGTTTCACTTACCTGTAGTCAACCTCAGTTTGAAAATATTAAATGGAAAATTGCAGAAATAAACAATTCATAGCTTTAAATTGGGCGCTGTTCTGAGTAGTGTGATGAAATCTTACATCGTCCCACTCCATTCATCCCGTCCGAGACATGAACCATTCTTGACAATTCAGGAGTCTAAATTCTAAAGATGCTAAAACAAGATTTAGGATTAAATTTGTATGCTGTATGCATCATAGATACATGTTAATTTTTCTGAAATAAACATTCCTCGTAGGTATTCAGTGGCCTAAACTTTATCTTTGGAAACAACCAACCCGCACAAAGCAAATAGTCTTTTCCAAAGTGTATTAGAATATATGAACATTGCAAATTTTAATGTTTGTCTTTTGGAATTATAGCTTTCTGTATACAAATGATTTTCATTCTTGAGAATGGGACCTTTTGTAGATTTTCATATGCTGGCCCTCCCTGCCCATGGTCTTCCCTTTGTTTTGGAGGAGATGTAACAAAAGTCAAATTTTCTTTTGAGAAATTCTAGTATATGGAATTTTTTTTATTAAATATAATTTATAAACATTTCTACCTAAAGTCATAATAGCTGTATTAGCAAGATAGTCTTAATTAAAGACAGTAAATGAAAACCAAGTTTCAATAAACTTTAATCTTTTCTCTTTGATTGTTTTATTTACCATTTTAGAAAACAGAAGAGCTTTAATACAACTTTGATTTTTACAGAATATGCTATTTTAAATTAAACTTTCTAAATACAGTGTACTCCAGCTTCAAGAAAGGTGTATTATGTTTTTTATAACATAAAATGGCAGAATCTAATTAATGAGAAATCTTAATATTCTTTGAAAATCATGAGAGGGGGAGTTTAATGTTAGATTAGAAGAGTGTTAATTCTGTGGTTCCTGGTGAAATTTTACTGATTTATCAGGTATGAGTAACTTGGACTTTCCTAAACATGGGCAGCTTTAACTTGTTCAGTGAACCTCTTTCCACTTGTTGACAGATGGTAGTACTGTGGTAGAACTTTTGAAAGAAGGTATTTTAGAACATCTTTAAATTTCTATCACATTTCACTTAATTCTTTATGATGCTTTAAAATAATATAGATCTCACTCAAGTTTTTCTTTTTGTTTTACTTTTGTGCTTTATATCTGTCTTTATATGTATGTATTTTAGGGTCAGTGATGAAAAGGATGCCCGAGGATATCTTCAGGCCTTAGCTTCTAAAATGACTGAAGAGTTAGAAGCATTAAGAAATTCCAGCTTGGGTACACGAGCAACAGTAAGCCATCATTCTGCTCAGAAACTTATCATAATGGGGGCAGGAAGAGGCTCAGAAGCATGATAATAAATCTGAGTACTGCCCTGGCCGGTTTGGCTCAGCAGCTAGAGCATCAGCTTGCTCCAAAGGGTCCTGGGTCCTATTCCCAGTCAAGGGCATGTACCTGGATTGCAGGTTTGATCCCTGGGGCCCCAATGGGGGTCATGCAGGAGGCAGCCAATTGATGTCTCTCTCTCACATCGATGTTTCTCTCCCTCCCTCCCTCCCTCCCTCCCTCTATCCCTTCCACTCTATCTAAAAAAGCAATGGAAAAATATCCTCAGGTGAGGATTTAAAAAAAAAATCTGAGTACTTATATCAGTTGGTCTAGGTTTTAACCTACTGTAAAGTTTTTCATGAATAATCAATTAGTCCAAGTCTTTTCCAGTTTAGGCAATCATAATACGTAGCTGCTTAACTATAATTTGTATAGCTAGCCATTATTGGTAATAAGTATAAAAAATAAACATTTATATTTGAGTCTACATTTATTTCTGAATTTAATGAAAAATATATTTTGATAAGTATTCTATTTTGTTATTAGAGTAAAATGATGCTTTTAAGTAGTTTCCAACTTCACTTGAATTACTAAACTTAAATATAAAACGTGAAATAGAGCTAAAAAGTTGTATTTCATAGGATATGCCCTGGAAAATGCGTCGTTTTGCAAAACTGGATATGTCAGCTAGACTGGAGTTACAGTCAGCTTTGGATGCAGAAATAAGAGCTAAACAGGCCATCCAAGAAGAGCTAAATAAAGTTAAAGCATCTAACATCATAACAGAATGGTAAGATTAAATGATATAGCCCTATTAGAATAACTTCTATGTTGGTCCAGAAGTATTTGGAGAGAAGTTACATGTTTAGTTTCCTAACACCTTTTTTTTTTTAAGTGATAACCAGCAAAGGTTATGAAGGTTTGAAAATGAATAGATGCTTTTGGACCTTTCATGCAGTGATAGGCTTGCAATGCACCCTTGTTTTCCTCTGATTCGACCGTAAAATGGAATGAATAGTACTAATTAATATTGCATTTTAATGTTGTTTACGTTTCCTCTTATTTGTAAGATTTATTTGCTTCTCAAACTGTATTCCATTAAATCCCCAATTCTCTCATGTTCAAGAATACCACATAGTATAAAAGTGCAACATGTAGTTAGAACAAAGTACAGTCATCTGAAATTCTGGTCTGTACCATGTGTCTTCTACAAATGAAGGTCCTTTTGATGGTAAATTTCATAATGGTGTAATATATTTTAATTGTTGTTCATGTTCTTTTATGTGTAAAAAAGAAAACAGTATATCCCCACAGCCTCTGGGAAAGTTAGCTAATGAATACGTTCTCTCAGTTCTTTTCGCAACAGTAAAGCAATTTGCGCTCTGGATGAAAAAAATTGTCAAATGAAAATCATAATTGGATTGGATCTAAACATGGTTCAAGAACAAGTTAGTGTAGATGACATAGAGGAACAATGGAGAGTTCATGTTACAAATCAAAGTTTTTAAATAATTTGTTTTGGTGATTTAAAGGTATTCAGTCATGAAAATAAATATAGTCATAAATTCACTTTTGAATGGTGTGAAGCCTTAGTCTTTAAACTGCAGCCATTGGTGTTTTGAATCAAATCAGAGACCAGATACATGGCAGCCCACTTGAACTATAAATTCTTGATATAAATAATCTAGACATAAATTAAGTGTGCTTTACTTAAATGTGCTAGTATGACATAAAAAAGGAAAAAAGGAAAAAGCTTTTTCTGGGGAATATGAATTGGCTGCCAGCATAAAGCTGTTGAAGAAGAAGGAAAAAGGCCCTGGGGGGAGTATTCATCACAGTGTGAAGGAACAGGCTTGTACTCCCTCACCTCCTGGTCCTACTTCCAGCTGAGGAGTGGTGCATATATACCTAACCCAGGGGAGCTGTGCTCCGCACTTCACCACCTATGGTCTAGGACGTGGATTCGAGTATGGTGGATTTGAAATAAACTGATTGAAACTTCCTCAGGGCTCCAGAAAGTGAAGAATAGAACTTTTACTTCCATCACTAGCAGACTAAGGCCCCTTTAGTGTGGGCTATAGGGCTACAAAGAGAACCTACATGTAGATGTCCAGCTAGCTACCAGTAGTGTTGATTTCACAGATGACTGTAACTGCCTAACTATACAACCTAACACGAACACACACACACGCTTTTCTAGCAAGAGGAAGAGTCCAGCATCTGGGTTACATATTTAAAGCAGCTAGTGGGGTGGTACATAGTAGGAGCTTATTAGAGTTAGTTCTCTTTGCTATTAAAGAGAGAAAAAGAAAATCTATGGAAAGATCACAACATATGTAAATAGCCTTGTGCCAAGTCCTATTAAAAAATACATGGGCCCTGACCAGTTTTGCTCAGCGTTTGGAGCATCAGCCAGCAGACCAGAGGGTCCTGGGTTCGGTTCCCACTAGGGGCATGTACCAAAAAATAAAAATAAAAAATACACGGAAGTCCAGAAGCAGGTCCAGGTCACTGGCTGCTCCAAGGAGAAGAGACCAAGGAAGGAAACCTGCTGGTTGGCCCCAGCCTAGAGCTAGGCTCAGAGACAAGTCAAAACCCCAAGCAACAGTGGGACTGAAATGAGAGACACCTTGCAAGGACATCTAATCACTTCTTTAGTGCCAGCTCTTGGAGGACGGAAATGCCAGTCTGTACACTCCACCACAGCTTCCCCGTACCTTCCACATTTAGGATGAATCACTGAGGTCATTTCCTAAATAAACATTCTCTTTAATTGCCTGGAGTAAACTGTAAAGAAACAACTTTTAAGTGAATAGAATCCAAAAATATTCTTGGAAACCTTCAATATTGGGTCAGGGAGCTTTGACAAAACATACAGTGAAATCATCAATCACTGTTGGATGGAGACCACATTACAGCTCCAGTGTGTGCTACTTACAAACTGCACAAATAGGAAACAGCGTCACATTGCCACTTGGGAAGGTGGAGAGATGATGGAGGAAATCTAACTGAACCTCATGGTTTCACCTTCAGAATATTGCCAAGGAGGATGAAAACCTGAAAACACAGATTAGGAAGGACCAACGAAACATCTCCCAAAACTCAGAAAAAAACAAGCAAAGAAAATAGGGAAAAAATCCAGTAGCATAGTAGTAATGTGTAATCAGTGTGAAAAGCTATTATTTCTTCCCTGGGAAATAATAGACGAGCTAACCTCTGAGGATGAGAAAAGTGAGGAGAGATGGCCAAGTTTGGCCAGTACGACTGTGTCCAAGAGATGCACACACCCATTCTGAGATGGGATTTATATTGGGCCCTGATAAAGATTAAAGTTAAAAAAAAAAAAAAGAGTGTCATTCTCTGTGTTATAATTTGGAAAGACTGATTTTCTTCTCATGCCTAGGATATATAAGTTTGTTCATAAATCAGGGATATGAGTCAAGCTGAAATTTATAAACATATATATGCTCTACTTTCATGGTTCTCTGTGAAAGAAGTCTAACAGAATTCTAAAGTTAACTTTTGATTTTACGCCATTTTAAAATTTAATATTTAGCTCAGGGTCAGCAACTTTTTCTGTACAAGGCCAGATAGTAAATATTTTTGGACCATGGAGTCTCCGTCTACTCCACTCTGCTGTCATGGCAGAGCCACCATGGACAATATATGACCTAATGAGCCTGGTTGTGTTCCAGTAAAACTTTATTTACACCAGAGTAGATCACAGCCTGGATTTGCTCTTCTGGTAGTTTGCATTTCCCTAGTGTAGCGTGACTAACAGTCCAACCAAATAATTGATGGCTCACTAACCAGCAATAAAAATAATGACATTTTTTTCTTTTTTCCCCTTATTTAAGTAAACTAAAAGATTCAGAGAAGAAGAACTTGGAACTACTATCAGAAATCGAACAACTGATAAAGGACACTGAAGAGCTTAGATCTGAAAAGGGTATGGGAATGTTTTTTTTTTGTTTTTTTTTCCCTTCAGTCAGGACTTAATATTCTGTTATGAATACATTTTATTACACAAGATTCAGTTTATTGTGTAGATGGAAGAATTGTTCATTTAAGCAGTTCTGGCATCCATTTATGGAATATGTGTGTGTATGATATATACACTCATATTTGGTAGACTGGTCTCTGAGTCCTTTGTTTTACTTAAAGTACATTGTTTAAAGATTTGATTGTAATAGAAGAACTCACCTTGTGATAAATTTAACTGCTTTTTCTTTCTTTCAGTGCTATGAACTATTTCACAAATATTTTTGTGATTGGAAAAAAATTAGTTTATAATATACTTTATATTATTCTCATGTATTATAGGGAATTCACTCCCAGCATATTTGAAGAAACACTGTATGAAATAACTAAAGCTTAATCTAATCCAATGTTAAAAGAGCAATTCAAAGATAAAGAATTATTTTGCCATTTCATTGTCTTCTTCCATGTTTGATTCTTAAATTTCTCAGGATTTTTCCCATTTCCTTGTAAACATTACTTAAGCATTTTTTCCATTAATGTGAAAAGCAACTCAGAGTGCTTGGTAGCTCTATTACATGAACTTCTTAAACTTTCCTTCCATAATGTTGGTGTTAAGATAAAAATTTAATAGAAAGAAATTCAGAATTTTTTTAAAGGGGTCTCTTATATGCAGTTATGAGAAATTTGTTTCCCTGACAAAGTTGGTGTTCCTGACTGAATACTGACCTAGGTAATGGGCCTTGTGTTATGCTTGTGTGTTTCCCTGCCATTTCCCAGCCCTGGACAGTGATGTAAAGCCAGTTGGGTCTCTGCATCTGCTTTAAAATTGTGGAAGAAAGAAGGTAATCACATAAAGGAGTTAACACAGAAAAACCATTAAAAGTAGTAGATGTGCAATAAATGTTTGTTGATTGAATTTCCTAGTGGACAAGAAAGGAAGGAACCCAGAAAAAATGAATTAGGGACTCGGACTAGGAGCACAAGGCATCATGCTGAAATGAGGTCAAGCATAACTTTTTATACATGAAAAATAGAAGGGAACTGTATTATTTAGAGAGTAAAGGAAAAAGAATGTAAGGCATGGAGGACTTGTGACCCGAAGACAGTTTAAGTAGAAAAGAGACCAGTGCAGAGGATGACTTACTGTCGCACACAGAGGACGGTGACTGCATCATTTTTGGAGTAGATCTAAGCTTACAAAAGAAAAAACTTAGTTTATCACATTGCTTTCTTTTGAAAACATGTTAACCTATAACTTTTTATTTGGATTTTGAACATTGTAGAATAATAAAATTTTATTATATGTTGTAACATAATGTGTTATACTACTTAATATAATGTAATATTTACATAATGAGGGGAAGGTTCTTTTCTGCTTTATTTACTATCATATTCCCAGTGTCTAGATGGACAGCACATAATAGGCTCTCAAATGTTTATTGACTGAATGAATTTTTGAACATACTGCTTTATCTGGCAACTACGGTATATTATTAGAGAGTAATATAAAAATCAAACATTCGTTGTTGTTAGTTCCTGAGGATATGGAATAAAAAATGTGTACTTGGTTATATCTTCTCTTTCCTCCCTAGTATTTATCATTATATGTATATTTTAAGAATTATTTTGGAAATTATGCATTTAAAGTTAATACCACAGCCAAGAGATATTCATTCATTCTGTAAATAAAACAATACCTGAAATCAGATTGAGGCTTTGACAAAAGTTTTTTTTCATAACTATATTTGTTTTATGAATGCATTGTTTTTTTTATAAAAGATTATATATGTTAACTCATTCTATATGATAAGAATATTTCAAAACAGAAACCTTATTTAGTGATAAATTATCTTTAAAAAATCAGATATAATCAGGGGTCTATTTTTAAAATTCTCTCAAGTCTACCAAAAGATTTAATGTGTTTTTTTATAATGTACTATATGGGAAAAGAAAGAAATTTAAGAACTCCAGTAAGTTCAAGAAACAAGTGTTTCATGGAGAATGATATAATTTGACTATTCCAAGAAACATTATTGTAATTCTTTTTAAATATGTAGAGGTAAAATTGATCAGCTTTAAAATACAGTAGTTTGCAAACAACTTTTAATAGATTCAGGCAGGAAAGGTTATCCATGAAAATTAGTTTTTTTGTTCTAGTTTTAAGAAAAGTTGCTGCTGTCTTCTAGGTATAGAGCACCAAGACTCACAGCATTCTTTCTTGGCATTTTTGAATACGCCTACCGATGCTCTGGATCAATTTGAAGTAAGTATTAAGCTTTTCATATATCCTTTGGGGTCCATTTAAAACTTGCTTTGTGATTTAAAATTCACTTGCAGTTAAACTTTTATTGCACCCCACATGAGAGGACATAGACTCTTATATATTTAAAAATATAATAGGAAAGGAACATGTTGTACATTCTTATAGAAACTGCAATCACTTTTGTATTTAAGAAAACATGTAAGAAAGGTCTACATATGAGAGTTAAATGATTTAAAAGCAATTTCACCTCTTCCCCTGAGAAACAGTAAGTGCAGAACAAATCCTGACTTTGAAATAATTTTGACTCTTCTTTTTTCTCCAAATCATAGAGCCACAGTAAAAAGCAATTGGAAATGTTGAAGTTCACAATAGGGCAATGCTGGTTCTAATTCCAAATTAATTCAGTTTTTTTAGGAGTATATAATAGGAATGCTCAAAAAAAATTATTACAAAGAGTGTATTAGGCATATTCCATATAACAAAATAGTGATTATATGACTATCATTCTTTGGTACTTAAATTCTTTGCTTAAAAAAAACAAAAAAACCTTTGTGATATAAAGTATATCTTTGCCTCAGAAAATTTAAATTAGTGATTATATCTTTAGTCAACAATGCAAGTCCTCATTCTAGGTGCTGGGGATACAGCAGTGACCAAAGAGACAAAGTTCCACCCTCAAAGAGTTTACCTTCCAGTGGGAACAATTAGAGCCAGAGATTATTTCTTTCTTTTAGTTGTTACTTTCGAAAGTGCTTACACTGAATTTGATTAATTGATTTGCCATGAGCTTCATTTTACTGCATTTTGGGCACAACAAATGAACTATTTTTCATTCCTTTGGGAAAGGGAAAAAGAATCACTGTTTAAAAAGTAATTAATGAATTTCTAAGTTTCTTGAGAAACAATGACAGTGACTGCTTTTCTCATTTATTTATTTGAATTAATGTCATTTGCCTTTCAATTGTTTTGCAAAATTTTTGATTTATTATTATTACTAAATTGCTTCATCCATATTTTCTATTTTTTTATTGCTGTATTCGTTAAATAGGATTCCTTTTCTTCTTCCTCATCTTCACTGATTGATTTTTTGGATGACGTAAGTCTTTGATTTTCAAACCAATGAATCCTTCAGTAAAAGAGATCAGTGATAGAAAGAAATTGCCTAATGCAGTCAGTTTTGGAACTATCACACTTGATCATTTATTTGTGAGCCATAATTTTCTGCTTATCTTAAATGTAATGAAGAGTTTATCATTATTAAACATAATAAAATAAAACTGTACTTTGAAAAATTATTTTGCTATCAAAGAATCTGTATATTTTTATTCTTTGCAACAGTTCTGAAAACTGGAATGCTTATTTAATATTGTCATAGTACATATAGAGATATTTATAAACTGCTCATTTTTATTTTTCATGGTAATTTCTATTTCATATTTTCCATCTCTTTTCAGCACTTTATTTAATTTCTCTATTACTTAAAAGTAAACTCTGGTACTGTAATTAGAAAAGTGACAAGTTTTATTAAATCAGTAGGTTTTATAGTAACATAGTAATTGAGAACAAATCAATTTTTAGTGCTGACAAAATTTCTCTTCTAATATGGAAAGTGATTTTAATTTATTATATACTATATGCACTATAAATGGACTGCATTATTGTTTTCTCTCCTAAGTTCTGTACATTTAATAATTTAGAAGTTCCTAGTGTATATCATTCATTCTCTTTACAGAAATATTTGACATATATATTCTATTTTACATTAGATGACACAGCAATCCTTGTCATAAAGCATTTTATTATGATGTCAAGCATTCAGTCTTTCTAGAAATTGGGAAATAAAATTGGTTCACATTCAGATGTTATACATAGAACTGTTTTTTTAACCAGGGGAAATTCTTTGGATTTTTTTTTTTTTTTTTTTTGCATTTTGTTAAATATAATTATTATATTCAGAAGAATATTTAGCATAATTTTCCACTAAAGAAAACTCGATCTAGATTTTTAAAAATTATTTTTAAAGTGTTTTTTAATATCTTTGAAATATTTATATCAAAGTGTGTACCTTTGCACTCTAAATGGAACCTATTTTATTCTTAGGACAAATTATTCTAGTTAATTTTACAGTGTGATAAAAAGAGAACTCTAATGTACAATAGTATTTTATGTTATAATCTGGTATATATTTTACTGTACGAAAATCCTCAATATGGTATTTCCATGCAGATATGTCATTCACCTTTAAAAGAATTAGAAGTTGAATAAATTATTTTAACTGTTCTTTCCACTACAGAATCATTTTCATTTTTCTTTCTAACAGACTCTTCTCTACATCCCTTTGTCCCACAAAAATCTTTGCATGTCAGGCATAGGGATAATGTGTATTTGGGGAGGTGGGCAGCTCTTCTCAGCAGAGGCCTGCAGGAATGCACACCTCAGCCGGCTCCCTCCGTCTCGGCTCTCGTGCTGCGCTGCGCCAGCTGTAGTCACTTTCCACGGTTCTCCTAGGAGGACCCTTTCTTATCCTTCACCTGCTGTCACTCAGCACAAACTCTATTCACATATACAACTGCGTTTTAAAGCAACACAAAGGAACCATCACAAAGTAAAAAGGAGTTGAGTTCACAGAGCCTGCTGAATCTTGACGTTTCAGGCTCCAGCTGTAAAAGGCATGGTTTCTCACTCATGTGCCTCCAAGTTCTCTTCTCCCAATTTATTGGTTAAGCACAAAAGTAGACTCAAATTCTGCCTCTGCTACTTTTTCTAGATAAATGATTTGGAGCAAGGTACCTAACCTTTCTTTACTCATTGGACAAGTAATGATCTTGTGGTTGTTGAATTTTTTAAAAAATGTATGTAATGTCCTCAGTAATATTGGTTATTATTTCCTTACTCTTCATAGGCCTTTCCCCCTCCCTTTCTGTGTTCTCTTCAGTTCCTTTCTCGCCCTTCAGTTCAGTTTCACTTCAGTGCTTTCTTAGCTCTTCACCTCTCAGGTTCCACCCCTGCCAGTAGGAGTCCCAGGCCTTCCTTCAGGACTGTCAGCTCACACTACCATGGGAAAGGGATTCCCTCCTGTCGGGCAAAGGCCAGCAGTACGCTCCCACTTAAATAATATTTTATATTCTTAATTTGTATTTTATGGCATAAATCTCTTGTTTTTCTTTATAGTTTATAACTGTGACCACCCTTTCCAGAATTGTGATACAGTTCATCCTCCAAGTCATAGTAGAATGGTGTTTTGAATAGTGGTATTCAATCTTTGGTGTACTTGAGTTCAGCGTCCAAGATATCCACTATAACATTTAATTCTGTAGCTCCCTTTCTCTAAGGCATTGGAGTTTTTTTAAAATATGTTTTTATTGATTTTTTTTAGAGAGCTAGAAACATCAATGTGAGAAACATTGATTAGCTGCCTCCTGCACGTTCCCTACTGGAAATAGAGCCCGCAACCTGGGCACATGCCCTGACCGCGAATTGAACTGGGACCTCTCAGTCCAAGGGACAATGCTCAGTCCACTGAGCCACACTGGCCGGGCATATTTGAATTCTTAAGGAATAAAACAAATCTTGATTATTCTTTGTGTTTAAACTAGTTAGGTGGTTGTACTTGATGCTGATAATATGTGACTTCCCTCTTGAGCAAGTAGAGTCTAACTCTTAACTAACCCATAGCACATATCCTCTGGTCATTGTTTTTTGTTGCTATCTCATTGCTATAGCAAAGAAGATAATTACATTGGATACCTAAAATTTTAATTAGAACTGGGAACTTTTAAGTATAGGAGGGAATGGGACGAGTATTAAGCAAAATTGCAGAAATCAAGTTCTCTTTGGTGTCCACACATCATTGATCTTCTCCATCTGCTCCCAGTAGCCTCGTGCTCTCAGACCGCCCTTTGATTCTTCGGGCTTCTCGGCCCTCCTCCAGAATCCCCTCTCCTTTTTCCTTAACCCTCCCACACAGGTTTATTAAAGCTGTAATTCCTTCACTTACAACAGTACACACGGTCACTCTCTCACCTCTGGTTTTTCCTCAGTATGTTTTGCCTTTTAATTCAGAATTGAAGTGGATGCTAGGATTTGGGGCAACATGGGAAGATCAGAGCAAGATGCCTTTTTTATTTTTTTTTTTTATTTATTTATTTTTTTATCCTCACCCGAGGACATTTTTCCATTTTTTGTTCAGATAGAGCGGGAGGGAGAGAGAGGAAGAGAGAGAGAGAAACATCGATGTGAAGGGACACATCGAGTGGCTGCCACCCGCACGACCAACCAGGGCCGGGGACAAACTGCAATCGAGGTACGTGCCCTTAGCGGGAACCGAACCCGGGTCTCTCTGTACCGCAGGCCGACGCTTTAACCGCTGAGCCAAACCGGCCAGGGCCAAGATGCCTTTTTTAGACAAATCTTTCTATGTGTTAGAGTGGCCTCAACAGAAAAAGACTATACATAACACCTGTCCCCTCCTTCCCACTGATTCAGGCAGACCAGAGTCCATTCTTACAACTCTGCTTCCATGTCTCAGATGAACTTGGTCACATAGGCTTTGTACACATAGAATCATGGACTTTTCAAGGATAAAAGAACCTTAGGAATTATTCATTCTAATGGGGTTTATATGTTTGTTTTGTTTTTTAATCCTCACCAGAGGATATATTTTTTTTCTATTTATCTTTAGATAGAGTGGGAGGGAGGGGGGAGAGAGAGAGAGAGAGAGAAACATCCACGCGAAAGGGACACATCAACTAGTTGCCTCCCACACGACCCCCACTAGGGCCAGGGACGAACTGCAACCAAGGTATGTTGTGGAATGGAACCTGCAACTCTTTGGCCTGTGGGCCAGCACTCTAACCGCTGAGCCAAACCCACCAGAGCTCATTCCAGTGGTTTTAACTATTATTTGTCACAACACTCTCCTGTTAGTAAGAGTGACTTTTTAAGATTCTCAGTCTTTGGGGGAATAGAGGAGTAATGATAAAGGGGTTATATATGACATTCTTTAGAGCAGATCAAAGGGGGTTTTAGTTAATTTTAAAGAAGTGCTCTATTGGGCAAGGCATTCCCATATGGAGTATTAAGACAGCAGTAAAACAAGCACCAGAATCCTTTCTACTTTGGAAGTAATTCCCTCTCTGTCCTCATCTTTTCTCTCAGCCCTGCCTGCCCAATCCTAGACTTCCACAATTACTCCACAATTCTGTGCTCTGTGTACTCAGGCCACGTTTACAAAATGGCAATTGCCTGTTTAACTGGAAAATGAGAATGTACAGACTTGCTTTTTGAAGTTTGTTTTATTCTATGTTGTGTGGAAAGAGTAAATCAAGGAATTAAAGCTCCAGAATGTGCCCTGGCCCGTTTGGCTCAGCGGTTAGAACATCGGCCTGTGGTCCAGAGAGACCCGGGTTTGGTTCCCGCTAAGGGCATGTACCTCGGTTGCAGTTTGTCCCCGGCCCTGGTTGGGTCGTGCAGGAGGCAGCCACTCAATGTGTCCCTTTCACCTCGATGTTTCTCACTCTCTTCGTCTCTTTCCCTCTCACTCTATCTGAACAAAAAATGGAAAAATGTCCTCGGGTGAGGATAAAAAAAAAAAAAAAAGAGCTCCAAAATGTGAAAGTCAGACATAAAGGAATAGAGCCAGTACCTACAGTCCAACTGCCTGTCCCCTAATATTGTTTTCTTGAATTCTGTCATATTAAGAGAAGCAAGGAGTCTGAGTTGAATTGGCAAGCTGAGTTCTTATGGTTTTTGGTCTCATATAAAATATTATTAAGATGTTTCAAAATATTTCATTTTAGTCTTGGCTCCTAGTTTTCTTAGTTTTTCTCTTGCTTTTAGCATTGTTCTCTCCCCTAGCTTCTTTCGTGTTCTGTCTTAACCAGTCACAGAAATCTGATGCTTGGCAGCTTAGTTTTGACTGTCTCTGGGGAAAGCTGACCATGTGTATGAATCAGTGGAAAACAGAATTTTAAAACACACCTCGTAAAGATTGTTGAATCCTATGAACAAAACTCGGCCTAGATTTTTTTGAGAAATTATGGCACTCCTGAGTTTCTTCCTTCAATTCTTAATTTTTAAAATTTTCATGTATGTCATGTATTTCACATATTAAACACAACCCGGCTTGAAATTCTCACATTTCAGAAATTGTCATTTGCAATTTTTTTTGTAATTTAGGCAACATGATATATTGTATATTATTGTGTATGTTATATATATTTTTAATTGTTTATCATATATCAGAATATATTTAGGCAATGTAGAGGGAAAGAACCATGACTACATAGTCTTTTACCTCTTCGGTATTTTATTAAATAAGACTTTGGGATTCTTTAACTGAAACTTAAAATCTATTAGCGAAATTATATATCCATAAGATAAATTATTTGGGGGGTTTTTTGCTTGTTTGCTTACTTCCATAATCAGCCTTAAGTTCTGGTGGCAAGTTATAGACCTAGATATAAAATGTTTTTTAAATGGTATATAATTTCATATTAAGACAATGTACTGGTTTTCAATGTTTGCTGTGAGACCAACAGTTTCAGTGTTTATATAAAACCATGGTGTATAGGAGTGTGTATGCAAGTGGTATGTGTGTGTGTTTTCCTCTAATTGCACCATCAGGAAAAAGTGCAATTTGTCTTTTTCTATTGAAAACATAAAGGTAGTTGTCTAGGAAGACAACTATAAAGGTGATTTCTAGGAAGACACTTGTGAAAGAACATTATTACTATGGTGATTTAGCATCATTATTAGTTTTATACATTGCTGTCTTAGAAAATGTTCTTGATATACAAAGATAATTTTGAGAAACATTTTGACTTTTTATAAGTGTAATGGTAAAATATTCACTTGGAGTTATTCATGCTCTTTTTCATGGTTTTAGCATACTCCAGACTGGTCTAGGAGTAGGGATAGATAAGAAGTAAAAAATGTCTCTGTGTTAAACATTTTAACACTTTTTACATATATAATATTCTGTGTACAGTGGTACATACTAAGGTAAATCATACATAAAACTAGACCTCAAAATACTCCTTATTAGAAAAAATACATAGTTGCCCACTGTGCAGTGTAGAAAGTGATAAATGCCCTAAGAAATATTAGGTTAAGTACTGTGGAATTTCAGAAGGATTTATTCAGTATTTATTTATTTATTTATTTATTTATTTATTTATTTTTTATCCTCACCCGAGGATATTTTTCCATTTTTTGTACAGATAGAGTGGGAGGGAGAGAGAGGAAGGGAGAGAGAGAGAGAAACATCGACGTGAAGGGACACATCGAGTGGCTGCCACCCGCACGACCAACCAGGGCCGGGGACAAACTGCAACCGAAGTACGTGCCCTTAGCGGGAACCGAACCCGGGTCTCTCCGGACCGCAGGCCGACGCTCTAACCGCTGAGCCAAACTGGCCAGGGCTATTCAGTATTTATTAAGAATTTTTAAATTTATAGGCTTTATACTAAGCATAGTACAATATTTCCTGCCCTTGAGGATGTGAATCTGGAGGAAAAGACAAACATCTAAATAGATAATTTTACCACCATTGGAAGAACTACAATAATAAAATATGGACTACATATCATGGGAGTATAAAGGAGAGACATCTAACTGAACCAGGAGGGTCAGAAAAGCTTTCTAAAAGAAACAATGCCCGTGCTGGGCTTTACAGATGACTATGGTTAGCGAACTGAAAGAGAAAGCTGTGTAGGAGGCCTACATTCTAGGCACGGGGAGGCAGAGGCCAGAGGGAGAATTAGTTCAGTTTGCTGAAAGCAAAAAGGATGACGTGGGGATTGGTAAGAAATGCGTTTGAAGACAGGCAGAGGCCAGAATCAGGATGACTTTATATTCTATATTTTGGAGCTTAGATTTCATCAGTTCCATATGTAATTATTATTAAAAGATGTTTGTTTGTTTATCTTCACCCGAGGATATTTCTTCATTGATTTTTAGACAGAGTAGAAGGGAGAAACATTGATATGAAAGAGACACATCAGTTGGTTGCCTCCTGCATGACCCCGACTGGGGCCAGGGATCAAACCTGCCACCCAGGTACATGCCCTTGATCGGAAATCGAACCCGCAACCCTCTGGTCCTCAGACCAACGCTCTAACCGCTGAGCCACACTGGCCAGGGAGATTATTAAAAGGTTTAACAGGTGAAGGTGACCAGCTTTATTTTGGACAAGTTAAGTTTGAGGTGCCTGAGGAACATCCGTGTAGAGATGTTTAGCAGATGGTTTCCTGTATGAGCCAGAGAGATTTGGAAATGGTCTGCGTAGTTGAATGTAGATGAGATCTCCCAGGGAGAGAGGTTCTGTGAGAACAGTAGTGAGCCAGAACAGAAACCTGGGATCTCTGGTATCAAGAAGGGGGTAGAGAAATTGGATTCCACAAAGAGAAGGAGCAGTGGTCAGAGGGGATGAGGTTATGCAGGAAAGTGGCATGTCACAAAAACCAAGGGAGTACAGGGTTTTAGGAGGGAATAGTCAGCCACCTTGGTATAGATGGCTGCTGCCGACCTTATCAGCATTTCATTGGGGTGAGCAAAGCCGAAGCCAGTTGTATTGAGAAGTGAATTGAGAGGCTAGGATGTACGGACAGAGATTGTATACCATTTCTGAGAAGTCTGACTGAGAAAGCTGGAATCCTAGCTCCACCATACCAGTTTTGTGACCTGTGGCAAGTGAATCTATTTTCTTTGTGTTTAAAATGGCGATCGTGCCCTGGCAGGTTTGGCTCAGCAGTTGGTGTGTCAGCCTGCAGTCCAGAGAGACCCGGGTTCGGTTCCCGCTAAGGGCATGTGCCTCAGTTGCAGTTTGTCCCCGGCCCTGGTTGGGTCGTGCAGGTGGCGGCCACTTGATGTGTCCCTTTCACATCAATGTTTCTCTCTCTCTCTCTCCCTCTCTCTCCCTCCCACTCTATCTGAACAAAAAATAGAAAAATGTCCTCTAGTGAGGATAAAAAAATAAAATAAAATTACCTACCTTAATTCTGTGAGAATTAAAAGAGTTCATATGTGTAAAGTACTTTGTAAATTACCTCCGTATATTATACATGTGATAATCATTAGCTGTTATTATTAAGAGGGGGGAGAGATTATATATTAGCTAGAGGAAGAGTTGGGGCTTGAGTTGTTTGATGTTTGATTTGGGGAGGGAGGGTAAGACAGGTACTTGCAGTAATAAATTGAGGGAATAAAGCCAGGTTTAAATCTGAGACTTAAGACTGACTGGACTGATAGACAGACAAAATCTTTAGAACCTGCAGGCCTTCTAATTCTGGTTTGCTACTAACTCTTAGGGGCACAGTGACGTCACCTTCCATTCTTCTTATTATTTTTTTTAATCTTCACCTGAGGACATTTTTCCATATTTTGTTTAGATAGAGTGAGAGGGCAGGAGGGAGAGAGAGAAACATCGACGTGAAAGGGACACATCGAGTGGTTGCCACCCGCAAGACCCAACCAGGGCCGGGGACAAACTGTAACAAAGGTACGTGCCCTTAGCGGGTACCGAACCCGGGTCTCTCTGGACCACAGGCCGATGCTCTTAACTGCTGAGCCAAACCAGCCAGGGCCAATTCTAATTTCTAATAGGAAGAAATAACACTTCCTGTTTACCAATCTGCCAGAGTTATTGTACAAATAAAACTGATCATCTTGAGTGGTGTTTCTTATCCTTGGAGTTTTCGCTGAAATCTTCTGTAACTCCTGTCAACTCAGTTTATGAATTCATTCCTCTGGGTCCCCGTAAAAACCTTGCACATCCCTCCTGCAGGTTCCCATACAGACTTTGTACATATCTCTATTGTAGCATTTGTCACATATTAGTGACTTGATGTCTTCCACAAGTCTGTGACCTGCCATGCCTTCTTTATCTTTTTTTTTTATCCTCAGCCAAGGACATTTTTCCATTTTTTTGTTCAGATAGAGCGGGAGGGGGAGAGAGGAAGAAAGAGAGAGAGAGAGAGAGAGAAACATCTACATGAAAAGTACACATCGAGTGGCTGCCACCCACACGACCCAACCAGGGCCAGGGACAAACTTCAACCGAGGTACATGCCCTTAGGGGAAACCGACCCCGGGTCTCTCTGGACCGCAGGTTGATGCTTTCACCGCTGAGCCAAACCGGTCAGGGTGCCTTCTTTATCTTTTAAGTACCTGACATATTGTTTGCATATAGGAAATTGCCTGAGTAGATATGACTCATATTTGTGAAGTTCACAGTTTAGTTTCAAAAACTTGATAAACATTTTGATATAATTGTTACCTACTTATTGTTATTGTTACTTTTGCCTAATTACTTAATTCTTTAATGCCAAAAAGGTGAAGGGCCCTCTTTTGACTAAGCCTAATATCTAGTCAGGATGGACAGTATTGTTTGAGTAACTGTTTTTGTTTTAATCCATTATTAATCATTCTGAAGGCGTTATTTAGCATTTATTTTAAAGTGATTATCTTTGAAAAGAGGAAAAATTTGGTAGGTAAATGTCTGAAGCAAGACTAGTTAATTAGATAATGTATTAAATGCTTTCTAGCACTAACATTTCAAGTTGCTACTACAACCAACCTTTCCAGAAAAGAAGCTATACATGTTATTTTGTGGGTCACTGTGCAAGGTCCAGTGAAAACTTATATCACTCTTAGACCTAGTCTGAGCAAGTATTTCCTTACTGTCCTGTCCTCTAGTTTTTCCTGAAAAATACATGTCCTTTCAACCTATCAAAAATGTGTCTTTGTATGTATGTATATACTTTGTCTGTTAAGACAGTGGTAGTCATTGAGAGTCACGTGTGTAAATATTTGTAACGTGTATTCTCCTTTCTTTGTTGAAGCGCTCTCCCTCCTGTACTCCAGCTAGCAAAGGCAGACGTGTAAGAGACTACCGCCCTTTGTGTCAGTCCCGTGCCCTCCACCCTCCCTCTTACCTTCTTTGCCTGTGGTTGCACAACATGCTTACGTTTCTGTGGTGTATTATTACATTTATTGCATGCTTTGTGCTGCTGCTCCGGCTGTTGCTACCTGCTTTTCTGTATTTTCTTTCTTTTTTTTATTTTTTGGCTTTGGCCGCAAAGCTTTAGGAATGTTCATATCAATTTCTGTAACCAAACTTCTAAAATTATAGGGTGTCTTTTTTATTTTTATTGTGCAAAAGTGATTCTAAAGTGTGCTTTCTAAATTGATCACAAAATAAACGAGTTCTTAAATAAGAATCTGATAAAAGCAAGTATGTAGAACTTTCTTAGAAAGAAAATGATAATTCATATTATGCATATTTCAGAAATGATTTGGAACAAATTATAGATCTTATTGACTATAATTTTATGTAAATCAGTTCTGGAGAAATCTTTGATAGGTATTTTTATATGGTTCAAAGGAATATCCTTAAATATTTTATATTTAGATTTGGAGAAAATATTAAATTATTTATATCCTAAGATATAAACAATATTTGTACCATTATATAGATATAGATAGATAGGTAACAAATGATAAATGATAAATGTCTTCCTGTGCTGAGGCCAGCTCAGTGTTTGTCAATCTGAAATGGGCCAACCACTACCTCTATCCTGCAAGATTCTCAGATGCCCAGAGTGGGGAACCTATTTGTAGAAAGGTCTCAAACTTGTCTAAACCTGCCTCCACCCCAACACCAGTGTACAAGTATACATACTCCTCAGTGTAGAAGCAGTGGCTAGCTGGCATTGTTGGCTCTGATTTTCATATATGTGGAAAAAGAGTAACTTTAAAAAGGAGAGTCTGTGATAGATACAAGTTTTTTTATTTTTACCTGTCAGCTCCATGATTATTGGTATTGATTAACAACTTGAATCCAGAATTCTTAGACTTAGAACTATGTCTAGATCAGGGAAGTAGTAGGATGGCCTACGGTTTCCTGTATTCTTATCTTTCTGGTATGATGGAGAGTTGATTATCAGATAAACATGATTAGCCCTAACGTAGCACATATTTTCAAACTATTGTTTGATAATGAGTTAGCAGTTACGGATACTGCTTATCAGTGTCTGGTACCAGTGATATTGCTGGGAGAACTTCGAGTTCAACCGATAGCTCATTAGTTAATGACGTTTATGAAAAGATTGATGGATCAACTGATTTCTTGATTATTTTGATATATGTAGAGTTAAAACTTCTAGGTATTTGAATTTATCAAATTGATCTGAGTATATGTTAATTATATCACCTCTAGAAGACCAAAATGTTGTGCGCCCAATTATATTAGGTTTAAATCATCAGCCTGTGAATTAAACATATAACTATTCATTTTCAAATAAGGTTATAATTCAGAGAGGTTTTGTTTTTCTGATTAAATTTATTGTAGATAAAAGATCTACTTGTCTTTCAGACTTTTAGGGGCCTTGACCACCCAAATAATTTCTTTGAATCTTGAAATAAGGAAAAGAGGGAAATAGCTGTTAAAAGGTCCCTGCTACTTAGCCTTTACTTTTATTCTATGGGACAGTAATAACCCACACTTAACCAGAATCTATTGACTTAAAATTACTTTTCTTTTTTTTAATGCAGATGTGATAGGCTTGGTAATTTGTTTTCCAGGCTTTCTTCAATTTTTCCTCAGTTAAGTTTCTGACAGATAAAGTCAACCACTGAAACTGAAAAGAAGAAATGTCTGTGAGGAAGATGTTGGAGGAATTACCAGTTACTCAGTAGTAAATAGAAACATCTCAATAGAATAGTGAGGAACATCAGTCGTCCCTAGGAACATCAATATATTGCATAATGTAGGACACATATACATAGTTACCATTCCTAACAGTGGCCTTGAATCTAATTGTAGTATACAATTTTCTGTTATGTACCATGTTTTTAAACAAGCTAATATGTAATACTTCTATAAATTTAAAATTCTTTAAGTGACTGAAATATATGAGATATTTACTGTATTTTTATTTCCATTATGCTATAAAGCCTCACTTATAAGTTGAATACTTAGGTTCTTTGTAAATGGTTTTATTTAATTAAGCATAGTATAAGAAAGATTTATTATTAATATTAATGTACAAACACAAGTAGTTATGGAACAGTCCGTATTGTTTTCATTAATAGTGAGAAATACTGAGTGCCTCATTTTAGATTATTCCTTTAGGATTTGAAGCAGAGATTATAAATAGCCAATGTGGGGTTTAACTTCCTTTAATGTTTTCTTAGAACATTTGTAAATTCTCCAGAGTAGGTGTTCAAGTCAGTATATTGAAAATAACTTGGGAAGTTTTCTTAAAGAGAAACAAGTTACATTATTTGTAACTAGTAAGACTATACTTACTAGTTGTAACTTTTAGAAATTATGATTTGTTTTAATAAGATATTATATTTACTGTTGTCCAAATGATATAGTTAATATTTCTATAATACTAGTCTTTTAGCAAAAGCTTAATTGACAGAAATAATTATATCGCTAAAACTTTGAGGTTATAAAATATTTCTGAATACAAAAAAAGAAGATTATTTACCCCTTTGTTTCCAAAATACTTCTAGCTAAAAGATAAAATTTATAAATTTTTTTTTTTTTTTTTATCATCCTCACTGAGGACATTTTTCCATTTTTTTGTTCAGGTAGAGTGGGAGGGAGAGAGAGGAACAGAGAAAGAGAGAAACATCGATGTGAAAGGAACACATCGAGTGGTTGCCACCTGCACAACCAACCAGGGCCGGGGACAAACTGCAACCGAGGTACATGCCCTTAGCGGGAACCGAACCTGGGTCTCTCTGGACCGCAGGTCGACGCTCGAACCGCTGAGCCAAACCGACCAGGGCTATAAAAAAATTTTTTCCTGTTAACTTAGACTTCTGTGTTTACCAACATAAAACATGTTACATTTAAGCTATTTTTTAATCTTTATCAGATCCATATCAAACTTGATGTCTTTTATTTTAAAACCAGTTTTCTTATGAGAATGGTTTGCTATTTGTATTTATTCAAATCTGTAATTATTTTTGGATTAGAAAAGGCCCATTGCTACATAGTCAAGATAAGTAGTGTTAGTTGTTCTTATTTTTTATAAAAAGACCATATACTACGTAATTTGAGGAATTCTTACTTAGTAGTATTTTTTTTTTTTTTTTTTATCCTCACCCGAGGACATTTTTCCATTTTTTGTACAGATAGAGTGGGAGGGAGAGAGAGAAACATCGACGTGAAGGGACACATCGAGTGGCTGCCACCCGCACGACCAACCAGGGCCGGGGACAAACTGCAACCGAAGTACGTGCCCTTAGCGGGAACCGAACCCGGGTCTCTCCGGACCGCAGGCCGACGCTCTAACCGCTGAGCCAAACCGGCCAGGGCTACTTAGTAGTATTGGTCATCTAAAAATTAGATCTGATCTGAGTGAGAAAAAAATTTTTTTTTATTCCTCATACAAGGATATTTTTTTATTTATCATCAGATAGAGTAGGAGGGAGGGAGAGAAAGAGAGAAAAACATTAATGTGATAGAGCCACATCGACTGCTTGCCTATCATACCACCCGACCAGGGCCAGGGACAAACTGCAGCCGAGCTACATGTTCTTGACCGAAATTGAACCCGCAACTCATTGGTCCGTGGGCCAACACTCTAACAACAGAGCCAAACTGGCCAGGGCTAAGTGAGAAAATTTTTACACCTCACTGCACTACTCTAAAAATACATATTGTAGATTATTCATTAGAGAAATCCTAATAGATTCAGGAAACATTATGGTCTTTTTATAAGGATAGTATTGGATAGTATAAGTATATAAGGATAGTATTTTTATAATGGATAGTATTGCTGATATTCAGTTTTTCTGCTTTTTCTTTCAAACGTAAAGCAGTAAGTAAAAATACATTGGAGTATGGTAGATGTTTCAAATGTTAACTTATCAGAATAACTACTTAAAGTATGTTTAATTAGAAAAAATAGTTAACCAAAAAATATAAAAAATATATTTATATAAAGATATTTATTTTTCTCAATAGATTACAACTTAGAAATACTGAGTGAATTGTTTATATTATTCAGTTAGGATTTGTTTTCAAGATCTTTCCTTGGATAATATCAAAATATACCATTTAATTAATAATAGCTTTTTATTGCTTTTTACTATTATCCCTCTTTTTAATCATCCTTTAAACCCAATTATTGAATTAAAATATCTCTGCTATTGATGTATATCATATTTACTAGCTTTTCCTGCATTATTAATTCGTCATTGCTTACATTTAATGCTTACATTAATTGCTTACATTCATATTTTTTGTAATAAAGAATTTTTTAATTTCCATGGTTTAACCTTATTAATGATTATATTTGTTTTGAAGGTAAAAATAAGTAATGTGATATTAATTGCTTGGCTGCGAAATTATATCTGAATCTTTGGCAACTAATTATTAAAATTAACTTTAGGCTATCTGTAAATCCGGACATATAGTCTTTGAGTATTATGAAAGTTTAGTAAAATTACTTTCTTTTTGGTGGATAGAATCAGCATTAATTAGAAATGTACTGGTAAACATTTAATTATAGATAAAATTAACAGTGTCTGGAAAATCACAGTCCTCTTGGTGATAATTAACACTTTGATAAAGAAAATATGTAAGTAGTATTGTATTTTTCTTATTCTTACAGTTAAACCTCTTTTGAGATATTATCATGATAGTTATCCCGAAAGGAAAAGAAATATTAGAATTTATTAATCCGATTAGCTATTCGCTTCTAGTAGAATCTTTTAAAAAGAAAATTTATTTTAAAGTTTGATATTTAAAACTTTTTTTGCTACGAGTTTATTCGTCTTTTACCAAATTTTATTCCTTATGTTTGTAAGGAACATGCTTTTGGAAAATAAAGGGGTAGTTTTTCAACTTCACTTATATGTTCATGTTTTGTTTTGTTTTTTAATCAGAGTATCATTGTACATGGCATAGTTTAACTTTTCAGTATGTTCAATTCCATCTCAAAATATTATTGCTATGTTTTATTTATTTTGAATTTTTTAATATACAAAACTAACTTGATTTTGTTTATTTTTAGTGTAAGAGCATATAGCTCCATAAAGATAGTATGGTAATTGTCATTGTTCTATTTTAGTGATTTTCAACCTTTTTCATCTCATGGCACACATAAACTAATTATTGAAATTCTGCGACACACAAAAATTTGTATTTGTTGCTGGTTTGACAGAAATAATAGGTATCATTTTGATTTATTCACACTGGGCAGCTATTATTGTGTTGGCTATTGTCATTTTTAAAAATTTGACAGTCTAAAAGGTCAGAGCCCTAACTAAAGAGTTGGGTATAGCATATTCTAGAAATTCTTGCAGCACAGCAGTGCCACAGCACACTGGTTGGAAATCGCCGTTCTATCTTATTACAGTTTGGTATCCTTAAATTTAAATGTTTTTTTACTTCTGAGTAACCAGTTTTTACTTCGTTCCGCTAAGAAATTTATTTTAATTGTTTTTTTTTATTGTCTTATTTTCATTGGTGAGTAAAAACTTGTTAGGAGAAAAAAGACTTTCATAAATGACAGTAATTCTTCAGAGGGTCCAAGAGATATGTGTTAAAAGCCTAAAGAGGTAGTTAAGAGTTACTAATTTGTATAATTACAGATTAAACTGTATCTGTGTATTTTTTCTTTGCCCAGTATTACATTGTCATAATGTCACATTTTCAAAGGGTCATGAAACATTCTGAGTTTAACAATCAATTATCGGTTAGGGAAATGGGCTGATTTTAGGTGATGATTTTTGTGATGTAAACCTCCCATTAGATAACATGCCAGCTAAATGTCTTAAGGCACTGTATTCTGATTTTAGCACAAGAAAGTATGTAAAAAGTATGCTCTCTTCCTGTCACTATGTGCTCAAGTGACTCAGAGAGCAGACCTGCTTCACAATCTCAGCCAGGATTATTGGAAGCAGCCAGCGCTTGCCTTTCTCATTTCTGAAGAGTGTTTTCAAGTAATTGAACCCAGAGGTACAAAGCCACTATATTAACTGTTCAGTCCTGTTCACAGCATAGGAACATCTTTTTGTCTTGCAGTCAAGGTATGGGCTAAAGGCTTTTGTGTGGCCAGTCAAAAACATACATTTTCTTAAGGTGACCTAGTTTTTTGCACATAAAAAAATCTATTTTCATACCTCTGTAAAACTTTATAAGTCTATTTTAAGTTATTAGTGTAAAATGTATCAATGCTACTTAATCAATTTCATTTTAATTTAACCTCCTTCCCCATGGACTCTTCTTTAACTTACAATTTATGTAATCTTATGGAAACTGAAGAGATTTTTAGAAAGTAGATGACATTTCTGCCTTCAGATGGATAATTTAAACTGATATCCTTCTCTGTGACTGTCCCTGAGTAAAATTGTGAACTGGGTAAAATTTGTCGAGTCCTATTTTTTTTTTCTTTCATTCTTCTATTCCTTGTCAACATTTGTTTTCAGAAAAGGAAATAATACAACTCAGCTTCCATGGTCACTAAATTGCTGTGAGTACCTCCACCGTAGAGATGCATCTGGTCCAACAGGAAGAGTACTGCATTTGTACACAAGAGATGGAATTCAGCCCTGGCTGTCCCATTCCATAGGGAATACTAGTTTTATGAAATTAGCCACATTGCACACATAGAACTGATACACAGCTGGTGTGCTGTGTAGTTCAGTAGGTCTTGTTATTAAAATACTGAAATACTTTCCTAGCTGTTGGTTAATAGCTGCTGCTCCATGTCCCCTAGAGGTCCTCACTAAGACCCTTCTTTCTCCCCACTTCTCCTAACTTCAATAACTGCAGGTTTCAGGCCTAGTTGGTGACCATGTTAATCAGCCCCACCAAAGTCATGCCTTGTGGATTGCCAGAATACCTGCCCATGCCCACACCCCGGGAGGCCATAGGTGGGCACCAGCAGAGGGCTACTGCAGTGTTTGCCAGCCCACTAGCCAGTCCCTAAAATAGTAACTATGATAATAAGAAAGAAAAAAATATATATACATATATAATTTAAAGTACATATTTAAAATGCTTAAGCTGATGCTCTTCTCATTGTTTTGTAGCTTCTGATCTACGTAAGCATTGTTCTTGCTGTACAACATGTTTGAAACAAATTCTCTAACCTTCTTTCCAAATTGCCTTCATTTTAAAAACCCAGTCCTAGTAATTTTGAAAATTGCCAAACTGAATATCATCTGCTTAATAAGATTTTTTATGCTAAATTTTAACCCAGAGCATTTTCAGTTTCTAAAACTATTTGGTTAAAAGTGTAAAGCTGAATATAAGTGCTGGTATTTCTACTGCTGCAAAATAAAAAGGGGGGACTTACTGTAATGACAAGCACAAAGCTAATAGGCGTTTCTTTTACTTTTAACTAATGCCTGGTAGAGGACCAGATTTCACTCTTATCAAGGACAAAATGATCTCTAATCTTCAGTACATATCTCTATTAAGTGTATGTATTTATTTCACATGCATGATTTATGTTGTAAAATACAAAAGTTTCATGTGAAATATAAGTAAAGAACATACAGTAGAGATCAGGGCTTAAAGAGGTCAACAGTGAAAATTAGAGCATTTTGTTAACTATCATCTTAAACTTGCTTTTCTTTAAAGCTAGTGGTTATGCTTTTGTATGATGACACATCTCTAATGCGAATATTCAAACTAAAGTTTGTTCTCCTCCTTTCTCAAGAAATGTTGTGATCATGCCTTACGGAAATGCTAAGAGCTGCACTTTGTTGAAAGTGATTTCTTGGGTTTTGTTTTTCCTGACTTATTTTCCTAGACTGATCCTGTTGAGAACACATATGTACGGAATCCGAACGTCAAGTTTTACATCCAGTCAAGGTCCACATCTCCTTCCACATCTAGTGAAGCTGAGCCAGTTAAGGTGCCTCATTGGAGCAGTATTGCTCCCCAACTTTTCACTTGTGTCAGGAAAGAGGGAATTGCAAAAACAAGTGAAATCTGACTCTTCTTTTAACCAAATATATTGTGTAATAAGTCACAGTATATTGGAGATCATTAAATTTGACTGATAATGTAGATAGGAGTATAAAACTTAAGTAGAAAATTGTCCCCTAAAGTGAAACTTGAAATAGAAAATTTGTTTAATCATGAAGGTAGTCTTTATTTTAAGTAGAGAACTATGTAGAACAGAGTTATGTAAATTTGGAATTATAAGATACAAACTGCAGGCACGTGACAGTGTCGGGTGCCATTCTCACATTTTATTCTAATCAGTCTAATAAGACCTGACATAACTGCTACTTCATAAATAGAGCTTAAAATTAAAATTGCCACTGCTGGCAATTTTAGAGTGTATTCTAACTGCTTAATTAGTAATAGGCATTCAACTAAATCATTCCTGTTAATAGTGCAAAAATGGTTGTATTTGCAGTCAGTGCTTTTAAACAGCCGGTTGGCCAATTTTCTCAAGTCAAAAGGCTGCATTATACCTCCGTCCTGCTCCAGATGTAGTTCTGGTTCTTCACTCAGCATCATGGTGCTGACACAGCTCCTGTGCGTCCCACTCTATCTCCAGGGCTGTGTCCAGCATCCCATAGAAAGCTGGCTGAAATGAAGTGTGAGTTATACTCAGATTCCAAATTGGTTTTTTCCCAACCCTGTGATAGACTTCCTCAGACTGGTTGATTAGATCCTCAGCTCTTTTGTTTTGTTTCAATATTTTAACTTCATACATTCTTATTGTTATGTTGAAGTATTTCTATCACATAGAAAATAATAATAAACACCCATGTAACCACCATACACAGATTTAACAAATAAGAACATCTTTTTTTTTTTCAAATTTGTATTCAAAGAAAGAAAATAGTCCAGACAACTGCATTGAAGCACCTTTCCCAGTATCATTCCCCCATCTCTTTTCCCAGGCATATCTAAGTACCCTGAAATTGAATTGTATCCGCTCTTCCTTGGTTTTACATGTTTATTTCATTTGTATTCGTGAACAATATATAGTGTTTGTTGTGTATATGAAATTTTACACATAGTTTCTGTATCTTTTTGCAACCTTTTTTATTCAACATGCTTTTGAGGTTTACTTAAGACAGATGTCTATTTCATTCATTCATTAGAACTACTGCGTAATATTTTATTGTATAAATATACCACAGTTATTTATCCATTCTCCTATTGTTGGATATGTAGGTTGTTTCCAATTTGTATCACCACAGTCAGTGCTGAAGTGAACATCCTAATGGCTGTCTGCTTTTGCAATGTGTGGTTTGTTTAGCATATATACCTGAACGTGGAATTGCTGGGCTGTGTGCTGTGTGCATTTTCAACTTTGACTAGGTCTTGCCAGATTATTTTCCACAGTGGTTTCACTCTCACCAGCAGTGTGTGAGAATTTCCCATTTTCCCACATCCTCGCCAATCCTTGGTACTGTCAAATGTTAACTTTTGCCAATTTGATGGATATGGAGTGACATTTTTGTTTTAATTTTCATATTCTGCTTTCCAGTGTTATTGAGCATCTTTTTATATGTTTATTGGCCATTGGTGATTTGCCTGTTCATGTCCTGCATTGCAGATATTTTCTTCTAGTCTGTGGCTTATTTTTAAATGTTATTTGTGATATCTTTTTGTCTTGCAACAGTTTTTACCTTAAAGTAGCCATATTTATCAACCATTTTCTTTATGGCCTTTGCTTTTTTATGTCTTTTAAAAACGTTTCTTCCCTTCGCAGCAATTACAAAGATTTTCTTCCATATTTTCTTCTAAAAGTTAAAAAAAAATCTTAAATGTTTAGGACTTTAATCAAACTGAAATTTATTATTATGTATTATGGGAAATGAAGTTCTAATCTATTTTTCTCATATGAACAACCAACTCTCCTATATTTCCCCCATTGACTTGTAAAACTTATCTCTGCTTTATTTAAATGGGTCTGTTTGGGGGTTCACTATTCTCTTCCATTGTTCTTTTTGTTCGTTCCTGCACCAATATCACATTGTCTTAACTACTATAGCCCTAAAATAATTCCCGATACTTGTTATGGTCAGCCACACCTACTCCCACACACCTTAGTCTTCTTCCTTTTCTTTTTGATCCTTTAGTTTTACATATGACATTTAGGATCAACTTGTCAGATGCCAGGTGGGGCTTTTGATTGAATTTGAATTTATAGCTTTATCTGAGGAGAATTGACATCTTCATGGTATTGGGTCTTTCCATCTATGAACTTGGTATACATATTTAGATATTTTTTTCAGTAAGTTATATTATTCCTTCATGAGTGTATTCCATGTTGGTTGTTAGGTTTGTTCCTAGGTACCTTCTACCCTTTGCTGCTGTGGTGAATGTGATCTTTTCTAAAATAAATTTCTTATTTAGATATTGCTGGTCTTTATAAACTCTGTTAATCTTGTATCCAGCACCCTTGCTTCATTCCTTTTAATTCTAAAAACTTCTCTTGGACTTTTTATGTAAAGTCTAATGACAGTTTTTTTTTTCATATGAATTGGTTTTTATTAATTTTTATAAAGGTTTTCAGTGTTCTTTTTCATATTTATCTTTTTAAATGTTAAATTATAAATTGGATTCGAAGCTTTTTCAAGCTATTTAAATGTAAGTTAGAACAAAATTCACAATTAGGTAGAAAACTCTGAGAAACTCAACTGAATATTATTTTAAGGCTATAATATATATAAAATATTCTGATTTTGTAGGTTATACACTAGCAAAAGCAAAGAGAGTCCATCCATTTTTCTCAATATTTTGTAATGTTCTATATCTTTATACAAAGCTAGCTTTTTCCTCTCATTTCCTTGCTTAGCATCCTAATAGGAAGTCATTCTTCACGTCTAATAGGAAGTCATTTTTACACTTTGCTAATCAAGCGATCTCTCTTTTTTTTCCCACACTAACATTCAGTTTAATTACTGATTTCTTTTATTCAAAGAAATATTTTACAATAATTCCCCATTAAATAAAGATATGGCTTGTAACTAAATATGTGTATAAATTCTGGATCTCAAAATAATAATCTAATTTCCTTCTTTGGAAATTAATTTCTGCACAAAAATTCCACTAATCAATCAATCAATATATATACATATACAAAAATCTACAGAATTGTGTTCCATTTATGTGATATACATTCTGTATATAGAAATCAAAAAGTTAAAAGAATTGTCTAAATATTTTGGTTATAAATCTTGCTAAAAACTTTCAGAGGCCTTTTAGAATTAATGTGGCATTTTCCGATGAACTTGAAAATTAATATCCTCATTTTTATGTAGGCTACATGCTATGAGATTTTTTTGTTCTTCTGTGGATTCTCTTTTCCAAATTTTTTATTTTTATATTTCCAGACTGAAGTATATTTTACTAATGGAACAAATATGTCACTTGTAAATGTTGCAGACAGAAATTTAAATTATCAACATTGAGAATTTTAGCTTCATTGAGATATATTTTGCTTTATTGATGTTTTCTTTGGCTTTATTTACCTTGATTTATTTCTAGTAATGTTAGAAATGGATAGAGTTTTTCATAACATTTATTTCTTGTCTGCCCCTGGATTCAGAATGTAGACAGTACTCCACTTCCAGTTCACACACCAACCTTAAGGAAAAAGCCATGCCCTGGTTCAACTGGCTTTCCACCTAAGGTAATCTAGTTACAGCATGGTGTGTTCTGAAACAAAAATGAGAATGGATTTCTTCTGCATTTTATATTTCCTGTGAATTTTTTGCTATTGGTTTCTTTAAAATTATAAACATGAAAGTTTGGAAAGAAAATAAATTCTGTATGAATGGAAATAATCACCACGGAGAAAGGTAGGAGGAAAATCCAAAGTTTGTTTTGTTTTTCTTTCGTCTTCTTAAGTTCAGTGTTTTGAAGTCTGTTAGAGTGAGGAGTCGTGCTTGGAGGATATATTGTAAGAAGGGTATTAAGTTGAGGCCACTTGTGGAAGAATCTGAGAATGAGATTAATAAACCACCGAAAAAGAGAGACATTTAGTAAAAAAAATTCAGGCAAATTTTCATCTTTTCATTCTGTTGAATGTGACTATGACTGAAGAATTGTATATAGTAGAACATGAAGATTTATTTGCTTATCTCAAGCTCCTACAAAGAAATTCTGGAAATTGGAAAACTCAAATGATTGAAAAATAGCACTAGAAAATTTATTCTTGGTGGTTCCTTAAAGAGCAGAAAATGAAGAGTAAAAATTAGTATACAGGAGAAATGTTAAGCAAAATTTTATATGCTGTTAACAAATTAGATAACTGTATTTTAGTAATTGGCATGGAAGCCCCTAGTCTTGACTGAACTATGTCTTGGAAATTATTGGTTCTTTTTAGGATCGTTTTCTAGCTGTTTTTATATTATGAAACTTTAAGAGATGGCAGAGTCAGACAGAAATGTATTTACTCTGAGTTTGAGTTCCTTCATCAGTATAAGGAAGTAACACCTATCTTTCTGGGCATTGTGTCCATCACATGAGGTGATACATGTGTCTGCACTTTGCTTGGTGCTGTGTCTGCACAGGAGCAATGACAGAGTTAGCATAAAGATCATCTGTCCTATTTAGAACGGAGTCGAATCCCAGTGCTACTTTGAAACTGACCAAGGGTCCTGAGGAACTTCTAGAATAGAGTGGTTTGAGGTTGGACCAGAGCCCATGACTGCTCTAAATTTGGTAGTCTCACTTCATTCCAACACCCCAGTTCTCTGATAGACCATTCTGTATAAAATGATTTCTTGGTTTTTAAAAAAATTTCTTTTGTAGCATCTAATTCGCATATCCCAGTTGAGAAAAGTAGAACTTATTTTTAACTTAAAGCTTTGAATATTCTCTTCAGTTTTTTTGTTCATATGAGAAGTTAGTCTCAACTGAAATAAATACTACTTCATAACCGTTTTTCATCAGTAGTCACATATTATTGGAATATAGAATAAAGTTCTTACCAGCTTAACTCAATCACACATATAAAAGAGAAATAATTAGCCAAATTTGCTTTCAGAAATCAATGTTTTGAATGCTTACTGTGTACCGGCACTGTTCAAAAGGTTTTGTTATTTATTAATGCTCCCTTAACCACCCCATGGAGTAGATACTGTTATTAATCCTTTTTTATAGAATGAGAAAAGTGAGACACCGAGGAGTTAAGTAATTTGCTCCTCAGTTCACAGAGCAAGTGGAAGAAAGGTGGTTATAATGCATTTATTATTAAAACATGCTGAGACTTAATTTGGAGAGGGAAGGAGTATTCTGAAGAACTGAACTCTACATTGGCTTACCATCACATAGCTCAGGCAAGACTTTAAGAATTTTAATTTCTGGGTTTCCAGTAAGAAATTTCAGGCTGCCATCTATCTCTAGAATAATGTGTGTGTGTGTGTTTATCTGTTCAAGTATAAATACTGCTTGTTTCCCTGGGAGGAAGCAGACTTTTCAAGCATATGATTTGCTCTTGGTCCCAGAAAATCAAATGCATAATTTACAGTAAAGCAATAATTTTAAGTTACTCTTTGTTCTTCCTAAGGAGGTATGAAAGCATATTAAATTTCTTTGTTTCTGTTGGTATAAATATGTAAGATTTTACATAATTCTGCTAAAGAATTGTTTGAAGAATTGATAAAAATCCTGAAATCAAAAATGTTGAGCCCAAAAAAGCTAGTTTATTTTGCAATTTTTCTAGTGTCAATTCAAGAGCATTTGATTACCACAGCCTCTAATTTTAGCATAATCCAGCGCCTAATGAAATATTTAGAGAGCATAGATTCTAGAATTATGTGGTGAGAAAGGAAAAGTTTTCATTCTACTCTTATGTAGAAACATTCTAGTAGCTGGTATGGGGCACAGAGATTCACAATATGAAAATCATTTAAGTAATCAGTGTGTATGTTTTTATCTATTTGTTTTGCAGCGCAAGACTCACCAGTTTTTTGTCAAATCTTTTACTACTCCTACCAAGTGTCATCAGTGTACCTCTCTGCTGGTGGGTTTGATGAGACAGGGCTGTTCCTGCGAAGGTAAGAACGGAATGGTAGGGATGTGTCTTCAGAGCCCTGAGATTGACTACCCGAACTATCATCAAATAGCTTTATTCTTTGTATTAGCTATGTAAATATTTGTTTCACATAATCATTTGCTTTTCTTTAGATAACAGGAATAGAGACAATAAAATGAGCACCTTGCTAAAAAGTCTGTTGATTATTAGAGAAACCAAACAGATAGTCCCCAGAAACTTTTGTCAGGGGAGATATATTTAAATATTTTATTCATCTTTTTTATTATTCAGATGATTTTGTGGATTTGAAAAACCTTTAACATGTGGCAAAAGACATGCAAGTTATCCTTGAATCTATTCATTTAATTTTAACCTTGTTTATTTTACCAGAGAAATCGTTATTGGAAAGTAGTGCAGAATCTTTTCAGAAATATTAAATGTCTTCCCCCTACCTCAAAAGATATTTTATTTCTAGTATTAATAGAGGTTTTTCCTACCATTCATTGATTCATCCATCATCACATTTATGGAATGGCCGCTCTGTACTTCTCAGCACTGGGGATACAGTGGAGGGTGTGGCAGGGGGCGTCGGAGCCTGCCCTCATGGAGTACACATTCTGAGAGAGGAGAGAGCAGAGGTCATTTGAAAAGAATACTAAGGCCCTGGCTGGTTTGGCTCAGCGGTTAGAGCGTTGGCCTGCGGTCCAGAGAGACCCGGGTTCGGTTCCCGCTAAGGGCACGTACCTCGGTTGCAGTTTGTCCCCGGCCCTGGTTGGGTCATACGGGTGGCAGCCACTCATTGTGTCCCTTTCACGTCGATGTTTCTCTCTCTCTCTTCCTCCCAGTCTATCTGAACAAAAAATGGAAAAATGTCCTCGGGTGAGGACAGAAAAGAAAATCACATGAGACTTATAACAGTTCCTCATATAATTTACAACTATATCTTATGAAAAAGATGAGGAAATAGTTTCTGATTCAAATGCTGATATAAATTTTCTTTTCTCGCTGTTAGGGTTGGAAGGGACCTTGAAGGGAAGGTCGTCAATCTCCAGCAGATGTGTGCTTATAGTTAGCCTAAAGTTGAATACTTAAGATGAGAGGAAATTAGCAGCATCCAAGGCGATGTATTCTCTGTTTGGTTAGTTCTCCCAACCAAAGTGGCAAATCTCAATTGCATTATCTTAACTAGTTTGTTAGATGCATGGGTTAAAAGCCAAAGAAAATGGTCAGGTTGGAAAGTTGAGATCTGAGAGTTTTGAGTGAATGAAGTGCTGAATAGGACTGACATTATCTAGGAGGTACAGGTAGAGGGGAAGAGAACAAGTGTGAGGACAGAGCCTTGGGAAGCATAGCTGAGGGCAGGGAACAGGTAAAGGTAAAGTGATCAGAGAAGGAATAAACTGTATAATTGACCAGAAAGGTGTTTCTGAAGCCAAAGAAGAAGAGAATTTGTAGTTTTTAAGCCTTGCCTCATTTTGGAACATAACCAATATAGTTGCCCCTTGAACAACACAGGGGTTAGGGGCGCCAACCCCCTGCACAGTTAAGTATAACTTAACTACTAAGAGCCTACTGTTGATCAGAAGCCTTACTGATAAACAGCCTATTAACATGTATTTTGTATGTTATATGTATTCCATACTATACTATGTATTACATACTGTATTCTTAAAATAAACTAAGCTAGAGAAAACAAAATGCTATTAAGAAAATCATGAGGACAAGAAAATACATTTACAGTATTTATTGAAAAAAATCTGCATCTAAGTGGACCCAAGCAGTTCAAACCCATTTTGTTCAAGGGTCCACTGTACTTATTAGTGTCATCTTAAAATATACTTATCAAGCCCTGGCCGGTTTGGTTCAGCGGTTAGAGCGTTGACCTGCGGTCCAGAGAGACCCGGGTTTGGTTCCCGCTAAGGGCACGTACCTCGGTTGCAGTTTGTCCCCGGCCCTGGTCGGTCGAGCGAGTGGCAGCCACTCGATGTGTTCCTTTCACGTCGATGTTTCTCTCTCTCTCTCTCTGTTCCTCTCTCTCCCTCCCACTCTACCTGAACAAAAAATGGAAAAATGTCCTCGGGTGAGGATAAAAAAAAAAGAAAAAAATGCTTATCAAAAAGAAACCTACTTGGCTTTATGTTCCTTATCATTTTCTATGCATCAGAATCATTTATGATTTTCTAGTAGGAATTTTTGATATTTTCCTGACTCTTTCCTTCTAGAGTCTCATGTCATTAAATTGGATCTATCTTTTCTTCCTATTCTTTAAAGCTGTGGGGACACATTAGACTATGCCCAGACTTTCATAAGTGTAATGATAATGTGATTACAGACTCTAAAAATTCCTGTCATTTTTATTTCTTCCTAATTGCTTGAAATTAGATCTGTTATTGGATAATTATTTTGTTGCTTCCACTGCCCTTTGGAGGTAAGATTTTTACTCAGTGAAACAAATGATAACTTTTTAGACACTTCACTTATACATAAATGAGATGTGTTGTAGAAGTTTGGATAATCAGCACTAGCCCACCTCGATTCTCTGTTGGTTTCATAACATCCATTTGTGATCTGCAATCCATTTTATCATGTGTATGTATTCCCACAATGATATTTTTTCAGTTCCTCTTATTCTCAGATATTATTTATCACTTTATCTTAGAATCTCAAGTTCATCGTGTATCAAGAGGTATCCTGACACTGTTGTTAGTAGTCAGGTGGGCAGGTTCTGAGCCAGACTGCCTGGGTTTGAATTGCAGCAATGCGACTTATGAGTTCCGTGACCCTGGGCAAATCATATGTAAATGGATGTCATTGTACCTTTCTTAGACTATTACAGAAAAATTAGAAGCACTCAATAAAGTTAACTATTATTATCTTAGTAATAGTTTAAATATATATACTAATAATATTAATGACTCCCAAAATTTACCCTTAATTTATACCATTTTAATCATTGAACAATTCTGTTTTCAAAAGGAGAGATTGGTAAAATTTGCCAGATATTGCAAAGATGTCAGATAATTTAATGTCCATTAGTGACTCTTGTAAGAGAAATTTGGGGGCATATACCAAGTTGTATCATCATACCAAGATGAAAAGGTAGAGAGAACTCCAGAAACTACTCTTTTAGGAATGCAGAGTTTAAATCAGCTGTTTTATTCACAAGGTTAGATTTTTTTCCTTCTATTTACTTCTCATTTTGAACACTAATGTTAACACATAATAATATTATAATAATAAAAAATATTTACTATTTATTATTGAAATTCTTTTTGTTAGGCAAATGAATCAGCTCCCCAAATGACAAAATAATTTTCTAAAATAAAATCAGAGAAGCATTCATCTACCTTGCGTGTAATGAATTCTCGGTGGATTTTCTTTTTGTAACATGAATTTTTATTGAACATTGCTTCTTTTTTGTCCCTCCAAAAGTCTGTGGATTCTCATGTCATATAACATGTGTAAACAAAGCTCCCACCACATGTCCAGTTCCTCCTGAACAGACAAAAGGTCCACTTGGAATAGATCCTCAGAAAGGAATAGGAACAGCATATGAAGGTCATGTCAGGGTAAGTACCGTTAGGTGGGGTTTAGATTCATCTTTTAAGGTTCAGTAATGAATTCAAGTGCATGCCAGTCACCTTCAAACACAATCCTTGACAGAAAATTAGATGAAGAGAATTTTATAAAGTAATGATTTGAAAACAAAAATTTAGTCTTTGCTTGGAAATCAATTCTAAAATGTCTCAAAATTTTCTGTGCCATCTTCATCTTATAATGAACAAATGTTGAAATCTTCATAAAGAGTCTTTAGCACTTGGCCTTGCTGGAGAGGTGGCATATGCTTATTAAGTGTGAAATATTATCAAGGCCTGATCTTACTGATGCTCTTGAGTTATATTTAAAATGTAAGCCGCATTTCATCTTACTACCAAATTTGACTTTTATGCTACTTAGAAAGAAATACATGAATATTATTTTAATGAATTACTAATGAAAGTTAAAATGGTACCATTTAAAATTTTTCAGAATAAAAAGTCATTCAATGATTGAAGGATGTACTTTCACATTTTATCAATGATATATGTGTTCCATCTGCTACTTTACCAACCAAAGTGGCAGACTTCTAATGTGTATATTATCTTTAGATTTTCACTATGTAGGTACGTATGTAATTAAATGGGCTCTGGTTGACATTTTAGTTTTGAGTTGTTTTTGTTTGTTTGCTTGCCTGTCTAAGATCCCTAAGCCAGCTGGAGTGAAGAAAGGGTGGCAGAGATCATTGGCTGTAGTTTGTGACTTCAAACTCTTTCTGTATGATGTTGCTGAAGGAAAAGCATCTCAGCCCAGTGTTGTAGTCAGTCAAGTGATCGACATGAGGTAAGTTTTCAAAGATGAAAATATTTGTATCTTTGCAACATGTGATTTTTCTTCTAATTATATTGCCGTGTTTTTATTTAAATCTCATCTCATGTTAATTTTCTAATTTACTAATATTGCCATCGTAACATAATTAAAAATATAAGTAAGGTGTAGTTATAGGATGGATTGATGTGGGCGGGGGGGGGTCAGAGAAAAGAAGCTAATGTTTCAATCCAAGGGACCAGTTTAAAAGTTGCTGGAGTATCAGAGACCCAATCTGTGGTATTTATATCATTACCTAAAGGCTTAGAGTGTAATTTCCATGTGAGGAAAGGAAATAAAAATATCAAAGTCAGACAAGTTCTTGGAATATGTAATGCATTGGTAAACACTTAAGTGAATACATCTCAAATGTTTCTGGTCTCGTTTTTCAGATCTTCCCCTGTCCCTTGTAGTGTCTCCTTTCCCTCTTCTCATAACTCCGGCTGTTTTCCCGGAGTCGCCTCCGTGACCCCGTGGCTTCAGCCATCTCGTCCTCATTGATGATTCCCAGACACTTACTCCAGTCCACACCTTCCTCCAGCATTCAGAACTGGGACTTCTGTTGTGGCTTACACTGCATTTCACACCAACATCTCTGACATATTATCTTTCCCATAAACATGGAATATGAAGGGGTAAACACAAGACATATTAGCAATGAAAATTTGACAGTGCCTGTTAAGGGCCTAAATATAGAAAGATAAGGAGAAAGATCAAAGATAAGACTAAGGTGTCAAGTCTCTAAGACCAAGAGGATGATAGTACCAGTAACCAAGTTAAGGAATAAATTATTGTGGAGCAAATCTGTGGTAGGCATTGAAGGAACAGTAAAATGACAGAGAGCACTTGAAGTGTTTTATGGGAGGCAAGAGGGTCCATTTTGCTGGAGACCTACCAGCACTGAAATCCCCGTACACTTGTAGCTACTGGCCTTGGGACTTTGGGTGAGCCAGGAATTATTTCTAGCTCTTGTATAATGTGTCACTGTAAAGCTACTGATAAATTACTATGGACACTATCAATTACAATGAGGGAAAAAAATCAAAATTTTTAAAGACTTCAATTTGGATGTTTTGTGCAATTCAGTTTTGAGGATTGCTTCATATATATTATTTGGATATACACCCAAGACCACACACATACCCTCATACACTGACTTTTAATGTTTCACTTTTCCTTCAGGGATGATGAATTTTCTGTGAGTTCAGTCTTGGCTTCTGATGTTATTCATGCGAGTCGAAAAGATATACCCTGTATATTTAGAGTAAGTACGTGTGCTATAACTTGATCACGAAGTTATTTGTTTTAATGAGTATGTTTTGCATCTCTGTACAGACCACAAACTTACTAGGAATAGGACCAAATTCTCTATTCCTTTATGTATTCCATATTATCCAGTACTTGAATGAATAGACAGTTAGTGCTAAGTAAATATTTAATTTTGAAAGCCCTGTAGAAAGCCTTATTAACATATAGCTTCTAAATTAGGTTTCTTCTTGGATAATATTTTTTAGTCACAATTGAATTTTCAAATACTAGCACACAGCAAATTGATTAAGTATGAGGTTTCTCAAGTCTTTTGAAAATGAGAGTGTGTTTTTTTAATCTCATTTTTAAAAAATTAACCTGTTTTTCAGCTTTGGTGCTTTGCAGTAACCACTCCAAACTTAGTGGCTTAAAGTAACAGTGATTTATTTTTCACCATTCTGTGGGTCAGCTATGCAATTTTTTTTGTGTTGACTGGTATCCCTCATGTGGCTGCATTCAGCTCATTTGGGGCTGGAATATCCAAAATGATCTACTCTTCACATCCGAGGTCTTGGTGCTGGCTGTTCGCTGGGCGGTCTCAGTTCTCTCTGTGAACTCTGCATGTGGTCTCTAGTCTCTCTCATCGTTTAGTAGACTGGCTGAGCTTCCAGGGCTGGCTTCCAGGAGAGCAAAAGAAGCTGCCAGGCCTCCTAAGACTAGACCCCAAATAGGCATAATAACCCTATTTGGGGTCATTAGGTCAGCCTGGATTTAAGGGAGTGGAATAGATTCCACTTTTGGATAAGAAGAATTGAATTCCATGGGAAGAATTGTTGGTAGCCCTCTTTGGAGGCTGTCCACAGTGCAATCTTGAATTGGTGAATTAAGATAATAGGTAAAAAGAAAGGGCTAATGCACCAACCCAATGCCCGTATGCTTAGTATTTGTCTGAGACTTGCATCTAAGGAAGGTTGGAAAAAGAGTACTTTGTCTCAGTTTCTACACCAACAACTGTGCTCTCCCCAGCCTCCTCCCGAGCTTACAGAGGCCCACTTATCTGTAACTGATAAATATAGTGGGATTTTATTTGTCATGCTGCTTAAATTACTTTTAATAAAGGGTCCATATGTATATAATATAAATCTGAGTTAAAATGCTGTTTTCATAATAATAAACTTCATTTAAATAGTAACTAAAGTGAGCTGATCTTCTCTAAGGTAATGTGAGTTATTGTTATGAAATAACAAAGAATGGTAGTATTTCTGAGTGTTTCTGACGTCTTAAAACAAGTTGAAAACCAGTATGGGCCCTGGCCAGTTTGGCTCAGCGGTTAGAGTGTCAGCCTGCGGTCCAGAGAGACCCGGGTTCGGTTCCCGCTAAGGGCACGTACTTCGGTTGCAGTTTGTCCCCGGCCCTGGTTGGTCGTGCGGGTGGCAGCCACTCGATGTGTCCCTTCACATCGATGTTTCTCTCTCTCTCCCTTCCTCTCTCTCCCTCCCACTCCATCTGTACAAAAAATGGAAAAATATCCTCGGGTGAGGATAAAAAAAAAAAAAAAAACCAGTATGGTATAGTGCTTATGAGCATAGACATGGGATCCCACTCTTGAGTGCTCTTGGGGAAATTAATTTCTCTGCATCACAGGTTTTTCACATATAAAATCAGGATGTAATAACAATACCTATCTTATGAAGATGTTGAGAGGGTTATGTGAGGTAATACTTGGTTTTTGTTGTTAATCCTCACCTGAGGATATTTTTTCCATTGATTTTTAGAGAGTGGAAAGAAGGGAGGAAAAGGGAGGGAAAAACATTGATGTGAGAGAGACACATTGATTTGGTTGCCTCCCACACCTGCAACGGACACATGCCCTTGACCTGAAATCGAACCCACGACCCTTTGATCCACAGGCTGATAATGCTCTAACCGCTGAGCCAAATCGGCCAGGATATGTGTTAATACTTGTAAAGTACTTTGATCAGTGCCCAGGGCTCAGTAATTACTCAGAAATTCCAGTTGCTGTTATATGAGTGTGTATAGTGCACTTTTTAGTGATGGTATTCTGGCACTTTATAGCAAAGAAAATAAAAATGATACTAACGTTTACAATGGTATCTGCTACCTTTGCTTTATCAGAAACTAGTTATTCTTGTAAGCAGGAATAGCTAACCTCTGCTAAAGGTATCACTGAATGAATGCTTATTTTTTTTTGTCTAGTGCTGAGCAAACCAATCTAAGCATAAAACTGACTTAAAGGGTGTCTGTTTTCTGATATCATGAATTTTGATTCAATTTTTCTAGGTCACAACTTCCCAGCTGTCAGCGTCGAATAACAAATGTTCCATCCTGATGCTGGCAGATAGTGAGAATGAGAAGAGCAAGTGGGTGGGAGTGCTGAGTGAATTGCACAAGATTTTGAAGAAAAACAAATTCAGAGACCGCTCAGTCTATGTTCCCAAAGAGGCTTATGACAGCACTTTACCCCTCATTAAAACTACCCAGGCCGCTGCCATCATAGGTATGAATCTGTAACGTTGATCATGTTATTAGAATTGTTTATTAACCTACCTTGTCAGCGGAAACTGACTTTCACTTAGGAGTCCCCAGCGTCCATCCTTGTATGCGTTATATCACAGGTGCTTGGTGTTTATTGAATGAATGAGACTAAATTAAGCTTTGTTTCTCAGTAAACAAGAATAAGTATACTTTTCAAATGTGTTTTCTTAAAAAGCAGCAGTGTTAAAGTTTAACTTTCAACATATCTATTTTTGGAAAGTTTAAATAAGACACAATATATAACAGAGTGCCCTTGTACATAAAAAAAGTCCTCAATAAAATGGCAGCTGTGTGTCTCGAGATTTAAATTTCCGCCATATTGTTATGTACACATTCAACCCTTTTGTTACTTTCTAGTAAATAATGCAGTTTAATGAGTAGGTTTCAAATGCCTTTTATAATTTTTCCCTCCCAAAACAAGAAACGGAACTGGACCCAGGGCACTAACAAACCAGGTTTTTAATTTTTTTCACCTTTTATTGAAGAGATATTTCATTCTTTTTGTAAATCATGATGTAGATTACTTTCTAATGATGTTCTATTAAAAAAGACAGGAGAGGAAATTTAATAGTAAGAATTATTATTGCTATTTTCAAATTATTTCAGGTTTTTTACCAAATTTTTAACTATTTTATTCTATTAGTTTTACATAATTTTTACCTAATAAAAATTTCATATTTATTTATATCTTACATAGATCATGAAAGAATAGCTTTGGGAAATGAAGAAGGTTTATTTGTTTTGCACGTCACCAAAGATGGTAAGAGAAAACTTAATTATTGTGGGTTAACTTTAAACTGTATGTTGTTAGAAAATTCTAAACTGTAATTTCTAATTCTAAAAACAGCAGGATTTGCTCTTATTGTTTCTATAATTTCAGTTTTTCACACCTAATTTGATATGTTTACAAGTCAAAAGATAACTTTTTAATTTCTGTAATTATCCTGAGTCCTAAAACTTCCACATATGTTTTGTCTTTCTTGTGTAACTTTATTTAACAGTTCTGCTGTAGAACTCGGGTTACTTTTCTAAAAAAGGTTCATGAAAGAAAATACGACTTGATTTTTCCATTTTTCTAAAAGTACTAGGAGAGATAACAGTCATTAAGAGGTGTTCGTTGTTGAGGTTTTGTACCCATGGTTTATTACAAAAGATCTTTCTCTAAAGATAAATACTGAGTGAAATAAAAAGAAACCAATTTAATTTAGCATTCTTAAATACAGTGTTCTAAGTTCTATATTTATATCAAGTTAGGTCATGGGAAAACAATGCCCTTAAACTTCATTAGCTTGTTACCCATACAAATACTGTTAGTGAAATCTGAGTTACTCATCTTTTAAAAGATACAAACCCCATAGTAAAAAGTTTCCTAGAACTTAGTACCAATAAAAAGGCTTGTGTGCTTTGTTTTGTTTTTTAAAGATCTGGCATACCTTCTCACATAACAGCTCTTTGCCTTCGCTGCCAGAAATCTCAGTGCTAAATTTAATACTCTACTGTAGATGAGTTAAATTATCTTGCAATGGGTATAGTTATCTTCCTCTTTCTCCATGTGATTTCTGAGCTCTTATTCTTCCCTGTGTGTGTATCTGTCTTTATTATAAGTTGACTTATATCCTTTTGAGTATAATTGAGATATGATTGACAAATAAAACATTTTGCATTTTATTTATTATTTCTTTGCAAAGAAATTATTAGAGTTGGTGACAATAAGAAGATTCATCAGATTGAACTCATTCCAAATGATCAGCTTGTTGCTGTGATCTCAGGACGAAATCGTCATGTACGACTTTTTCCTATGTCAGCTTTGGACGGGCGAGAGACTGATTTTTATAAGCTGGCAGAAACCAAAGGGTGTCAGACCATAACTTCTGGGAAAGTGCGTCATGGAGCTCTTACATGCCTGTGTGTGGCTATGAAAAGGCAGGTCCTCTGTTACGAACTATTTCAGAGCAAGACCCGTCACAGAAAATTTAAGGAAATTCAAGTCCCATATAATGTCCAGTGGATGGCAATCTTCAGTGAATACCTCTGTGTGGGATTCCAGTCAGGATTTCTAAGATACCCCTTGAATGGAGAAGGAAGTTCATACAGTATGCTCCATTCAAATGACCACACACTGTCATTTATTGCACATCAACCAATGGATGCCATCTGCGCGGTTGAGATCTCCAGTAAAGAATACCTGCTGTGTTTTAACAGCATTGGGGTGTACACTGACTGCCAGGGCCGAAGATCTAGACAACAGGAATTGATGTGGCCTGCAAACCCTTCCTCTTGTTGTAAGAGTCTCTTACTTTTGGCTGTCTTATATTTCTGTCTCTTTTTCCTTCTGCTTCATCTCCTAGATATATTTATTGTTAATAACAGGTTATATTTAAGTCATTCTTAATATTTTCCTGAGTATTATGTTTATGTAAAGTAACCATGTATAGTTAAGCCTCGGCCAACAGTGTCAGCATTAACATGCAAATAAATTGAAGTTAATCTTCCTATATATCTTTTTTTTTTTTTCATTGATTTTTTTAGAGAAAGAGGAAGGGAGAGAGAGAGAGAAAAAAAAACATTGATGTGAGAGAGAAACATCCATCGGCTGCCTCCTGCACGCCCTCTAATGGGATTGAGCCTGCAGCCCTGGCACATGCCCTGACTGGGAATTGAATGGGGACCTCTCTGTCCCTGGGACGACACTCAGCCCACTGAGCCACACCGGCTGGGCAAAGTTAATCTTTCTATGGAATATTTTACTGAGAAGAATTTGCTAACCTATATTATTGTATTTTGAAATAACCCTAAATCATTATCTTCATGGCCCCCCAAAATAGTGTGATTATTAATAGATAAGACTTCCTCTGGAGAAGTAGCTACTAAATTAGTTAATTAGTTATGTAAAGGTATAGTGTGGCATCTATAAGAAGTATTATTTAGTTTTACATTTTTATCTAGATAGGTAGATATTAAAATTGCTTATTTCACTCTTTCAAGAACTATTAAGACGTGAATAAGTTTTGGAATACTCATTATGTACCATCTCACTGTATAAGACATAACAAGTAGGAGGATTATCCAACACAAAATGCTTTGTTTTTAAGGGAAGATACTTGAGCATGTTTAAATACTGAAGGGAAGTAGCCACTAGGGGAACTAGGAAAAGTTGACTCTATAGTAAATATAAGAACTGAAGTTAGATCTCCAAGAAGGCCAGAGAGGCTGGAATTTAGAACATGGTGAAGGATGTGGGCAAGAGGAGTAAACCCTCTTCCACCTAGAACAGGATAGGAGGAGAGATGGGATGAGTACAATCATCTTTAAAGTTTCAGCAAAAGAAAGTTTTGGAGAGCCATACATGCTTATTACAGAAAATTTAGAAAAATCTAGATAAAAAAAGAAAAATACTTCTAATCCTACAAACCTAGACTTACCTAGACTTAACTAGACTTAACGTTTTGCTTCTTCTGAAATATATGCTCTCACCTATGGCATCATTTTTAGAAAAGAATGTTGTTTTGTAACCTAGTCAGATAATTCAAAGTTTGACGTCTAATGTGGAGTAAGAATTGTAATATCTGGCTTTTATAAATAGCTCTGCCAAAAATTTAATTTGTGACCTTAGTGTAGAGAAATAATTTAATCCCTCTTTGCTTGTGTCACCATTGATCCATCCCTTCAATAAGTATATATTGAGCATCTACCCTGTTCATGTCACTGTGCTGGGTGCTTTATCAAACATCCCTAACCATGACTTAAAGATTTCTCTATAGGTTTGTTTCATTGTCAATAGCTTAAGAGTCAAAGTCCTTTATAGAACTAGTATCAGGCAAGGGAATATTACACCCTTGGTATTAACAGAATCCTTTTGTATTATTTATGGCTATAAAATTTTTATTTATGATTTATGTTCTGTTTACTTCAAAAAAGGTTTTGATATTGTTATACAATAATAATAGGATTTGGGTGAGATTCCACTCTATAATTATTTAGCATGGACCTTTCAAAATGTTTTGGGTTTATAGTTAAAGGTGACCAGCCAGCTGTTCCTTCTCCCTTCTCCCAGGTTACAATGCACCCTATCTCTCAGTGTACAGTGAAAATGCGGTTGACGTCTTTGATGTGAATTCTATGGAATGGATTCAGACCCTCCCACTCAAAAAGGTAATTTAACATTAAAATGTGAGCTAAGCAAAGTAATGCATCTAAGTGAAACTCTAACATGACTATTTAGCTATTTTTCACTAATTCAGCAGTTTCTGGCATATGTAGTTGGTAATTTGGGATTTAGCTAAGAATAAAAAAAAAATCAAGCGAGTTAATTTTATAAGTAGCTCAACTCCATACTATTTTTTATTACATGTAGTTTCTCTGTATGAAGTATGATTATTATAAGGAACAACTAGAATATATCCTGCAACCCAAAAAGTGTATCTTCCACTATAGTTTGAGGAGCTCTGAGGGCGTACGTTATTCTTAACTGTAACTTTTTTCACATAATGATATACAATTTGAAATCCTGTGAGGACTACAGGCTAGAAAAGTGATTAAAAGTAGAACCAAAACTGTGGTTAAACATCTCATAATTAAAAAATAAAGACTTCACATATTCCTAATAAAACATAATATTTTCCTATGATCACATAAAGAGAAATTTTTTTTTTATCCTCACCCGAGGGCATTTTTTGATATTTTGTTCAGAAAGAGTGGGAGGGAGCGAGAGAGAGAGAGAGAAACATCAACGTGAAAGGGACACATAGAGTGGTTGCCACACGACCCAACCAGGGCCGGGGACAAACTGCAACCGAGGTACGTGCCCTTAAGGGAAACCGAACCCAGGTCTCTCCAGACCGCAGGCTGACGCTCTAACCGCTGAACCAAAACGGCCAGGGCAACATAAAGAGAAATTTTTATAAGTAGTATAGAACAGTTATTTTTCGAAAGTGGAGGGTAGTACTTTCATTAGTTAGGGGACAGGGTTTAGAAGAATAAGTAAAAGAAAGTAACCAAGACCATATTTCAAAATCTTCCTCAATTTTAAACCATGTCATCAGTGAATAAAGCTCATGTAAATACCACCGCACTAGGTGAAGCCACTAAATACAGTCCCTCTAGTTTATAAATTTGGGCTGGTTGCAATTAGTTATTCCTCTTATTTTTATTATGTAAATTTTATAATATATATGAAAGAATATGTGACCTTTAAGAAGCTTAATACTAAATGGATCACTTGTGAATCCACCTCTAACTAAAAAACCAGGAGATGACCACTTTCATTGCATCTGCCTGTGTAGTTTTCTCTTACCCCAATTCCTGTCTCTCTCCAGAGAACTCAGTATCCTGAATGCTGTTTATCACTTCCTTGCTTTCCATAAAATCCAGAATTTTGTGTGTGTTTGAATATTTCTAAACAATATATGGTTCAGTTTTGCTTGCATTTGAGGTTATAAAATGTTATGTTGTATGTCATCTTCTGCCTTGCTTTCTTCATGCATTTACTGTGTTTCTAAGATTCATCCATGTTGTTACATGTACTAACCACCATGGTGTTACATCTGTTCTTTGCTTTCACTATATAAAGTAATCTGTTGGATGAATAAATCATAACTTATCTGTTCTCTGATTAGCATATTTGACTTATTTTCCAGCTTTATGCTGTTGTGATCATTGTTGCATGTCTTCTGGTCATGTGTACAGGAGTTTCTTTAAATCGTGCCTGGGAATGGAATTGATGATACACGGGGAGTGCAGGTGTTCAACTTCACAAGCTGGTGTCAAATTATTTTCCAACGTAATTGTACAGTTGACACTCCCACCAGCAGTATACACAAGTTTTGCTAACCCACATCCTCTCTAACACTTGCCATTGTGGGAATTCATAGTTTTATATCCCTTATAAATGGTTATAAAGTAGTATCTCTGAAGTATTCGTTTGCATGTCCCCAATTAACTATGTTGTTTGTCCATTTAGTTCAAACAAAATTCATAAAGTTATCTCTATTGATAGTTTAATAATTATCATTTGATCAGTGGCTTTAAAAAGTCAAATTTAAGGTTTAAATGTATTTCTGTTTTTTTGGGGGGGTTCAGCATAGTCTTTCTTTAAAATGTTATAACTTTGTTCAAATTAGATAATTTTATACCTTTCAGTCATAATTAATGTTAATTTTGTTGATTTTTTCTGAGAGGGCTGTATTTTGAAGAGGAAGGATAAAGTAAAAGTCTTAATATGTGTGTCATTTATATGTGGTCAAAAGTTTTATAATTTAATTTTTGAAGGTTTTATTGAAATACTAATTTTATTTTTTATTATTTTAGGTTCGACCCTTAAACAGTGAAGGATCATTAAATCTTTTAGGCTTGGAGACAATTAGATTAATATATTTCAAAAATAAGATGGCAGGTAAGAAAATACACATTAATAGGATAACTTCAATGGAAATATTCTCTCTAAGCTGGCTTCCTGAAGATAGTAATGGCAGAGCCCAGATTTAAACTCAGTTGTATCTTACTCCAACTTCTGTGATCTTGACCACTGTCATACTCTTTCAGTAGACTGAGATATACTACTGGACAAAAAGTCATTCTGGTGTTTTGGGAGATTTAAAATATATATTTTTTAATCCTCACCCAAGGATATTTTTTTCAAATATCTTCAGATAGAGTGTGAGGGGAGGGGAGAGAGAGAAAGAGAGAAAGAAACATTTGTGTGAGAGAGACACATTGATTGGTTGCCTCCCACACGACCCTGACCAGGGCTGGGGACAACCTGCAACCAAGGTATGTGCCCTTGGCCAGAATCGAACCCGAGACTCTTTGGTCCTCGGCTGACGCTTTAACTACTGAGCCAAACCAGCCAGGGAAGAGTCATTCTATTTAAGCTTGCATAGCTGTATAAGCAAAATATTTGTTTCTGACTTACCTTGTTATTTTCCTGTGGCATACCAAGGTAAGTACAGAAAGTATGACTGAATATATTTTCTGTACTTTTAATACATCATTACTGTATGAGAAGAATGTTGCTTTTTTACTAATCATCTTATTTTGGCCTGCTTTACTCACCCATTTGACTTCTTCCCACTTCCTTTTTCTCACTTCAGCTTTTTGGATATTGAAACCTTGTAAAGATTGGCTTTCTCTTTTCCTGATCTTATTTAGAGAATGGCATTACCATGTTGTGTGGATTGCATGGTTGTATGGCATTACCATAGTTGTTTACTCGACAGCAGTTCACATAGCCCAGCGTGTTTTAGGAGCCCATGGCTGACAGTTGTGTTTACTTCTATGTATTAAAATTGAAATAGAATAAGATGGGCCCTGGCATGCTGGGTGTATATGAATAAGTATCACCTGCCCCAAGGTCCAAAGAGGAGGACTAGTGACAGATTCTTGCCTTTAGTAAAGGTACCTAGTGGGAACGCGATTCCTTTCCCTTTCTCACACCTCGAAGATTGGATCTTGCAAAGGAAATGCTCTAATATGTAAAAATAATTGTAATTGTTATAATTTTTATGAATAATTTACCATATATACCTGACCACTGTGCAGGTTAGCAATACTTTTTAACACCCTGAGCCACTGAAACCCAATACGTAGAAGGAGAGAGAATAGTGTAGCATCACGGGGTGGGGTGCCCAGAGTAACCGGACACCAAAACAACTACATCTTTCTTTTTTTCTCCTAGTAAAATTGTGCTATTTTATGTTTATAATCAAATAAAAGTGAAAATATACTTTGTAAGTTATGTTTTGTTTCGGCATATATCTGTTTATATGTGTTCTGTTGAAAATTTTTGCTTATTGCAAGTACTGTGCTTACACAAGTTAACATGATTATGCTGTCTTAGAGATGAAGGGACAAAAAGCATTTCAACACCTAAAGAACATCATTTTCTCTGTGTTTATTTATTTATTCATTCATTTATTTATTTTTTAAATCTTTATTGTTGAATGTATTACAGATGTTCCTCATTTTTCCCCCATTGACCCCCTCCTCCCCACTCCCGCCCCCCTCCCGCCTTTTCCCACACTATTGTCTTTGTCCATTGGTTATGCATATAAGTTCTTTGGTTTATTTATTCCCACCACCCCCCAACCCCTTTCCCTTTGAGGTTTGTCAGTCTAGCAATGAATTTGTACTACTTAATTCCTTCACCTTTTTCACCCATTCCCCCACCCCTCTTCCCATCTGGCAACCAACAAAATGTTTTCTGTATCTATGAAAATGTTTCTGCTTTGCCTGTTCATTTTGTTTGTAGATTCCACTGTCAATAGATATGTATTCATTGCCATTTTGTTTGTTCATATATTTTATCTTTTTCTTCAAAAAGACCCTTCATCATTTCATATAATAACGGTTTGGTGGTGATAAACTCCTTTAACTTTTTCTTGTCTGGGAAACTCTTTATATGGCCATTGATTCTAAATGACAGCTTTGCAGGATAAAGTAATCTTGGTTGTAGGTTCTTGCTTTTCATCACTCTGAATATTTCTTGCCACTCCCTTCTGGCCTGCAAAGTTTCTTTTAAGAAATCAGCTGACAGCCTTATTGGAACTTCCTTGTAGGTAACTAACTGCTTTTCTCTTGCTGCTTTTAAGATTCTCTCTATGTCTTGAACCTTTTGCACTTTGTGTTTTTTGTTTTGTTTTGTTTTAATTTTTTTTTTTTATTACAGATGTTTCTCCTTTTTTACCCCATTGACACCCTCCTCCCCATTCCCCCCTGCCTCCTCTCCAGCTTTGTTGTCCATGTCCATTGGTTATGCATACATGCATATGAGTTCTGTGGTTTATCTCTTCCTACCTCTCCACCCCCTCTTCTGAGGGATGTCAGTCTGTGCCCTATTTCCATGTTTCTGGGTCTACTGTATTCCTCAGACTATTATGTTCATTATATTCTGTATATAAGTGAGATCATGTGGTATTTGTCTTTTTCTGCTTGGCTTATTTCACTTAGGATAATACTTTCCAGGTCCTTCTATGTCGTCTCAAAGGATAAGAGATCTTTCCTTCTTATAGCTGCATAGTACTCCGTTGTGTATATGTACCACAGCTTTTTTATCCATTCGTCTACTGATGGACACTTGGGCTGTTTCCAGATCTTAACTATTGTAAATAGTGCTGCTATGAACATGAGGGTACATATATTCTTCCTGATTGGTGTTTCAGGCTTCTTAGGATATATTCCTAGAAGCGGGATCACTGGGTCAAATGGAAGTTCAATTTTTAATTTTTTGAGGTAACACCATAGTGTTTTCCATAGTGGCTGCACCAGTCTGCATTCCCACCAGCAGTGTACTAGAGTCCCCTTTTCTCCACACCCTTGCCAACACTTGTTGTTTGGTGATTTGTTGATGATGGCGGCCATTCTGACAGGTGTGAGGTGATACCTCATTGTTGTTTTAATTTGCATCTCTCTGATAATTAGGGACGTTGAGCATTTCTTCATATGTCTCTTGGCCATTTGTATGTCCTGTTTGGAGAGGACATACAAATTCAGCTCCTCTCCCCATTTTTTACTTGGGTTCTTTGTCTTCCTTTTGTTGAGTTGTATGAGCACTCTATATATATTGGAAATTAACCCCTTATCTGATATATCATTGGCAATGATGTTCTCCCATACAGTGGGTTGCCTTTTCATTTTGATGATTGTTTCTTTTGCTGTGCAGAAGCTTTTTAGTTTGATGTAGTCCCAACCTTTTGCATTTTGATGATGATGTGTCTTGGTGTGAGCCTCTTGGGGTTCATCTTGTTTGGGGCTGTCTGTGCTTCCTGCACTTGTATGTCTGTTTCCTTCACCAAGTTAGGAAAGTTTTCTTCCATTATTGTTTCAGACAGGTTTTCGATTTCTTGTTCTCTCTCTTCTCCTTCTGGCACCCCCAAGATGCGAATGTTGGCACGCTTAAAGTTGTCCCAGAGGCTCCTTACACTATCCTCATTTTTTTGGATTCTTTTTTCTTTTTGCTGTTCTGATTGGGTGTTTTTTGCTTCCTTATATTCCAAATCAGTGGTTTGCTTCTTGGATTTACATACTCTACTATTGAATCTGTGTAAATTATTCTTTATTTCAGTTAATGCCTCCTTCATTTCTGACTGTGCATCCATCATTTCTGACTGGTCCTTTTCGAGGCTCTTGAGGCCCTCACTAAGTTCATTGAGCATCCTTATAAGCAGTATTTTGAACTCAGCATCTGTTAGGTTGCTTATCTCCTTTCACTTAGTTCTTTTATTGGGGTTTTGTTCTGTTCTTTCATTTGGGACCTGTTTCTATGTCTCCTCATTTTGGCTGCCTCCCTGTGTTTGTTTCTGTGTATACTTAACGAGAAGTATGGGGCTAGCTGAAACCAGATGCTGCTTGTTTGAAAGAATTTAGGGAAACCTGAAGCAGGATCCAAGACCGGCCAATCCTATGGTTAAGCAACTGGCAACAGCTTGCGTGGTCCTGAAAGTTGGGTGGGGCGGGGCCTCAGGGAGACAACAGGGCGGGGCTACCAGTGTGAGCTAGGTTGCTGGAGTCCCAGATATGGCTTCTGTCTGCTGCCCCAGGGAAGGGCTCACCAACGGAACAAAGGCCTCTGACAGCATGTTTGTCCCGGAGAAAGCCCCCTCTCCAGCCCTCGCTCAGGTGCCAAACAGCTCAGTTCTTCCCTGTATGTCTCTGGCGCCCTTCGAGCTGCCTCCCCTCCAAGCTTAGAGGGAGAGAGTCCGATAAGTCCGTGCGCGGGCCCTTTAAGGAGCTGCCTGGGGCTCCAGCCGCCTCAGCTTCCCTGAGCCTCAGTTCCCGCTGGTTTTTCCAGCCAGAAGTTATGGGGATTCTCTTCCTGGTACTGGAACCCTGAGCAGGGCATCTGGTGTGGGACAAGGACCCCTCAGTCCTCAGAGAGGACCTTCCCAGCCGAGGTGTCCTGATTTTTATCCGCCACACGTGGGTGTGGGACCAGCCCGTCCGCGCCTCCGCCACTCCTACCAGTCTCCATGTGGCTGCTGCTTTAATTCCGTAGTTGCAGGACTTCCATTCAGCTTGATTTCAGGCGGTTTTGAATGATGGTTGTTCTGTAGTTTAGTTGTAACTTTGATGTGGTTGTGGGAGGACGCGATACTGCGTTTACCTACCCGCAGTCTTGACCGGAAGTCCTTCTCTGTGTTTTTTTAAACAGAAGGGGATGAACTGGTAGTCCCTGAAACCACGGATAACAGTCGGAAACAGATGGTTAGAAACATGAACAACAAGCGGCGCTACTCCTTCCGAGTCCCAGAAGAGGAAAGGATGCAGCAGAGGAGGTGGGCATCTCACGTACAGTCCCCCACTGTGCCTACGTAGTGTGGGAAGGGTTGTTTGATGGTAACAGGATACGCAATTTGAGAGGAAAATCTGATCTCTGAAAATCTGTCATTCATCTGTGATGTTAAAAACTGAGTAATGAATGTAGTTCTCAGTGTAATTTTACTTTATTATTTTGTAATTCTTACCTGAGGATATTTTTCCATTGATTTTTAGATAGAATGGGAGGGAGGGAGAGAGAGAGAAATATCAATGTGAGAGAGACACATCAATTGGTTGCCTCCCACACGACCCCAACCAGGGTCAGGAATCGAACCTACAACCCAGGCACATGCTCTTGACTGGGAATTGAACCCAAGACCCTCAGTCCTCGGGCTGATGCTCTTACCGCTGAGCCAAACCAGTCAGGGTGAAGTACCATATTTTAATTCATTTCTCTATGTCTGTGGAGTAGTTAGACTTAGAATCTGAACCTTGTTATAATAAAAACATAGAACTTATCTCTGCATAATAGTAAACCTGTATATAGCTAAGAACTTCAGATTAACTATTCTCTTTATGAGCAAACAGAAATATTTTCAGTCACATATACAAACATTTCTAAGTGTTATTAATTATTTGAAGACATACGTGTGTGCTCAGAATTACCTGCGAAATAGAGTAGGGCTCCTTCGGTGTCTCTGTACTAAGAGAGCCCTCTCTCTTCCCGTCAGAAATGGTAAGATCTTTTATTTAAAATGTAAAACAAATCTAAGTAAAATTTTAATTGAGTATATTCTATTATTTTAATTCTATTTCTATTGTGATTTCACATTTATTTTTATGAAAAAAATTAAATATTCTTAATTTGTTTCTAGAATTACCTAGATTGATCATAGTAAAAGTGTCTAAACAGATGTTTTCTCTTACAGAGAGATGCTACGAGATCCTGAAATGAGAAATAAATTAATTTCTAATCCAACTAATTTTAACCACATAGCACACATGGGTCCAGGGGATGGAATACAGATCCTAAAAGACCTGCCCATGGTAAGAGAAATGAAGAGTGAATGTGAATATGAATTGGGGTTAAGAGTAAGAGAAATGTGTGTGTGTGTGTGTGTGTGTGTGTATACAGGGGTGGGGAAAAGTAGGTTTTCCAGTTGCATGTACCATTTTTTTGAGTCAATAAAGCTATTGTGATCATTATAACCTGCATGTCTTTTTCCATACGAACAACTGTAAACCTGCTTTTGCCCACCCCTGTATATGTGCTCAGATATGTGAGACTTAAAAGGATACATTATGATAATGAGGAAATGTTATCTCAGTGTATCACAATATTTGTAAGATGCATGATGCCATACCTGATGAGAAAAACATAAAATTAGGCCCTGGCTTATTTCGCTCAGTGGTTAGAGCATTGACCCTCAGACCAAAGAGTCATGGGTTTAATTCTGGTCAAGGGCACATACCTCGGTTAGGGCTTGTCCCTGGCCCTGGCTTGTCCCTGGCCCTGGCCGGGTCATGCGGGAGGCAACCAGTTGACGGGTCTTTCTTGCATCAATGTTTCTCTTTGTCGCGCTCTCTCTCCCCCTCCCCCGCTCCTCCCCCCTCTTCCTCTCCCTCTCCCCCTTCTTCCCTCCTCTCTCCCCCCTCCCTCCCACTCTCTTCTTCGAAGATAAATGGAAAAATATCCTTGGGTGAGGATTAAACAAAAAATCATAAAATTAAGACATCTATCAAAAACCAAACACATCAAGTTTTTGTTTAATTGCATACCCTATAGATTTACTATTGTTGGTAAAATAAATGGCCATATTTGAAGAGGATTTATACCAAGATTCAGAACTTGGTTATCAAATCACTCAAACTTCACTAAGTTTAGCAATTCAGTACAGATATTTGCCCCCGCCCCAGAAAACCACATTGGCTTGGTTGTTAATGGTCACAACAGTCATCTGATTGTGAAATGAAATCTCTTTTCTGTGCCTGGTCATTCTTACATAAAAAAAAAAAGTGCAACATAGGAAAACTTATATTTTAATAACTTGAAGATTGGCTTCTTGGACCTATTATATTGACATTAAGACTATTAGTGGACCCTGTTTATACTTAATATTTCAGAATCAGAATTCTCTTAAGTTATTGAAACTTTAGCATGACCCTATTGATCAGTGGTGATAACACCTAGATTTTGCACAAAGTTTTTTTGTTTGTTTATTTTTGTTACAAATGTTTCTCCTTTTTCCTCCATTGACACTAGATTTTGCACAAAGTTTTAACATAATTTATATACTACGGTGATTTGGGAGATTTGTGAATTTTGTCCCACAGCTCTTTCTAAGGAAGTCTGTTAATTACCCACATTACTAATTCTACTGTCATAGAATATGTAAATAAATGTCACTGACAAAAAAAAAAAAAAAAAGATATATAATACAGTTTGATGTGTAGTCAAGTTTTTTTAAATAAGAAATGTAAGCCTTTACAGGTAGTTTTGCTTTTATTTCATGGGAGAAACCAAAAAAATATGCCTTCATTTGAGTCCAACTTCCTCAATATAAATATCCCAATTAATCAGTTGGCCCTGCTTATGAATGAATGTGACAGTCTTACTGTCACTGTTTTCATTATCATTAAGACATTGTTCTATGATTTTAGTAATATTTCTTCCTTTAAGGAGTTCAAACAATTCATAATAGTCATTTATCCTTTTGGAATGGGGATTGTCCTTAGCTGTGCTGGGTAAATGTAGATAAATTATAAAGAAAGAGTACAGCTTATCTTGATATCATAATAACTAAAAATCTTAAGGCTAAGCATAAATACTAGGCTAAAAATGTTGGGCATAAATAAAGGCTAAATCTAAATATTAAACTGTTATATTTAAAAGCTATACTATTTTTTCAGCTTTTGCCTTGGGCTGAGATTTTAGATTTCTCTCCATTCCTTTCCCATCCTGAACATTTGCTTAAAGTCTTCGGTCTGGTATTGAAAGAAACATAACAACCACACAGCACGAAACCTCTGTCATTTTTCTTATGGAAGTTACTGTGCCAGCACAAAGTGCCTTAAGAGAGAGCATTTTTTAAATTATAATAAACAGTTGAAATGTGATTATATTTATAGCTTCTATTTGATATAGGTGAAGTGGTAGTACTATTTTAATGAAACTTTTTGAAATTTAGTAACTAATTCTTCAGCACCTGATAATATAGTTAGCATTATGGAGGAATAGAAGGGTACACATTTCAAACACGCACATATATTGCAAAGCAACACATCAGCAAATACAAAATGATTTCAGTAGTTAACAAGGCTTTAATGGGTATTGTCCTTTTAAAATTACATTTTCTTTCACTTTTAGTTCATTTTGGTGCACAAAAAAGAATATAGGCCCTGGCCAGTTTGGCTCAGCAGTTGGAGCATCGGCCTGGAGTCCGGAGAGACCCGTGTTCGGTTCCCGTTAAGGGCATGTACCTCGGTTGCAGTTTGTCCCCGACCCTGGTTGGGTGGTGCGGGTGGCAACCACTCGATGTGTCCCTTTCACGTCGATGTTTTTCTCTCTCTCTCTGTCTCCCTCCCACTCTATCTGAACAAAAATGGAAAAATGTTCTCGGGTGAGGATAAAAAAAAAAAAAAGAATATAGTTTTGATCTCATATATTCTAACAACATAGCAAGAAGAAAATTTTTTCATAAATTCTGTTATATTTCACATATTATAGTATCTCCCTTAAGGTGAAATAGTTTTAGGATTAAAAAAAATTTTCTTTTTCTTTATTGATTAGAGAGAGAAAGGGAGAGGGAGAGAGAGATAGAAACATCCATGAGAGAGAACGTCAGCTGGCCGCCTCCTGATGCCCCCCACTGGGGATCAGGCCCACAACCTGGGCATGTGCCCGGACTGGGAATCGGACTGGCAACCTCTTGGTATGTGAGTCTACGCTCAACCACTGAGCCACAACAGCCGGGCTAGTTTTAGGATTTAACAAAATGTTTCTCTGCTTGGTATTTTTCTGTCATTGGGTGAAAATCAATTTGCTAATGTTCCAGAATTCTTTGGACCTTCATACACAGTAAGACTTGGTCTTCATACACCTGAGTAAGCACACTGAAGCTAAATGTCAGATTTCAAACATTGTAAGAACTTTTATATCAGAGCATCCCTCCTTACTCAACTTTTTCCACTGAAAAGAAACCTCTACTTTTTTGTTCCAAGTTAAGTTGAGGCTTTTTTTACAGGCAAATCAGGTTCAGATAGCATTTCCCAAAGGTTCATCTCCCACCTGACTTCATGACACAGGCCGTCTGTGCTGACTGTTCATTCCCACCAGACCACTTGATTTGTGGTATTTGTGTTTACTGAGTCTACTAACCCATGACCACCTTGTTGGTTCTTTTGTCATTAACATGAGTGACTTTTTGCCCTGGCAGTTTTTAACGTTCCTCCTATTGCCTTCATGTTTTCTTATCACATAAGCACTCTTATATTTTTAGGACAAGAAGTTGGTGTAAATTTTTGAAACCTGCCCACCTATGCATGTAATATTGCATCAAAGATTGTGTGTGTGAATTCCTGTTTCTTACAGTAATGTCTTATTTTCACCTGACTTTCTTCCTTTCACTAGCAAAGGACATACAAGCTGGGGCTATTTATAGGCATTCATTTAATTGCCTAGCAAATATTTCTTTATATACCGTCTGCCTGTGCTTGTCTGGGGGAGACACTGGTAAACAAAACAGCAACATGCATGTCTGTGCCTGTGTTTATTGAAAAGCTTGTATAATGTCATATTGTCTCAGAATTTAGTATGTTCTTTCTACTGAAATGCATTTCTTATATTAATGAACTATTTCCAAAAATAAAGATGAATTAAGTTAATCTAACCTTAACATATGAAAGAAAAGTTTTCAAATACCAAAGCTACACATTGTCACCTGAGCAAAGAGCATGTACCCCAGGCCTTTTTATGTTTCACTTATTCAAATCAGTATCGCTTCCCTGTGAAATACTTATAAGCTAAGAGAGTTTATCGGATGTCTTTGGAAGCTTCATTCTACCAACTTGATACTGAAATGGGGCTGTTTGCCTTAGGAATGTGGAAAAGATAGTAAGGGTAAGAGTCATTTTTATTTCTTTTTTTATTTTTATTTTTATTTTATTTATTTATCCTCACCCGAGGACATTTTTCCATTTTTTGTTCAGGTAGAGCTGGGGGGGACAGAGAGAGAGAGAGAGAAACATCGATGCGAAAGGGACACATCAAGTGGCTGCCACCCACACAACCGACCAGGGCCGGGGACAAACTGCAACCGAGGTACGTGCCCTTAGCGGGAACCGAACCCGGGTCTCTCAGGACCGCAGGCCGACGTTCTAACCGCTGAGCCAAACCGGCCAGGGCCATTTTTATTTCTTTATCCTTTGTAATCAGATGTGAACCTTTCATGTGCATGTTAGTGAGCTAAGAGAATATAAGAAATTAAAATAGCATGCGTGTCTTAGAAGTACATGTTGTGTTAGTTTTTTTTAATCTTTTTTGTCAGTTACCTTTTTCATAAGTGAATACTGGTAATAAATGACAAATTTGTCTCCAATGAATACAAGAATAATATTTTACTTCTGGAAGATTTATATTTTTTTTAGCCTTTTACCCATTCCTAAAGTTACTAATAAATACAATTTCTAGCTCTGTACCTCTTAGAGTTTTAAGAAGTCATTTCATCTCTTAAAATCAATGTTACATTTACATTAGTAACTTTTTTTTCTCTTTGGAAATAACCTTAGAAAGTACTGATTTCACTCACATTTCTAAATTTAAAACAATATCGTATATAGGAGCCTTTCTTTTAAGCCTACATAATTTACCAGATTCTTTTTGTTTTTTATCCTCACCCAAGGACATTTTTTTATTTTTTTGTTCAGATAGAGTGGGAGGGAGAGAGAGAGAGAAAGAAACATTGAAGTGAAAGGGACACATCGAGTGGCTGCCACCCACACGACCCAACCAGGGCCGGGGACAAACTGCAACCAAGGTACATGCCTTTAGTGGGAACCAAACCCGGGTCTCTCTAACCACTGAGCAAAACCGGCCAGGGCTACCAGATTGTTTTTTAAGCAAAGCAAGCTTATCTCAACTCATGAGAACATAAATTCAGTCAGCGTTTTCTGCATCAAATCATTCAACCTCTGCCTTAAATGAAGGGATGGATCGTAGGATGTCTTCTCGAAACAGTTGTTGTTCAAGATCCGTCTTGAAAATTCCCATTAGCGAAGGTGACTAGGTACTGAGCGACAGATATTCAGCAGTTATTTTCTCTGGAAACTAGAGTTCTTGGCCTCAGGAACTTTTTCTATACCTTTAGCTTTACGTTATTTTTAAAACACACCCAAGCATTTAAGGGAAGATGTTTCCCTTGTTAGAGATAGGTGTCTAAATGTAGATAAGCTTGGGCTGATTAAAGGTAAGACAATAATTAGTATATTCCATAGTTACTATTTTTATTATAGGACAATAAGATCAGTAAAAGCAAACTCATATCACAAATGTGTAATGACCAGGAAGTGGTTTTGGGTTTCTAAAGAAATGTTTTCTGATCTTTACAGGTTTGTGATAAGAATTTGTTTTTACTGGTCTTATTTTCCTACAATTAAATAGTAATTGTGGCATGATGTTTGTTTTATTGAACTGTACACTTGAAACCTTTGTGGTTTTGCGAACCATCGTCACCCCAATAAATTCAATTTTTAAAAAAAGGAAACAGTTTCATAACACTTCTGGTGAGAGGCTGATTTTTGGTTTACTTGTTCTTTTATTATTTCTTGCTTTTTCTATCCTAATGTTTTTGGTATATTTTTTGCCGTATTTTGATTCTGTTACAGAAGAAAATACTGTGCAGTGAACTCTAACAGTGTCCTTGTGACTCTGCAAGTCCAGCTTCTGCTCACTTAGTGATAGTATAGAAGAGAATATTTTTATAAGGTGATTGATTCTTTTGTAAAAATTACAAAACTTAACTCTCTAAGGCCTAAAAGTATTTCATTAAGTATTCATTTCTGATGTGAGATTTTGTTCTACATGCATGTTGTCTGAAATGTCACATGAACCAGTAGGTCCATTTCATCACCTTATTACCCTTTTTCTTCTTTCTATTGTTTTAATAGCCAGGCTTCCCTTATACCTCCCCTCATCATCACTCCGGTCTGATCTCCTCTCCGATCAACTTTGAGCACATCTATCACATGACTGTTAATTCTGCTGAAAAATTTCTCTCTCCTGATTCCATAAACCCTGAACATTCCCCGTCTCTGCGCTCTGTCCCGGGTACACCCAGCTTTATGACTCTGAGGGTATGAACGGCTGAGTCAGGTGTTAACTGTACTAACCTGCGTGGCTCTCCTTCCCGGCCTCACAGTGACACCGCCCAGGGGTTCTCCTCTGTGAGGGGTTCTCCTCTGTGAGCCTTTCCCTCCACCCCTCCGCTCCTGTGTCGTCCAGTTCGGTGTTGTTTCTTCTTTTGAAGAAAAAGATGAAGACTGGGGGGATGTCAGTTTTACTTTTTAAACTGTGCTGGAGGCTTTGTATGTTTAATAAGATATTTCCCATCATGGTATTTTCCACTACAGATACCAGGATAAGAAATAGCCCCTAGTGGATCTTTATAAGCTTTAAAAGCTCCAAAATGTATTCATGAGTAACAGGAAAAATTACGAAAAGAAGGCAGTCTTACTAATCTTTGAATTACTGATATGCCTTTAATTCCAACCGGGATCCAAGATAAGAACTAAATCAAAGAGAAAAAATACCAGCTGTGCTACGTTCTGAAGGCCTGACCCGCGCCTGCCGCAGGCCCTCTGCTGGCAGCTTCCGGTGAGGGCGGGGCCTTAGCGCCGAAGGTCCGCGTTCCCATCAAGAAATGATGTTTGTACTTCTCACTTCAAGGGAACGTTTTTCTCAAGCTAATTTTACAGATAAAATATTTGCATCATATCATGCAAACTCATTTTCCTTAGTGCCATCTGGCTTAGAAAAATTGTAACAACATTTTATTTGTATACATAGTAAATTATTTTTCCAATAAGAAAACTACGAGGTGAGAAGCTCATTTTCGTACTTTTGTTTATATTATAAAATTATTCTAAATGTCATTGTCATTGACCTTAAACTATTATGTCATTTAAGTATATTATTTAACAAAATAAGATTACTTATGATAAAGTCAACCTTAGTTTGGAAACAGATTGCAGAGAGTGGGTTTTAGAATAGTGTTCTATAAACCAGTCAAGAATTTTTCATATAAAAAGATGGTGGAAATGTTGCTTAAGTTAGTCATTTATAAATAGAAACACTACTCTCAGAGGAAGTCTCACCCTAATCTTCAGCATATTTGTACATGAAAAGGACCAGCGGATTAGGTTTCATATCACTTTATAATGAAGTTGAACTTCAGCTGGACGGATGATACACTGTTGGGCTGTGTTTGTGTTTTTTAACAAAACATTTTCTCTGTATTATTATTGTATTACTTCAGCGTGCAGTGTTTCTAAAGAACTGGCACGTTTTTATAGGCTTAATTTTTGCCATTTATTCCAGGGTAGGTTTGTTTTATAGGAAAGAACGCCGCCAAGGTATCTAAGGTTGATAGCAAAGGCAATAAAATGCAAAGGTCAGAGCTGAGGCTCTGTCTGCGTTGCACCAAGTGCGCGCTGGCTGCACGGCTGCTCTTGGGGCGTGAGTGTCGAAATGTCAGCACTGACTGTTCCTGTTCAAAACTGTTTAATTTCTTAGAGAAAAAAGGTAAAGCATTTGCTTTAAACAAATAACACACTAAGAATTACATGGATTTTGCAAATTTGATATATGAACCAAAATGCCAGTGTTTGAATTTGGGACCAGCTGCCAGCCACCATTCAGTGTGTGTGATTCTGCAAAATGTAGGATTTGGAGTTTTTCAGGCAATGTCAGTGCATGTTCTGCAGAGCTGGCTTTGGCCCTGTTACTTGTTTTGTCATAACCTCCTCCAGGTGTCAGCCCTGACACCCCTTCTGGTCTGAAAAGGTTGGGGTCACCAAGGAGGCCAGAGGCTTGTGTTCTCGGCCATGTTCTGACAGCTTGTCCTGCACACCACCTCTCTAAGTGTGCATGACTTTCCAGGTACTCTGGCCCATTTTCCTACCTTGGACACCAAAACCATTCACTAGTTAGATGGAAAACTCCTCAAACCAGTATTCCCAAATCAGATCACTTCACGCAGACTTGTGATTGTTGCAGACGTCCTGCCTATGACTCAGCACTTCTCTGTTGACGTGCAGCGTGAGACTGGGGACATGAACATGCAGATGATATGTTTGCTGTCACACCAATGAAAACTTTACTTGAAAGCATGTGCTCTTAATTGATTTTCCTCCCAATGGGCTTATTCAGCTACTGAGTTATCCTAAGTAAATAAGAATCTCATATGCAGTAAAAGCTTTGTCTCACTGATCTGCAGACGTCCATGTAATTCTACCATCACTGTCACTTCTAACCCTGTAACCATGACTGTCCTCACAACAAGACATCCCTTACTTGCGGGTAAGCTCAGTAAGTGTAAGGGTGAGCACTTCTGTCTGTGAGGGCTCTAGTGGGCAGGAGGAATTATGTTCTCTGTTCCCTCAGGTCAAGATCATTTTATTTCTTGAAATTATAGTGAAAAATAGACATCTCTGCAGAAAATAATTTTTTCTCTGGCTGAAGGGTTTTTCTTTATCTCTTGTTTTTAGAACCCTCGGCCTCAGGAAAGTCGGACAGTGTTCAGTGGCTCAGTCAGTATTCCATCCATCACCAAATCCCGCCCGGAACCAGGTCGCTCCATGAGCGCCAGCAGTGGTCTGTCTGCAAGTAAGTGGCCCTCACTGCGGGGAGACATGATCACACCTTGTTGTGCCCCTGCCCATCCCCTGGGCGACTGGAGGGCTCTGGGTCGCAGACCTGCTGGATGTGCCCAGTAAACGCGGTACAGTTGTTAAGCAAACAGTCCTGGAGTCCTGGTAGAGCTCCAGGTCACCTTGGAGACAGACCAGTAGCACTGCGAAGTGTGATGATGGCCCATCTGGAGGAATACCCAGGGGCAGCCGTCGGGATGACTTTGTGCTGAGCACAGCTAGGGAACCACATGCCTTTCTGGGGCGCAGTCACGTCTGAGTCGTGTTGGGTCCGTTGACAGGAGGCCAGTGTGGCTCCCTGGCAGGGGGCAGGAGTGACAGAGACTGAAGTGCCAGAGGTAGGCCAGGATCAGATCGAGCAGGGACTGGGAGACAAGGTAAGACTTTATTTTTTTTGGTTAATCCTCACCCAAGGATATTTTTTTATTGTTTTTTTAGATAGAGAGGAAGGGAAAGAGAGGGGGGAAGAAACGTCAGTGTGAGAGAGAGAGACACTGATTAGTTCCCTCCGGCACAACCCCAACCAGGGCCAGGGATCAAACCCACAACCCAGGTATGTGCCCTTGACCGGGAATCGAACCCTAGACTCTTTGGTTCGTGGGTCAGTGCTCCAACCACTGAGCCAAATTGTCCAGGGCAAGACTTTTTTTAAAAAATCCTCACCCAAGGATGTTTTTACTGATTTTAGACAGGGGGAGGGAAGGGGAGAGAGAAACATTGATCAGTTGCCTCCTGTACAAACCTTGCCTGGGGATCAAACTCATAATGTAGGTATGTGCCCTGATTGGGAATCGAACCCACAACCTTTTGGTGTATGGAACAATGATTCAACTAAATGAGCCACCTGGCCAGGGCGGTAAGACTTTTTTTTTTATCCTCACCTGAGGACATTTTTCCATTTTTTGTTCAGATAGAGCGGGAGGGAGAGAGAGGAAGAGAGAGAGAGAGAGACATTGATGTGAAAGGGACACATCGAGTGGCTGCCACCGCACGACCAACCAGGGCCGGGGACAAACTGCAACCCAGGTACGTGCCCTTAGCGGGAACTGAACCCAGGTTTCACTGGACCACAGGCCAATGCTCTAACCGCTGAGCAAACCCGGCCAGGGCGACTTTTTTATTTTTTTTAAAAAGGAGCAGAAAGCCCATAAAGAGCTGTAGTGGGAGCCCTGGGTTCGCAGTCTTAGGAGCCCTGGCAGGCTGCCAAGTGGAGCAGGGCCCAGAGGCAGGCAGGTGAGCGCAGGGGCCTGGGGTGCATGGAGGAGGAGAAGCGGACAGGTCCGGATCTACTTCCGGAAGCAGAAACAGACTCAGTGATGACTTAGCTGTGGGAAGGCAGGGGAGGAGGAGTTAAAGATGACACCTTGGTTTCCTGTGGAGCAGGTGGGGGTGGTACTGACTGCCACCCCCAGGTTTTCGGGAGGAGAGGCAGGAGGCCTCCCAGGCCTGTACAAAGGTCCCAAGAGAGGACAAACAAGAGCCTGTTTGATTAACTCAAAGAAGGCTGGGGACAGGTTCAAGAATATACCCTTTGCCACAAAAGAAACTAAATAAGATCCATCACTCATCCAGTAGCCATTTTACAGTGCAGGGGGCGAATCCCGAGGCAGGTACCTGCTTTCAGGGGCTCTCAGTTTTCCTTGGCCTCTCTCTGCTCTGAAGTGCGGCCTCTCTCCCTTGTCCTTCTGCACAGAACCCGAGCTAAGGGACCACGGGGCGGAAAACTGCTCCACTTGCTTCTGTGCAGCTCGGCCCAGGAGCGGCCTCAGTGGGGCGGGAGGGCGGGTGTGTCAGAGGCCTGTCACCTGAGCAGAAGCACCTGTCACCTCAGAAGGAGCGGACTGTCCAGGTGGAGTACTTGGCTGATTTTAAAAATTACAATTTCATCTTGCTGCTTTCACCAAGATCTTTAGTAGTTCCTGGATTATACATGGTGATCGTCAAGTGATCATTGTCACTTCTAATTTGGGGAAGACTGTTCTTGGCCAATGACTGCCTTTCTGTCCCTTGCTCAGAAGTAGCCTGGCCCTGGTTTAAGGTCAGAGAGTGTAGCCAACACATATTCAGTCCCACGTCCCAAACTCTGTCAGTAGTAACTCGAAGGAAACCTCTGTCCTTCCCTACAACTGATCTGAAAGAGAATCAGACTGCACTGAATCAGCTTCACATTTAAAAGTCATTCAGTCAAAACACATTGGTTGCCCTGTGTTCGTGAATGACGGAGTCGCAAACGCTGGTGTCAGCTGCCTCCTGCCCGAGGACCGCGTCCTCGGGGGCAGCCTCCTCCCCAGCTCCTGAAGACCTCCGCATTTCCGTGCTCACTAGGTACACAACCATCTTTTGACATTTTTATTGAAAATTCTTAATGTAAAAAAAAAAACCACTAAATTTGGATTTGTTAAACCAATGAAAAGTTTGAACAATCACAATCTGTCTTATAGTTGTACAGAAGCCTCAGCAAAGTCTTTTTTGACCACTGATCTTAATATTGAACCTTAGCAAGATTAAAACATTTTTAAGCACAATTTAAAAAATAATAGGGAATGCTAAGAGCTTTAAGTACTACAATGGCCCAGTGTTTCCAAAGGTTTTGTCATTCCCTTTTTTCCTCTCCATGGTGTTAGTCTACCTCTTAGGTGCCCAACTCTAAGATCAGAGCAGACTGATTTTGAAGGGACTCCCATCACTGTTGCACCTCGGGCGTTTGCCCTGCGGAATGGAACTGCTCGTGTGCTCGGTGTTTCTGTGCGTCCTCTGGGAGTGAGTTACCCAGCTGGGATGCTCTTGGTTTCAGGGAAGTGTTCTGTTCCCTTCATCGTTCAGCACGTGTGTGAGCACCTGCTGTGAGCCGTGCGCCCGTTAGGGGAATGGCACGCACGTGAGCAGGAGCAGAGCAGCGTGGGTGCAGTGCAGGAGATGGTGAGGTGCCGGAGGCTCTCTGGGCAGTGGGAAGGACTCACGAAGGCAGTGGTGTCTGAGTGCAGACCGGGGACTGACTGTGGGAACTGTCCAGCAAGCAGAGCAGTCAGGCACGGCCCGAGCTGCCCACTCACCAGGCGTCCCCACTGGCGGCCCTGGAGCAGGAACAGCTGTTCAGATGGCCGGGCTCCGGGGTGAGCTTGGGAGCCACGGCAATGCAGCCGGACGCACTGTCCATCAGTATAGGGCTCTAAGCCGGGAGGAGGACCCGGGGCAGTGGGAAGGATGGCTTGTCATCCCCATCAGCATATATCAAGTTTTACCTCGATGATGTACTACTGTAGGGTCATCTGCACAGAATGGCAGTGCATTAAAGAGAGAATTCTCTGGAGGAAGCTACAGTGCAAAGCGACAGCCCCTGCCCTCCCCGTCAGAGGGCTCCCTGTCTTCTGGAGGCATGGACCAAGGAAGTGATGCACCGGCCAGGGACTATGACGGAGAGGTGAGCGGGCGTGTCTGGGGGTCAGGAGAACAGTCGGTGGACTGGTGATTCGCTGTCAGCCGGTGGCAGAGCCAGTCACTTGGGTTGCAGACTCCAGTTTCTGGAGGTGTTGAGAGTTTTCATAGTTTTTGTGTGAACTTAACCTATATCTCTGAAGGCGGCAAAAAGGACTGTGAGCATCTGCTGTGCTCTGTGCCTCTATTTTTTTTTCTCTTTATTGATTTTAGAGAGAGAAGAAAGGAGAGGGAGGGAGGGAGAGAGAGAAACATCAATGAGAGAGAACATTGGCCGCCTCCTGCATGCCCCCCACTGGGCATCGGGCCCACAACCTGAGCCACACCAGCCAGACTGTGCTCTGTGCCTCTTGGTCAGCTCAGAAAGGGGGCTTTGTCCTGACAGTAGAAAAGTCACACCAGATCGTTCGGTCAGTGTGGCTTCAGGAGGGTTGATGGTCGCCTGAGCCAGTCCTGCCCCCCACTTGTCATGAATGTCTTCCTTTGGGCCTTACAGGACTCTGATTCGCCGAGGCATTCCACGGCTTCCAACAGTTCCAACCTGAGCAGCCCTCCCAGCCCAGTGTCACCAAGAAAGACCAAGAGCCTCTCTCTGGAGAGCACTGACCGTGGGACCTGGGACCCCTGAACTGCTTCAGCCCTCAGACCAGAGCCGCTTCTCCCTTAGCCACCCTCGTCTCCTCCCTCCACTCTGCCGGACGCCAGCCAGCAGGGTGGGGAGTCAGGAATTCTGACCACACGACTCCAGATCCTCGCCCCTCAACTTGACTGCAACAACCATACAGGCAGACTTTCATGGAACAGCCTAGATTAACACTGATTTCATTTCATACACTTAGAGTTGCTTTCCATAGTATTTTACCTCTTCCCCCAAAAAGGTAGCTTAAGTAGACAGATGACACAAATGTAAGCACTAAGAATAAGATTAGACAGACTTTGTTTTCACAGTAGAGTCTCTGTGTAGTCCCCAAATAGACATGGTCCCCGGGGGTCTCTCCAGCACCCACAGCGAATGTCGACCTGATCGTTGCCAGTAAATCCTTATTAACTAAGACAATGCATATTTTACTACGATACAGAGTTTAAATAAATACGCAGATGTAGAGGGTAAATACTGAATGTTGTATATAGTAAAAAGAGGCATCTTGTATTCGATGGAAGATGGGTGCATATATGAGAGAGAGCGTTTAACTTAAAGATGTGTGTTGTTTCTTGTCTGTTTTCCAGCTGAGTAACTTAAAGGGTGGAAAGGCCTCCAGAGGAGTCAGGGTTCCCTTCAGCCGTGTCCCCCACTGGTGCAGGTCCCAGCCCCCAGGGGCTTTAGGAACATCCGCTTTGGTTCCGTGGGTTTGGGGTGTGACCCGGGCGCCAGACTTAACATCTGAAGCCTCTTCAGCAGCAGCATCAAAGGCAAATTTCCTTCTATGCCAGACATTTCTTCTAGAATGTGAACCACACTTCTTGTTTTTGATACTGTGGTACCGTCTGCAGATGAATGTAAATGCAGGTGTCACACTGGTCCCTTCCGTCCGAGACACGAGACGCGCACTGCGCTGGCTTCTGAGGGCCGGAGGGGCCCACGGGAGCGCTTGCCCTGGGCTGCCACTCCGGTCACAGTGAGCTGCCCCTGGCTGAGCTGGCTTCTTGGGGGGTCTGTTTTGAGTGTGGGCAGCTTCCTCAGATAAGCCTGGGAAAGGAGTTTGATTACCAAATAATATAAAACCTCAAAAGCAAGGACTTGAACAGCCTTAACCAAATATTCTTTCCCATACTCAGTGGGAAGGGACCTGTTCACCGCGCGCAGCAGGAAGTGTGCCCGCTCCCCCTTGCTGCAGTGTGTGGGTGGTTTCATGGCCATCGGGATCCCTGCTGCTTTCATTACCGCAAGGAAGTGAGGTGCAAAACCAGGGCTTTGTTTCTCTTCAGTTCACCAGTTAAGCACATGAGTAGAGAGAGAGAGAAATAAACTTGGAAGTAAAGAGAATTCTCCTCTTTTTCTTTTTATCTACATCGGTCTGAGAACTTGAAACAGGGTGGGTTGGTTGGTTTCCTCTCTCCTTTGAACTTCAGGGGCAGTGGACGGGGTTCCCCACAGCTGCTGGTCCACACTGCAGGGGGGAGCAGTCAGGGCCCCGAGTCCAGGCCCTCGCCTGCCTTCCCTCCCACCGTGGGCCACAGGAGCTGAGACTACTTCCAAGTCGATACTCTTTGGAGAAGGTCACTGGGGTTCGGTGACAGACGAAAGAATCCTGTTTGGGGATTAGATTGCAAAAGATTGCAGTAGAGAAGTTGAAAGTAATGCCACTGAGCTTTGACGTTAGACATTCTGGACTGGGTACTTGCTCAGGTTTGACTGTTACTTTGGATGGGCATCATCTCCCATCCAGGTCTAATCTCTTACATCGTTTTGCTTTTGGAAAAGAGGTGTCATGTAAAAATATTTTGTAACTCCTGGTATCAAGGGTTGGACCTCCAGTTTAGTTATTGCCATATGACTGGTAGCTCCTTAAACTTGGTCTTTCCTGGGGAAGGAGGGAACCAGCCAGCCAGCCACTGGCTGAGGGCCCGTGGCCAGCTCCCCACTGTCCTGACCCTCCCTGTCCCCGCCATGCATCTCCCTTCACCTACGCACCCCCTTCTCTTCCCAGGGACTCCTGGGACTCAACTCTAAGCCATCAGTTTACCACTTTGACAGCTAAGTGAATTTTGTTGCCTGTAGGTGCTTGCTTTTTAAAGGATGCTTTTTGGGATCAAAATATAATCCTTTCTGAAGTCTGGACTCCACTCCAATGAGTCATACCCTCCCATCAGGACAGAGAGCTTGTTCTGGCTGCTGGGCTCACAGGGTGTCACGTTAATATTAACCCAGTGGATTGCAACGCGGCATTTGGGTTTTTCCATCGCAATCGTAAGTGGTCTTACCCGTCACAATAGAGCAGTCCCAGATATGGGACTTGGGGAGCAACTCTGTCAGGGGCAGTAGTTTTGAGGGATTCCCAAGATAATGATCACCCTACTGGTCTTATCCCCAATATGAAACAGATACTTTCAGAAGCTTCTGAGAATGGTTTGGAAAGATGAGTGCCAGGGAAACAGAAGGATCGTTCAAAGGGATCACTAACAGATCACGGTAAGGTACCTATGCTGTCTGAGGTCATCATCCCTTGTTTCGTGAAGGATATTTTAAAAACGTATACGGCAGCAGAAACTCAGTTCTCGTCTCAGTAGAAAGGAAAAATACCCCAGGCCCCTCTGGCGTCCTCGGTATGTGTTGGTATTTGGTGCTATCCATGTCCAGCCAACTTATCGACCCTTGAATTCTGACTAATCTTGTCATGTGCTTTGGGTGTATGAAATTACACATATACATATATATTTCTTTTTGCCAAAAACGGATGATTTCACTTCTTTAATGATGTGTGTCCCCCCACACACGCACGTACCCCTACTCTTGGCGATTTATGTTCTTTCCCAGGGAGCGCAGTTTTAAGGCTATGAGACAGAAAAGGGTCCATCTCTAGTTTTTCAAGCAATTCTTGTACCCAGGCTTCAGGGAAGAATCTGAAATTCCTTTATGTTTATAGCAACAGTCTGTCATACCCAGGTGGCCCTTGGCCCTGCTCTGCCGTCCATGATTAGAATCGTGTCATTTTCATTACTTAGCGGCCACATCTACTTCTGTGAAGGACCAGTGCGTGTAAATTGTATGGACTCAGGTATTGCGAGAGAAAAGCCAGAGCAGGGCTAGGCGGACATCCCTACCCTGCACGTACGCAGGGCCCCTGGCTGGCCTTGGACAGTGGTCACGCACTGTGGTCTCAGCCAGGTGGGGCCTGGAGAAGCTCACCATCCGTCTTTTGGACAGAGTGGCGCGCTCAGCAGCCATCAGACTTGGCCAGATCCGCTGGGCATAGCAGGGAAGCAATGGGCACCTCAATCCTCACCACCCCAGGCCCAGCCCCTGAATTAGCTAAGCCTCATGACATTTCCTTGAACCTCTCGCAAAAAACTCTTTCCTTGTTATGACTTTAATTATTACTTGAGCCCAGAGTTTTCTGCGGAGCCCGGCACTGGGCAGCAGGCCAGGCTTCTGGTTGGTCCTCCAGGGACAGCTGTCGCACACAGAAGCCTTCACTCCTGGGGGAAACGACAAACATCAACCCTGAACTTTCATGAAAACAAAGTGACCTGCCTTTTTATTTGATAGTGTAATATCATTTGTTTTATAAATTTTTTTAGGTTTTTTTTTTTCTCATTGTAATATTATTGTACAGTTTTGCATGGCCTAGGTGTAATCATTTTTTTGTTTAGAGTATAATGCTGATAAATATGTGTATGGAAGGGAAAAAATGTTGCTTTGGCCTTTTATCACTCCTCATTTCATTTTGTTTGGTTTTATGCCCTCATGTCTTAGGGAACTTTATAAGAGATTCTCTGCTACCAAACAATGGCGTGGATTCTTTTGCACAGAAATATTTAAGGTGGGATAGTAAAAAATGTAACAAAAGTCTCCTCGCCAATATTTTATGTTGGTATCACTTAATAGTAACCAGACTTTGATGTATTGCAATAAAACAGGGAACTGTTAGAACTGAGGATTTTGTCTTTTTTTCCCCCTGAATAAAGTCTGAGGAATGTAGAAAAGGTGACTGACTCGTCTTCAGGGTCCTGCTTCCTGCCCATCCCCCTCCTCGTCCAGGCTTCCTCCTTACATCACGGAAGGACATGGAGTTAGTTTAATCCAGGACTTTCTTAGTTCCTTCCATAGCTCAGGTAAGAATTGTGTTCAGTTCTTTTGAAGCTTTCAACCCCTCTCTTCTGGTCAAAACTTCCTAGTACCTGTATCAGTCTGCCCAGCCAGACTGCTTCCATATCTTGGCTATTACGAGTAATGCTGTAATGAACATAACGGTGTGTACATATTTTCAAATTAGTGTTATTTCTTTGAATAAATACCCAGAATAGCATCTGCTGGATAGTATGGCAGCTCTGTTTTTAATTTTTTTTTTTTTTTGCGCAATCTTTATACTGTTTCCCATAGTAGCTGTGCCAGTTTACAATCCCACCAGCAGTATACGAGTTCCCTTTTTTCCACATCCTCACCAACCAACACTTATTTGATTTACTGATGATAGCCATTCTGACAGGTAGGCATTGATATCTCATTGTGGTTTTAATATGCATTGCCCTGATTAGTTATGATAGCATCTTTTCATACATCTATTGGCCATTTGTATGTATTTTTCAGAGAAGTGTCTATTCAGGTCCTTTGCACATTGTTCTAATCGGATTGTGTTTGGTGTTCAGTTGTATGAGTTCCTTATATATTTTGGATAGTAAACCCTTATCAGCTGTATCATTGGCAAATATCTCCTCCTATTCAGTAGATTATCTTTTTGTTTTAATGGTTTCCTTTGCTGTACAAAAACTTTTTCATTTGATGTAATTCTATTTTTTTTTTTTTTTTATCCTCACCTGAGGACATTTTTTGTTCAGGTAGAGTGGGAGGGAGAGAGAGGAAGAGAGAGAAACATCGATGTGAAAGGGACACATCGAGTGGCTGCCACCCGCACGACCGACCAGGGCCGGGGACAAACCGCAACCAAGGTACATGCCCTTAGCGGGAACCAAACCCGGGTCTCTCGGGACCGCAGGCTTATGCTCTAACCGCTGAGCCAAACCGGCCAGGGCTCTATTTATTCTTTTATTTCCCTTGCCCAAGGAGACATATCCAAAAAGATATTGCTAAGAATAATGTCAAAGAGTTTTGACTGCCTGTTTTCTTTTAGTTTTATGGTTTCAGGTCTTATATTTAAGCCTTTAACCCATTTTCAGGTTATTTTTGTACGAGGTGTAAGTGGTCCAATTTCACTTTTGCATGTATTTGTCCTATTTTCCCAGTACCACTTATTGAAGACTGTCCTTTCCTCATGGTACATCCTTGCCTCCTTTTTCATAGATTGACCATTTAAACAAGTATTTATTTCTGGGCTTTCTGTATACCTGTTTTTATGCCAGTACCATACTGTTTTGAATAATGTAGCTTTATAGTGTAGTTTGATATCAGAGAGTGTGGTGCCCCCACTTCTTTTTGTTGTTTTTTTAATCCTTACCAGAGGACATTTTTTTCATTTTTTGTTCAGATAGAGTGGGAGGGAGAGAGAAACATCAATGTGAAAGAGACACATCGAGTAGCTGCCTCCCGCACGACCCCAACTGGGGAAAAACTGCAACCGAGGTACGTGCCCTTAGTGGGAACTGAACCCACCACAGGCTGATGCTCTAACCGCTGAGCCAAACCAGCCAGGGCCCCCACTTTTTTTCTCAAAAGTTTTTTGGCTATTCAGGGTCTTTCGTGGTTCCATATAAATTTTAAGATTAGTTGTTCTAATTAGTATTTTAATAGGGATTGCACTGAATCTGTAGATTGCTTTACATAGTAAGAACATTTTAAAAGTATTAATTGTTCCAATCCATAAGCACAGTATATCCTTCCATTTATTTATATCTTCACTTTCTTTCTTCAGTGTCTTACAGTTTTCAGAGTATAAATCTTTCACCTCTTTGGTTAAATGTCTTCATAGGTATTTTATGCTTTTTGCTACAATTGTAAAAAGGATTATTAATTTATTAACTGCAACTAATTTCTGAATATAAGTATTATATCCTGAATTTATTTATTGGTTTGAATAGGTTTTTAGTGAATTATGTAGGGTTCTCTTTTTTGGATCTATATTCATCAAGGATATTGGCTTATAATTTTCTTGTTATGTCTTTGTTTGGTATGAGTAATGCTGGCTTTGTGGAATAAGTCTAAAAGCATTTCTTCCTCTTCAATTTTTTCAAAATAGTTTTCTTTTTTAAAGGATTAGAGAGGGAAGCATTGGTCGGTTTCCTCCCATACATGCCCCAACCGGGGATTGAACCTGCACCTTTTTGATGTATGGGACAGCATTCCAACTGAGCCACTTGGCCAGGGTGGGAGATCTTTTGTTTTTTTTTTACTGCTTCAACTTCACTACTAGTAATTGGCCTGTTTAGATTTTGTATTTCCTGGTTGTCCTGTAAGGCCAAAGATTTGAGAAATTTGTCCATTTCTTCCAGACTGCTGAATTTGTTGGCATATAATTGTTCATAGGATTCTTGAATGAGTTTTTGTACTTCAGTGATGTTGGCTACAATTTCACTGTTTTTATTTGGGCTTTGCTATGGAGCTGCACCCCTCTTTCTCTGATGAATGTGGACTAAACCTTCCAGCCTCATGCCGGGAACAGCTGGAGACAGGATAGGTAGGGTGTGCCACTGACCTCAGGCTCCTCACCACCAGATCAGAACTGAAAGAATGCCACAGTTGTAGGAGGTTTTATTTTTATTGAAACAAGTAAATCAGACAATTACAAGAATTTTATAAAAATTAACAGCCTATGAGGAGGACCCCTCAGGTAACATCTGCACATTCATATCCTTCCACAAAGGCCGCAGGGGGGAGGAGGTTCCCCTATACTGTCTTGTAGCAAATGTGAGAGGACAAGAGCTGTCACTTTTTCTCCCCCTCAGCTGCTCCTACCCCTGGGAGGCAGCAGTTCACCTCACTTGGTTAAATAGTACTTGTTGGCACTGCTCAGATCTGACTTCTAGCTGCAGAGGGAAAGGGCAGAAAACAAATCTCATTCTAGAAACACACACAAACCTCATATACATGTTCAATAACATCCAGAAAGGGTTCTCCTTTTTTTTGGTGGCAGGGATTTGAAGGTAGTAGTCTCTTCTGATTAGATAAAACTGTTACTAAAAGGAAATAAAATTGCCCTTTTATCTAGAGTATTGCAGAAGATGAATACACAACTGTTAGACTCTGACAGCTGGGGTTTCATGTTCCTTCTTGCACACCACATACCCTTAGCAATAAAACCGTGATAAGCGCTGGCAGTGGGGCTCCAAGCAGCATCCCCTCCTCTCCTTGGGCAAAGGAGTTTAAACGGAGCATCACCACCTTCTTAATAGTTTCAGCTGCACAGGGACAGAGTCCACACCGAGCAGCTACTGCTCAGCCCTCCTCTTGCAGTAGTTGCTGTAGGCCTCCTCAAACATGGCCTTACAGGGGATCTTGGCCTTCAGCTTGGAGCAGATGAGGAAGGAACCCCCCATCTTCCTGTGTAATGAGTAGGTCTCCTCAGGGGGTGGGATGAGCCGGTGCCTCAGCATAATGGGAATCAGGCTGTGGATCTTCTCGGTGGTGGTCTGGGTGCCAAAGTCAAAGGGCTCCTCTGAGGCAAAGGCTTCCCCCAGGATGAGGATGGCATCCAGGTGGGCATCTTCCATGGCCTGGAGGAAGAAAAGGAAGGGTTTAGCCTTGAGAGCTCCCTGGAGGGTCAGGTAGGTGAGTGTTTGATGTTTAACTAGATTGAATAATGGTAAGTGGAACATAACATTAATGTGTGAAGTGCACTCCACGTGAGACAAAAGGGGGAGCGGCAGACACATTCAGGTTCAAAGTTTGTATAAAACCAGAGATTCTTCAGGCCAAAAAGAAGAGTCTAGATTGCTCTGGTAAGCCTCGGATCACCTGGGTCTCCTCCACCTCTCCCTGCTATCAAGGAAAGGAGTGGCTTCTGGGTGGCAGGAGCACTGACCACAGAAGCTGCCCCTTTATTTAAGGGACTAAGATTCCTTCCAACATACTCCTCACCCTTTCCCAGTGAGGCCTTAAGAAGTGAGAGCTAGGGCTTTGCCATCCCATCTGCCCTCACCTAAGCCCTGTGTGAAGAACCAAAAAAATCTCTAAATTGCTAGAATGAGAAGGAAAAATGAGCTTCATGCCAAGTCCCTTAAGTATTCCAACTCAGCTGCCCCTGAGCCCTGCCGCGCTGAGGTGGCCGGGGGCTCTGTAGAGACCCCCCTCGAGGGTGCCTACCACCTCTGACTGCACCCATTCTGTTTATGATTACAAAGGGAAAAAGTCCACATACAGGGAAGGTAGCCCACCCAACAGATGGCCACCCTCAGGCCCCCTAGGAGCTGCGCCTGGAACAGTAGGCCTGTGGGACTCCAGAGGCACAGCAGCTCACCTTGACCTCGTAGCCGGTGAGGAACTTCATCTCTATGGATTTCTTCAGCACAGTCTCCCTGTCCCTCTCAGCGGCAGCCCTGATGATCTTGGGGGGGGGGGGGGGGTACCGTGGGCAGCACATAAAGTGGAGCTCCTGAGGGCCCCAAATGCCACTGACCCCAGGACTTTACTGTTCCTTCCAGACCCCTGGAGGCCCCAGCTGGTGCTGTGAGCCTGACAGGGCCATGACCTCACGCACTATCACCAGACTGAGCACAGGCCAGGAGCCTAGTCAGCCTCCCTCCCAATATCCATCATCCAGCTTCAGGACGGCATGGGCAGAGACCCGGCCCCCGACCCTACCTGGATGTAGAGGTCAGTAAACGATTTGTCAAATTCCCGAGTTGCCCCAAAGTCCAGAAGAGCCACCTGGGAATGGGGATAGCAATGGGAGGTTTGCAGCTGGGGACGGAGATTCCCCCATTCCAGCACAGCACCCAACACCCAGGGGCTCACCTTGTGCTGCTCAGGATCATAAAAGAAGTTGGACCAGTTGGGGTCTGTCTGCATGAACTGGAACTCAAACAGCTCCCTCAGGCACAGGACCAGGATGTTGTGGCAGATCTGGGGCAGGTGGGGTGGCCTGGTGACCTGAGCGTTTGGGGCTGGGGAAGCCTGACTCACCTCCCACCTAACCCTGCCTTCTTCCCAGATGACCTTTGATTCTAAGGGTACCACGGGGGGGGGGGGGGGAGACAAAGCACACACCCCCCCCCTTCAGATACACAGGGATCACCTGGAGGCTCCAAAGCCAGCTGCAGACACACCTCATTCCGGATCTCCTGGCTCAGCCCCTCAGCCTGGTCCAGGGGGAAACCAGACACGAGCTCTGTGGTCAGCACGTGGGGGCTGCAGAGCTCATCCACAATCTCAGGCACGTAGAAGAAAGGGTGGTCCTTCAGGAGCTCCCTGGTGGGGGTGGGAAGTCACATGCGGGGCCCAGATCCTCCCCACGGCAACGAGGGACTGAGCCCAAGTGGGGGGGCCTGCTTGTGGCCAAAGCTATCTGCTCCCTCAAAATCCCTCCTCCCCTCCCCCACAGACTGCCTAAAGATGGTTCTTTCTGTCTCCCACTGGGGTAAGCAACAGGCAAGGGACCCAGAGCCAAGCTGCACCTGAACTTCTTGGCACAGGCAGCCTCTCGTTGGTAGTCGCACTCTAGCGCCAGCTCCCGCCTCAGCACATCGATCAGGTGCTCAGGAAACAGGCCTGGACCAGGGAGGAAGGTGTCAGGGTACACTGAGGGCTCCCCAGGCAGGCCCCGAGGTGCCCAGAGCCCACCCCAAATGCCTGCCATTGACCAACAGCCAGCCTCAGACCTTCCGGAAGCATGTTGCTCATGTTCAACACAGCCATGAGGTTGTTGACATCACTGTTGATGCTCTGGGCCACGCCAGGATACTGCAGGGAGAGCACAGGAGGGGTCCCAGGTGGACAGAACAGGATCCCACACCTTAGGCAAGTCACAACTGTCTACCCTCCCCCATCCCCAGGAACAGCCACCCACTCAGGGCCCCAGCCCTGGCCCAAAACAGACAATTACTGTCCCCTGTCCTCACCCCTCCCAAATCAAGCTGCTGGAGGTTGTTCCACTTCTCACAGCCACTCACTCGGCAAATACTTCAGTACCCAGTGCTAACCACGTGTTAAGCCAGAAATGACAACACAGGGCCCCTACCTGGATCTTCATGGCCACCTCACGACCACCCTTCATTCGGGCCAGGTGCACCTGCCCGATGGAGGCGGCTGCAAAAGGCCGCTCCTCAAAGTATTCCAGTTTGTCCCGCCAGTTGGGGCCCAGGTCACTGTTGAGAGTTTTCTGGAGGGAGAGGCCAGGGAGGGGCCTTAAGCAAAACCCAGCCACCTAAAACACCCTGAGAAGCACCCACAGCCCCACCCCACAGGTCCCTGCAGCTCCCCTGCAAGGAGAAGTGCTGGGAGGACCAGATGCCTCCATGCACTGCTTGCCTCACCGTCATCTGTTTCAGCGGCATGAAGTCTGCGCTCTGCCTCACTCGCTCAAAGATCTTGGCCAGATGGGGGTTGATGAAAGCATCATCTGAAAGGCACCAGAGAGCAGAAGGCTGACCCCTTGGAAGGAGCACAGGCCAGGAACAGAGCAGCCACCTCAATCGCTCTGCCCTCCCACACACTGGAACCCCAGGTTCAGAGTCAAGGCACAGGCCCAACGCCACACGGCAGGCCCAGCCTCAGACTCCTCCTTGCACTCTAGCAGCATTTTCTCAGAGGGCTACAGGGCACTGACCTGGGTGTGCACATTCCTGGGGCACCGAGGCCAACCACCATATCTGGAGACAGCTGCACCCTAGCCCATCACGCCCTCCCACCAGGGCACTGGGTGAACCTGTGCAGCCCAGGCCCTGATGTTAGGCGGCATGGCTCTCTGAACTGACCCAGTGACCTGAGAAGATGGGCTTCCTAGAAATAATAGGTATAACTTCTTACGATTATAAAAACAAATTTAGGAAATAAAGTATAGTAAAATGTTAAAAATACCCATAATCTGACCACCTGCAAAGAACTAGTTTTCTTTCTAACCTTTCTGTTTTTCACAGCAGTCATACTGCATGGAGACGGCTCCAGCCTGCTCCCCTCAGGCAGCAGCCTCATGAGCGCTTGCTTCAGCGTGCTGTTAAGCAGTTTATTAAATATTCCGAAATGGCACTGTCAGTGGTAGCCTAACATCGCCCACAGGCTCACTGCTGCTTACTCCAGCTTCTGTTAACAGTCACACCCCGAATAATGACGTTTCGGTCAATGACACTACGATACCGTAAGATTATAATGGAGCTAAAAAAAACTCCTATTGCCTAGTGACATCATAGCCACCATAACCTGGTAGCATAATGCATTATTCACATTTGTGGTGATGCTGGTGTAAATCAGTTGTATTAACGTACAACACATACAATTATGTACAGTACATAATACTTGATAATAAACGACTATTACTGGTTTGTGTATTTACTAGAGTTTTTTGTTTAGAGCATATTCTTTCTACTTATTAAAGAGTTTGCTCCATGTAAAAAAGTATGCTGGCCCTGGCCAAGTAGCTCAGTTGATTAGAGCGTAATCCTGATATACCACAGTACATACAAGAATCACCAATGAATGCATAAATAAGCAGAACAAATCGATGTTTCTCTCTCAAATCAATAAAACAGTACGCTGTTGCAGCAGCAGCAGCCTCACACACCTGTATACATGTCCTGATGGCATCATTTTCTCTTGTTCTGATTTAGTAAGTTGTTTTGTGCAGTAAGGTGCTGAACAGGCTTGTAGCCCAGAAGGAATGGGCTGTACCATCAGGGTTTGTCTAAGTGCACTCTGATGTTTGCACAGTGACATCTAACGGTGCATTTCTCAGAACATATCCCTGTCTAAGCTACACATGACTGATTTTGTGATCCCAATGAACCTGTGATAAAGCTCCTCCTGCACAGAGCCTTGACCGCATCTCTAAGGCTTTCCTTAAGGTAAGTCACTAGATATGGAACTGGAGTCGGGGTTCAGGCATCAGACTTCGACTATGAACTGCTACAGAGTCTGCGCCGGTGCCAGGGCTTACCTGCCCCTATTACCTCCTATCTTACACTTGGCCAATTCAATGAGTCCATCTAACTGCTAGTGAGAGGACCTCCCTTTCAAATGCTCCCACTCAGGCTGCCAGCCTCTGGGGTGCTCCTGCTGGGGGGAGGGGTAATGATTAGAAGCCCTGAGGCTGCCCCAACCTCAACTCTGCTCTTACACAGCCACACTGAGCCAGCCTCTTGTTCAACCACCTTCCCCACCAGCCTTCCCTCCTTGGGGCCACATGTCCCTTGTCTCCAACATCATACTGTGGCAGAACTGAGCCCCCCTTCCAGCTCTCTCCAACAAACATGGGGTAGGGGGCGGGAGTGGCAACAGCCAGACTCGGCAACTTTTGAGATGCCAAGATAACCTCTAGGTATCTCAAAACACCCAGACAGAAGAAAAATGACTGTGGGCTCCTGTTTAAGATACTTTTTAAACATCCCTGGTTGGTCACCAGCCAGGATTCAAGCAAGAGGAGCCAGTGGGCAGAAAGAACCGCCCCTGCAGAGCCTGCACACCAGACGGGGCCCCATTCACTCACCCTGGATGCTCAGCATCTGACCCAGCTTGAGTGCAGCGCCGCGCACCTTGCACAGCGTGCTCACAATGCGCTCTGCGTTGGCCTCGGACAGGAAGGGGCTGGAGTCCAGCACGGCCTTCTTCCCCGCTGTGGGCAGAAACTGGGTCAGCATGGCACCACCCTTCTCAAGGTACCTGGTGGTGTCACCCAAGTGGCAAGAGAAAGAGGCTGGCTGGGCTCGCAAGTGGCCCCAAAAAGGCAGCAGTTGGGCGAATGCAGGGCCTGACGACCCCCATGGGTACCCATGGGGAGACCCAGTTCCTTCTCAGAGAGGCTGAGTACAACCCAGCCCAAGATCAACTGGCTGTCTTGGGCCAACCAGAATGATCTCCAATCCTCCTTGGTAAGTACAGGGACAGTAACATCAGGGTATGGGGGAATTTTTTAGTGCAATTCAAAAAAGCCCAACATGGAGCCTGACAGTCCACGTCCTTCCTCCTGGATACCCATAAACCCTAACGTGCAATTTTAACACTGCTCCATACTCACCTCCCTGACACTGTACAGGCCCCAGAAACACCCAGGTCTCCCCAGGCCTGACTCCAGTTTCCCCCCCCACATACATGCACGTTCGCACACGCATGCGCAGGCAAGGCCTCCACATCAGTCTTTGGGGCCTGGAGAGGGAACACTGAAGGGCACAGTCAGCTAGAGCTGGGGGATGGGCACTAGGGGGGCAGGACCTGAAGGGACCCAATCCATAATGTGCCAGGTGAGAAGGACTGCCAAGTCACTGTCCCTTGCCACCCCCACCCCAGTGTGTACAAAGGTCACTAGTCCCCCTGGAGTCACTACACGTTCACCACAGGGCCAGCTGGCTACAGTGAGAGCGCACTCCTCAGGGAGGGGAGCTCAGGGTCAAGGACAGCACTCGCCCACCCGCTGTGCCTGCTTCTCCTCTCTGCTCAGAGGCCCCTGCAGCTCCTGGCAGCCAACTGGCCCCAGGGTCAGTACACTGTGGCCTCAGGGGTACAGATGACCTCTTTCCAGTACACTTGGGGTGGGAGAGTCACGGCAATGACTCAACGGGGTTGCAGGGAGGCTGGCTGAGTCCTGCTGCCAACCAGTGCTGCAGCCCAGGGGTCAGGACCCTCTGCTCAGTGCCCTGTCTCCACTTCTATGGCCCTACCTAAATACTAGGTCTACCCTTGTCCTAGGTGGGGAGAGGCCTGCTGGGCGCTCCCTCTGTCCTCCCAAGCTACTCAGGACCTTCCTTACTGTCCTCCAGCCTGTGACATTCAGCGCTCTTCCTGCCTGCTGTCCTGTGAGCGCAGTTAGGTGCCTGGCACTTTCCTCAGCCTGCATCCCCACCAGCCTGACCCAGCACTCAGAGGACTGAGCTAGGTCCCCAAGGGGGGAGCAGAAGAGGTGGCTTGCAGGCCACTGCCCCAGGGACTATGTCCAGCACAGCCTCTGACAGAGTGGGGTGCAGTGGGGATGTGAGGCCCTGGGGCCATTTAGCTTGTGGAAGAGAAGCCCCAGAGAGAACATGCAAATCTGCCAACACCTCAGGGCAGCCTTGTTAGGCTTACACAGGGGTCAAGCTCACTCCCAGGGTCCTAGACAGCAGGGAATCCTGGAAGGATAAGAGATATTAGCTCCATTGGAAGAGACCAAGCTGTTGGGGGTTGGGGAGTTCAGGAGAGCTGTGGCCCATGGTCAGGGTCACTCCAGGATGTCTGGGCCAAGAAAAGTCCCCAGATCACACCCTCAGCTAAGTCACCAGCGTAGTTATGGCTGGATCTGAGAATAACCAGGGGGAGCCAGGAGGTGGGGTAAGGGCATGGTGGGCATACCCCCCCACTCAGGAGAGACTCTTTCAGGGCAGAGCTGGGCCTGGCTGGTCAGTGTCCTCCAGGCCACAGAGTCCCAAAGCCTGCTCCAAAAGCTGGATCAGAGCTTGAGGACTGCCCAGGGCCATCCCATCCTGGTCTGAGCTCCAGGTCCTATGGCTCCTGGGCCCCTTGGCCTCCAGCTAGGTCATTACTTCCCTGACAAAGGATACGAGCTGTTAACCTTGGAGTCCGTTCTAGCCTCTCCCCTGCTTGGATGTTGTAGGACACAGAACAGCCAGCTTCGGAGGAGGGGAGGGGTTATGCCTAGAGAAGGCTGGATTCTCATTCCAGAGAAAGCTAGGCTTCATTTCCAAAGTGTCTCCTCACCAACACTAAAAATAAATACCCTCACTAAACCCTCTGTCCTCCATCCCCTTCCAAGGACACACGGTGTGTCCCCTGCACTCAGAGGCCTGTGGGAACAGGCTAGTGCTTTCTCTCTGGGAGGCTCCTCAATCCCATGAGAGGGTCTTACAGGTGAAGAGGGGCCATCCATGTGACTGGCAGGCCCCCAGAGGAGTCCAGCCCTGAACTGGCAGCCAGAGCAACAGGGATAGGGGAGTAGGTGTCACCGGGGGGTCCTCATGGAAGGGAGAGGAAGTGTCAGATACTAAAATGAGCTGACATCTCCTGGGGGAGACCAAGTGTTCTGACCTAATCCCTGGCTGACCCTGGGAGACAGGGGACAGAAGTATCATGACCTACGTCTCAGAGATGGAGGCCCTGTGAGATCTATCCCAGCAGCAAACACATCCCTAAGCTGTATGAGGACCCCTGGGTGCCTGACCAGCCAGGCCAACAGGCCCCCACAGCTCCAGGGAGCAGGTGCAGAGGCTGGGCCAAAACCTCAGCTCCACCGGAGGAACCAGGAAGGTAGAGTGAGCCAAGGTGGGCCAGGACTGGAGCAGAGTGGTCTTCAGGCCTCAGCCAACTCTAGGGATGCCATTTACCTAGAACACAAGGTAAATGTGCCCCTAGAGGTGGGACATGAGGTGGCCTAAGAACACAGGTGGGGGACGGGGACTGACAGGCCCACCTCCCAGGATCAATGGCCCAGCTCACCTGAGGAGTCCTCAGAGCGAAGGGTCTTCTTGGCCACTTCAGCCAGTGCTCCAAAGCCCAGACCCACAGCCAGACCTGCAAGGAAGAGGTGGAGGGCACTGGGTATTTGCATGGGAGTGGGGCTGCTGCCTACTGGCCTCCACCCACACGCCCCCCAACCCCACACACAACTTAGCTTCTCAAGGACCTTCACTTCAAGGACACTCCAGACCTTCCTCACCCAAGGACATGCTTAGAGCAGGTGCAGAGTGGGAAGAGGGAGAGAGAGGGAGAAAAGGGAGGAACATTGATGCGAAAGAAATATCGATGCACCCTGACTGGGGATCAAACCTTAACCCAGGTATGTGCCCTGACCAGGAACTGATCCAGCAACTCTTTGGTTCACAGGATGATGCTCAACATGAAAAGGGAGACAAAAAGGTAGGGGATACACATCTGTTGTTTTCAGAGATATGGCAGATGTTTCCTCATGTACAGGCTCACAGGACACACAAACACACTCCAAGACAGTGTACCACTGGAAAACATACTGGGAGGACCCAGCACAATGGAAGGTGGAACAAAAATGGGGCACGCCCTTGGAACACAGCCACCTACTGCAAAAGTCTAGCAGAAGAGCCTCCAGTTCTCTAAAATTCTCTAATTTAGTTCATGCAACAAGGAAGGAAAGGCCTCACTACAATGATATAAATCAATCACGGGAGTGAGTCAGAACATTTTGCAAAAGCAAAAGGTCAGGGTCCCCAATGCAAGGTGGGGTACTCACAGGAACTCAGGCTGCAGCCTTCATTCAGGCACTGACAGTGGTCTCAGGACATGTGGGTCCCAGCCCTCCCTCTTCCTTTATGCAATCTTTTAAATCAAAGTTAATTAATGCTTCATTTATCCAGAAGTAGGAAAGTGGATGATCCCAACTACCCAGGAGAGGCCAGAGGAGCCCAGCAGGTGTCACGAAGGCCACACAGAAAGCCCAGGAGCCTGGTTTGGAGCCTATTACCTCCACTTTCTACACAGTTCTAGCTGGACGGGGAGGTAGGGGCAGGAGGCACACATTAGCAGAGAGAGAATGAAGAACATGTAGCTGGGCACACCGACCACAGAAGAAGGGGCAGCACAGACCCTGGGAAGACACTAAAGGCTTCCATAAGGCCAGTGGGCCTGGAGAGCACAGCCTGGGGGGTTGGGAGGCTGAGGGAGCAGCAGCCCCCACATCCAGAGGGGACGGACTCATACTGGGTGCTCTAACTAGCAGGCAAGGAAACCTGTACATATCTTCTAAATTTTCTACAATGATTATCTATTACTTTTATAAAAAACAAAAGTTCCTGCCTCATAGGTCATTGTGAAGGTTAAACAACTGAATAAAAGTAAAGTACTTCCAACAGGGCCTGGCACATGGTGCTGCTATAAAAGTGTTTGCTATTATTATAATTTCTCCTATTCAAAATGGTTAGACCAGTACTATCCAAAGAAATACCAGGCCAGTCACATATATAATTAAAAAACAAAAACAAAAGCAGCGTGTGAAATGAATTCTAATCATATATTTTCTTTAACCCAGTATATCCAAAATATTACCATTTCAACAAATAATTAAAAAGTATTAGAGATATTATATTTTTTTGTACTGTCTTCAAAACCCAGTGTGTATTTTACCCTGAGCATGTCTCAGTTTGGACTAGCCACATTTCAAGTGCTCAACACCCATGTGGCTAGTGGCTGCAGCAAGGGAGAGTACAGGGGCACAAAAAACCAAACTCTGGCAACCACAGAAAGAAGCCAGTCATCTGGAAATGGCCCTCAGGGTAACCCCAAGGCCCACCAAGGACAACTTGATGTGCTGGCATGTAGGTGCCAGGATTTGTTTTCTCTCTGGAGGTCACTGGACACAGAGCTGGGAGCTGTGTCTCCAATTAAACATTAACTTCTCCTGCCCACCTCCACCCCACCCATCACAACTATCTGATTCAGAAAAATAAATGATAATATTAACCTTCAAACTCTAGCAAGTGTCACCGATGTCTCTCTGCATCTAGATTTTTCTTTGCCTAGATCAAGTCCAAAGACAAACCTACAAGAGGCAGATGGCATCAGAGATTATCCAGCCTGGCCACTGGCAACAGATACCACAGGTGTGGGGGGTAGGGGGGGTGCTAAGACCCTCTTTCTGCAGGCAGAGGCACCTCCCAGCTCCTTCTGCTGGGCCCCCCTCAGATGCTTTGTCATACTGTTCTCTGGACATCTCTAGGCTACAGGTCAGAGCCAAAGCTCTCCAAAGCCAAGACTCTGTCATTAAATCATTAAACAAAAGAACATTCTGCATAGGAGGCCTCAGGCTCCTCCTGTGTCCCTGGACAAGCTCCCTCAGGACAAGCCCAGGGCCAGGCCCAAAGTGCTATCAACAGACAGGTTCCCCAGGAAGGCCCGCCCAGGTAGTGAAAGCAGGCCCAGCCAGCCCAGTAGCCCTGACCTTGGCCCCTACTCTAATGAACTGGGAAAAAACTGCCTCTCCCACTATCCCCAACCCATGCAAGCTTAAAGTGATTCCCAGAACTTTGCTGAGAGAGAAGGGCAGAATCCAATTGGATTCTTTCTTCTCTCAGAACTGGGTGGCACCTGGAGACAATTACTGGAAGATCATGCCTCTGGATTCACCAGGTCCTGGTGAGAACACCTCAGAGCCCACTCGCTCACTCTGTCACCTGTGGCCCATTGGCCCCACATCAGCACCCTGAAGCCCTCAGAATGACACACCCCTCCATTTTCTGATCCATACTCAGGCCCAGCATAGCTACAGTCTGCTAGGAGTCCTGGAAAAAACCAGCCATGGAACCTGCTCTGCAGCCCCCACAGCCTGGCCTCCATCCTAGCCTGTGAGAAGGTGACAACACCTTCTAAGAAAGTTGCTGACATTTCCCATTTCCCTCACAAATGGAGGATTTACAGTCAAGAATCAGGAAGGGGGGGGGGGGGCGGGCAGGGCTCTCCCCTAGGCAGGAGTTCACCGGGCCAGCTTCCCAGGCTAGAGGCCTGTTCATGTGATCTGGGAGCCTAAGCCCACAACCTGGCCCCTGCCTCCCTGAAGTCCCTCCGGAGGTCATCAGAGCCAAACGCGGCCCTTCCTGGAGCAGCCACTGGGCTTCTGCCCAGACAGGCACCAGGGACTAAGAAAAGGAAAAAATAAAACACCTTCTAACAAACAGCACCTTTAGTAAGGAGGCTTGGGGAACTCCAGGCATGTTAACTGACAAAGCTCAGGGAGTTTCTGTGCCACAGCAGGGGGCAAATGAACAGTTATAAATGAGAGGACCACCAGGGCACCCACACAGCATGCACTGTGCACCAGACATCTCAGCCCTCTCTTTATTAGCACATCTAACAATCTGGAGCTCACAAGAAAGTCCACACAGGAAAGGCATTGGGCAAGAATACTGTCTTCTGCTTCCAGGTGTTCCTGAATCCTTAGTAATTCAGTCCACTTTCTCTGCCGTCACCTGCACCCTCCACACCACCCCCAACCCTTGGAGAAGAGAGGCCCTTGGGAGGGGCTGCACCCCACAGCACAAGAGGAAGGGAAACAGGAAGGAGCGATGGAAGAAGCTCCACGTGTTCTCCCAGGTTCTCTGGAGCTGGCCCTCCATGCTCAGAACTGGGCCACTGGGGTAGGGAAAAACCTTACAAGGCCCCTCTGCTGGCTGCAGGAGACAGGGGACTAACTATAAGCAGCAGGCTCAGACTGCCACTTGAGAGAGGCCTCCTAGGCTCTAGTCCCAATGCTGTCACAAAAAAGCATTTGGGCCCTGGCCGGTTTGGCTCAGCGGTTAGAGCGTCGGCCTGCGGTCCTGAGAGACCCGGGTTTGGTTCCCGCTAAGGGCGCATACCTCGGTTGCAGTTTGTCCCCGGCCCTGGTGGGTCGTGCGGGTGGCAGCCACTCAATGTGTTCCTTTCACATCGATGTTTCTCTCTCTCTCTCTGTTCCTCTCTCTCCCTCCCACTCTATCTGAACAACAACAAAAAAAAGCATTTGGGCCTGGGCTACTGAAGACAATGGCTCAGCTTCCTCATCTATAACTGAAGATAACTACTGCCCTAATCTCCCTAAGAGCTTCTAAGAAAGAAAAAGAGACAAACCCCTTTTAAGTTTGCTCCTGATAAAGCAGAAAACCTGCTCCCACACCCCTGCCAAGGGCATGAACTTCTCTTGGTCCTACAGTGTACCTTTCTGGCTGCCTGAGAGAGCACCTGGGTGAGCTCTGGGTACAGGAGGAAAAACCTGTAGAGCATGTACCCTCAGGAAATCAGGCGATGAAACTGGTGTCACTATGTGCCATCCCACAAGGGGAAGCCAGGGCAAAGCTGGCCTGGGACACAGCCCCTGTCAACCCCGGAACCTCTAGCCTCCACAACCTCAATGAAGATCAACTGCCCTATTGGTCTATGTTTGGGGGTGGGGGTGGGGGTGAGCCTGACTTTAGACGTGTCAACAAAGGGCATCACGCCAGGAGGTCAGAGCATATAATGCTGCTACAGGAGGTATAAACACTCTTGCCCTTACGCCCTGACACCCCTGTCCCAGCCCAAGGGTCCAATGGAATCACTACTACAGGATGCCTGCAAGACCTGTCATCAACCCTCCCAAGGAAAAAAAAATTAAATAAATTTTAATTTGTGTGTGTGTGTGTATAAAAGAAGAAGACAGCCAGCCATCAGTATTAGAACTCACACGTGGGTCCAGCTCCCAGAGCACAGAGCTGAATGATGAATAGAATGTGGTTTCCAAAAGAGAAGAGGCAGCAGAGAACAGTATATATGATGGACAGTACATGGAAAGGGAGACATATAAACCAGCCCAAGCAGAGGAAAAAGCAGGTAGACTTCTGATCGTGAGTATTCATGACCACTCAGCACAGGCATCATCGCGAACCAATTAGACCTCTGTTATGTACAGCCTTACAAATAACCAACTGCCCAAGGTTCATATGTGAATTGAGTTTATTAATTGTACTTTCTGGAGAACCCACCGAAGACAGCCAAGCTTTAGAGAAACGTGCTTCTAATCACTCTGTCAAAAAGTATACCATTACAAAGAAGATGGTGCTTTCAATAGGAATATCTTAGTAAATAAGCAATAGATGTGACAAGATGGTATCATAAAGGTAGACACAACTGCTATAAATCTTCATTATAAAATGGTCCTTCAACTCTAAGAGCACGTGTGTTGGGCACAATGGTTACTCAAACCCCAAAAGAAAAGGACAAATAAAGCCCACATCTCTACAGCATCTTAAAATGGACTTTAAATGACAGCAGCTCAGGGCCTCAGCACCTCATCATTACTGACGCCCGGCAGGCCTGTGGAAATCCAGTAAATGGTTCCCCAAACAGCTGGTCCCTGAGACAGAAACCACTCTGTCTAGGAGCCACATGGGCCCAGTGAGGGACTTCTACCCACTATACGGCCTCCTTCCTGCAGAGGCCTCCACAGGGGCTGGGGGCAGGAGAGGCAGGCTGGCTGGCTGACTGAGGTAGTAGGAAAAGCTGATGCTGCAGACACTGCCCCCCGCCCCGGAAGTGCGGCCTGAGAAGCAAAGCTGCAGCTCACAGCATGGCATCAGCCATACCAACCCCTATGGGTAAGCTGAGGCAGACTGGAATGCAGTAACTGCATCATCCACCCATGGGAAATATCCAGAAACAACTACCACACTCCCCAGGACACCTGTTGGCCTCAGGGGAGCCCCAAAGCCCCACTCAGCCAGGACTGGCACGCCAGAGCATGTGAGGCACAGCCATCTTACCTCCAAAGTTGGCCAGCCGCCCAATCCGTGTAACTGGCACCTTCCGCTCCCGAGCCCTCTCACTGAGCTAGAGGGAGAACAGAAAGACTTCAGGGAATCACCGAACAGGGACAGAACCAGCCTTCAGGGGTTCATGCTGCCCTCCACATCCCCTCTCCATAACCAAAGGCAGCAGCTCTGCCTGGCAGCACACTCTACTAAGAAGAGGCCTTCATGTTCCCAAAAACTTCAGACCATACCATCCCTGGAGGAAGCCTGATATCAGCACCACTATGGAAACCACCCCACAGGGCTCACTCCAGGGGACCCTCCCAGACGCACCATCTGCTTGTGAGGCTTGCTCTCAGGGCGAGCCTTGGCCTGCCGAGCCTTCTCAATGTCCTCAGCTGTAAGGCCCCCCACGGGGGACTGGTCCTGGTGGAAGAACCTTCGCTGAAGGCCATTGGGAGAGAAAGGGGCTCTGCTGTCTACAAAGAGCCTCCCATTCACCCTGCCCCGAGGAGAGCCAGTCTGGCCTGGGAGCCCGGCTTCCCTAAAGGGTCCGCTGTCAACATAGGCAGGAGCTGGGCCCTTGCTGCCAGCATGATCCTGGGGTGGAGATGAGGACTGGTCCTGGGAGGAGGCTGCAGAGAAGTCTGCAGAGGTTCCGTCACCCCTTGGCCCTGAGAAGTGGAACTCTGATTCTGGGTCGTCAAAGCTCTCAGCAATGTAAGGTTCTTCGTGCTTCTCCTGCTCCTACAGGGAACAAAAGCTGGAGTGAGAGGAGCAAGAGGCAGTCCCCACTGTGTCCATCCCTCTCTGCACAAGACAGCACACCACCGTCCTCCAGTCCTCCAGAGGGTAACACCACGTTACTCCTGTGGCCTGGGGTCAGTTCTGGAGATGAGCAGCACCCTACCAGCCCAAGAGCCAAGAGACCTGGATTCCAGCCCTGCTTTTGCCAGGGCTCTACTATGTGGTCCCAGGCAAGCCACATGGTCACTGAGAACATGCTGGGTGCCCAACCTGTACCGGGCGAGTGACCACCACTCCCAGCATGTTCCTCACCTATTAACTGGGGCTAAGAGGGTGAACCAGGGCAAGAGACAGGAGATCTTTGAGAAGTCAAAGCATAATTACAGACCAGCAAGGGCAGCGTGCAGACAGGGACACCCCACCATTCCAGACCAGTGCCTCACCAGACACAGCTCCACCAGTCAGCCATAGCATGCCTTTAAGAGGCTCTCACTAGACAACTTGACATAACCAGGTCGGGCCTGACTGTCCTTGGGAGTTGGGGGGTAATGTTTTCCTTGTAACAACTGCCAAGACCTAACCTTTGGGCCCAAGGTTCTACTTTAGAACCCTGAGTGACTCGGAGTGAGATCTTGACCTTTCTCTACTTCCTCATCTTAAAATAGGACTCCCCAGTCACAGAGTTATGTGGAGGCCACAGACAGGGCCAGGGGAACAGTGTTGAGGAGGCTATAATTGGAACAGCACTGACTCCTAAAGTGAGGTCAGTGGCCTGGATTCCCTGTTCCACTGAAATGGATTCAATGCACACAGTGCTGCCTGCGGCTCTGCAGACACAGCAGTAGATCCACAGCCTTCTCACTCTCAGCTTTATACTGTGCTTGCTTCCAGTCAAAGGAAAGAGACTTCGCTATGACTCTCACTGCACAAATGGGAAACTCAGGCTGAGCGCTGAAGTATCGGGTAAAGGCCCACCAGCCAGCCAGTGGCAGAGCAGGGACCCCAAGCCAGGTTTGCCCTGCTGGCCAACCAACAGCACTTTTCTCAGAGCAGAAATAAATTGTACTAGATTCTCCAGGCACCTCTCAAGATGGCTGGGAAGCCCGGGGGTGAGGGGACTGAGGGAGGGTCCCTGAGAGCCACAGCAGAAGCTCCTCCTTCTGCCCCCGAACTCCTGTCATGGCTGCCTGGCCCTTTATTCCTATAATCCTGTTTATGTGGCTCTGAGGCCCCATGGGCAGCAAAGGGGCCTCAGTGTCTCAACGGGACCAGACTTAGTGTCTGCTGAATGAAGAATTGAACAAGTCCCGGGAGGAGCTGGAAGGAGAGGTTTCTGGAATATCTGGCCCTCCATCCCTTCAGAGAGAAGAGAGGCACAGGAATCTAAGTGTTGAGGGAGAGAATGGGAGCACAGTAGAGGCCACTGTCCCACTAAATGTCTCCCTCATGGAGGGACAGTCCCTCCCTCCTATCTCCAAGTGGCTGTCTAGGGGATGGCCCTACCTGTTCCAGAGTCCTGGGCATGTCTGTCTGAGGAGAGAGAGAAGCAGGAAGGAGACTGGGCAGGAGGCCCCTCTCGCCTCTCATGAAGGCCTGACCAGGTCTCCCATGCTGTCTCACTCCCAGGCACCAGTGAGTTGGGCAACTGCACCTCCTGAGTGCTCCACAAGTAAAACATTCAAGAGAAATGCAACGGCTCCTCACTAGAAAAGGCACTAAGTAAAGTAGCCAGAGCCACAGCCCAGCTTCAACAGAGGCAGGGAGTCTTACACTGGGAAGAGGACACACAAATCTGATCCTGTCACTTAATAATCAAGGAACTCACATCAAACTTCTTAGTCTGTTTCCCCATCTGAGAAAGGGGGTAAGCATCTAGGTCTGCCTCCTTTTCCAGGACAGCTGTGAGGCTCAGATGAGGTCACAGGTGTGAAGACTTCTAGATGTTAAAGGCATTTGTGTAGGGTGAGAGACAGTCACATATTGCCATTGAACCCTAGAGAACAGCAGAGGAGGGGCTGTGAATCTGAAAACTAAGACTAACTAGAAGCCTGCAGGCTGTGATGGTCTCAGTCTAGAGGAATGTGAGTATCCTTCATCCAGAAGGTCAGCCAACCAGAGAGAGACATGGAAGGAGAGAGGTGGCAAGGCACCCTCTGCAACATAACTCCCCACACATGTGCCCATGCACATGCCTGTACACAGCCTTCCCATCCCCTTGGACTTTTGAGAATAGTGGGCAGTGTTACATCATGGTGAACAGCCCTCTGCTATATCAAACCCTGTTTATATCACCTCTCCAGCACTCATTTTTTGCTTAAAACCTTCCCCTTGAATGGTAACATGCAGAGGCTCTCTGGACCATGGCACAAAAGACAGCATGAGAGAGGAGTGAGAGGAAGACGGGAGGTGAAGCTGTCCTCAGCTTTCACCCAGGAAAGGAGCACAGTCCCACAATCAGGACCCAAAGACCCACAGAAAAATGAAGTAGACATAGTGGGAAAAGACTTCGAAACCTGAGGAAGCCCAACTGACACACAGGCTCTTTTGGCAGCTCCATGCTGAGGTGTGATATCCAATCAAACACATTTCCCAGCCTGGCCGTGACGCCACTGAGCCCAGACAGTGGGTAGCTTCCATCATTTCTCTACAGAAATCAATCCAACAAAAAAACACTAATAAAAATCAGATAAACAGAGGTGTTTAATCTTATTAAAAAACACTTGCTATAGTGAAGGAAGCATGCAGGGCTCCTTTCAGCTGCTCCCATAGAACACAGGCAAGTGTTATTTCTCTGTGAGTTTTTTCTCTCTTCAGTACCTCAATTCAGGCCCAGAAACTAGGAATAGACCAGGCAGAGAGAGCAAGCCGGGTCAGCTGTGATCCCCGGCAGGATAAAGCCTGGTCTCTCCCCTTAGCTTGGCACCCCATGCTTGGCATCACCCAGTGAATGCCAGTGAATTACTAGTGTAATGAGTGTGCTTGCTGCTGGGGGTTGTTCTCAGCTCTGTGAAGCTTCCTTTAACTAAAACTTGAGTCACCTAGGAGCCTCACAGAGGACCCTGCTCCACCTGGAAGGATAGTGGGTTACATTACCAGTGGGCTCTCTGGCCCTGGCCACAAGGAGACCAGCCACCATGGCTTGTCCTGGTCTCACCAAGAGCTCCAAGTCCAGCTTCCCTCCCACTGGCACCCCTCCTGGACCAGCTCCCTTACCTGCACTGTCCCCAAGAACATGCTGATCTGCTCCGTAGCTGTGGATTGTAGGGCCCTGGCCGCCATGATGAGCTCCCCGCCGAGGCCCAAGTGCTGCAGTTGGGTTTCCACAGCTGCCTCAGTCAGCTTGGCAAGGCCTTTGAGCACCATGATGGCATCCCCCAACATGGCAGCCATCCTTCAGGGCTGGAAGAAAGTAGGCCAAGTCAGGACAGGGAGACGCCATACCTCATATGGGATCACACTCACATTGTTCAACTCCACCCCAAACTCCAGGCAGAAGGTTACTGGTTTCCACTGACCTCCCTTTTGATCCAAACTGACAGAGAAAAGAGATAGAGGAAGGGCCCAGGGCTCAAGGTCAGCTCTGGGCGACTCCCTGCACTGCAGGGCACTGAGCAGAATGCAAGGCTCCAAGGGGTCAGGGCTGTGATCCAGTTATTTCCTCACCAAGGCTTCACAGCCACCCTATGAAACGTCCTAAGAGACACAGAGAGGTAAAGTGATTTGCCTAAAGTCTTCTAGCCACTAAGTGGCAAAATCAGGACTCAGATAGAGTGTACTGACTTAGTCCAGGGCTCTTTCCTATGGCCCAAACTTGTAGGCTGGGGAGGGAGCACCTGTTCCCGAAGCAGTTCCCTGCAGGCCTGGGGCCCCATCCTGAACCCCTCAGAGGCTGCCTGTCCCTGCCCAGCTGCTCTCACTCCATTCAGTGAAGCCTCTGACAGACACCACAGACCGAGGGACAACCAGAGCCCCTGCCCCTCAGACTCAATGATTCACCAAGCCAGTGTTTTCCAACTGCAGTCCAGACCACAGTGCAATCCATTTGGAAAATCCTAACCAGTATTAAAATGCAACGACATGATGTGAACAGAAAAGGAAATGTCAAAGGTACTATGGGTAGGATTGTCTTATGAAACATGTTTCCCTTGTATGTATGCGTGAGCTTCTCTCTTTTTTCTCTACTTAGTCACAGTCTAAAATGTATTTCTTAATGTAGGTGAGGCTCAAAGAGGCTGAAAATCACTGTACACAGTCCTCATAGGGAGGGGAGTGTGCTGTCAATCACCCAAGTATTTCTTTTATTTATTTATTTAATATTTATTTTATTTTTGTTACAGATGTTTCTCCTTTTTTACCCCATTGACATCCTCCTCCCCATCACCCCACCCCATCCCCGGCTTTGTTGTCCATGTCCATTGGTTATGCGTACATGCATATAAGTTCTGTGGTTTATCTCTTCCCTCCCCCCCCACCCCCTCTCCTGAGAGTTATCAGTCTGTACCCTATTTCCACGTCTCTGGGTCTACCCTCTTCCTCAGACTGTTATGATCATTATATTCCGTATGTAAGTGAGATCAGGTGGTGTTTGTCTTTCTCTGCGCCCAAGTATTTCCTAAGGCCTGCTAGGGGCTGTGTGCTGGGAGAGGTAAGATAGGTCCTGTTAACAAACTCGGGCTGGAAAAAAACCACAAAAAGGAAAGATACAGAAGGATACCCCACTTAAGGTACACTCTGGACAGGGCAGGGAAGAGCTGGGATCTGCTAAGTCTCAGAGATAAGACAGAAACCAGAGAGGAGATGGGCATGGGCTGCAGGAACTGCAGGCAGGAGACCTGCATCAACAGGCACGTGGAGGCTGAGAAGGGCAGGATACACCCTGGATGCAGGAAGTGGGAAGGCAGGAAAGAGAGCCGGTCACAGAGACACCTCATGGATTCCCTCTTCTCATCACTAATTAACAGAAGCACACACTGGAAGGTCAGGTAAGAGCACTGACTAGCACCTCAACCAGAACTCCGGGCACTTCTGAAGACTGCAGGCAGGCTCGCTCCTTCCTGCCCTTCACAGGGGAACAGCCCCAGTCAGCCCAAGTTTCCTGCAAGGATCAGCTCTGCTCCTGAGCGGGGTATACAGTTGCTTTTACTTAAAAGGAAAATTGTAGTGATAGCCAGAGAAACCCACTAATGCACAGGAGCCCTGGAAAGCTGAGCTGACCCACCATAGCCTGCCCTTGGGAACACCTTCACCTTCATATGAAAATAGCTACCAGGCACTGAGCTGGGTGCTTTTCACATTTCATCTCCTTTTAATCTTTATTAACAACTAAATGACATGGATATTACTGCCCCCATTTCAAAGGCAGAAAAGCAAAGCCAGAGAGTTTAACTAATTGGTGGAGGTCATTCAGCTTCTGAATGGTAGCCTTGGGGCCTGATCCCGGCCGTTGTGTGCTCTGTGCCCACCACTCCATGCTGCCTCCTCAAATGCTTGGCCTATGAGTCTGAGGCATCCTCACAGGAAGAGGGCACTGCTGAGGCACAAATGGACTACGAGCACCCTAACTAAAACCAAGGAGAGTTTTTAGAAGGTGGCCGTACCCTTGAAAGAGACAGCAGAATAAGGTAGGATGGCTAGCCCAGCCCATCACCTGGTGCCATTTCACATCCCAGGCTTCCTCTGGGCTCCTGCACTTGATGACTATAATAAACAAGGGTGAACTCCACATACATTCTCCACTGTCCGGGACTGGGAAGAGATCACATAATCAGAGATCTAATGCAACTGGTGCCAGCTCTCAACAACTCCCCAGCCTCTGACCCCACCCCCAACACACACAGGAACACTATAAAGTGTGTTTGGGGGGGGGGGGGGGCGTGCATCAAAGCCCATAGACTCCAGTGAGGGAGGAGCTTTCTGAAAGAGACATCAGGGACATGCAATGGTGGAGGCAGGGCCCCAGCCACATCTTGTCAGAAAGACCCTTGCTGGTAGCCTCAGGACCATACACCATACCCCACTGCCCCAGGGGACCCCAGAAACAGGCCTTCCCTTTGCTAAACTCTGAATCCAATCCAGATAAGCAAGGCAGTGGTCTCCCATTGGATACAAACTCCAACAATTCCAAAACCTCACCTTGTCTAAATCATGTCAAATCTTCCCTAAAACTTCCTAAGACCTATTAATTCAGACTTTGTTTTCAGGCTTAAAACTAATCTTCCTGAATTTCTCATCCTAATCATCAAAACCACGCACTAAAATTTCACTAGAGCAAAGCTGCTAAGTGCCATTAGGGTTTTTTGTTTGTTTCTGGCCCATTTCCCCTACTCTAGCTTGAATGGCCCACTGCACCAATGACAGTTCAATTTGAAAAATCCATTTCCTGTCCCGCACACTGCAGGAACAGGGCTGGAACCCACCCAAGTCCATTCCTAAATCTTCCAGTTTCTAAGCATGTCAGCACTGAGCACAGCTCCATGACAGGCTGGAATTGCACCTACTTTACACTGACACTTTTTAAAAAAAGAAAAAGTCATGAGCACACCCTGGCCGGTTTGGCATTTGGAGCGTTGGCCCAGGGACCAAAGAGTCTCGGGTTCGATTCCCGTCAGGGCATGTACCTCGGTTGTACTGTAGTTCAGTCCCTGGCCCTGGTTGGGTTGTGCGGGAGGCAGCCAATAGATGTCTCTCTCTCACATAAATGTTTCTCTCTCCCTCCCTCCCTCCCTTCCACTCTATCTGAAAAATATCCTCGGTGAGGATTTTTAAAAAAGTCATAAGAGGAAAAAATGTTAAATAAATTGACCACATTTTTTTTTTAAGTCCTACATTGGGGAAATATGAGTAACAGTGGTCTCTTTCAGTATCTTCCTAACTGTATTTTCCTAACTTTTTAGTTCACATATCCTACTTTCAAATGGCAAATAAGTAAGTCATCTAAAAAAATACTACACATTAAAAAGTAATGTTATGGCCCTGGCCAGTTTGGCTAAGTGGTTAGAGAGTCGGCCTTTGGACCGAAGGGTTGCAAATTCAATCCCTGGCCCCAGTCTGGGTTGTGCAGGAGGCAACCAATTGATGTGTCTTTGTCTCTGTCTCTCTCTCTCTCTCTTTTTCTTTCCCTTCCACTCTCCCTAAAAATCAATGAAAAAATATCCTCAAGTGAGGATTAGAAAAAAAAAAAAGTAATGGTTTGCCTTTCTTCTGCCTAGGCAGTTGTGCCTTCACACCCAGTGAACTAACTCACAATGGGCACCACTCTCACCCTAGACAGTGGGCACCATTGGGAGGAAGATAATTAGACCATCTCTTCTGGAAGAAGACCCAGGTGGAAATAACATCACAGAAATATACCTTCCAATTTACTGTGACCCAACCCGCTTGTCTCAAATCAACAGGTGTTGCTAATAAACAGCCTATCATTCGTGAGTAGATCCACATGTAGATGTATAGTTCAAAACCACAGCCTGTGCCCATACCCCTCGGACAAAATTATTTATCTAATGTGCTAGGGCTGTACCCAAACCTCCCACACGATGCTCTGCTCAAAGTGAATTGTTGACACTCTAATCAATACCAGTTTTTTTGTTTGCTTGTTTGTTTTGCAAAGGAGTGTCTACCCTCAAAAAAGCAGGGAGCGGGAAGGGGAACAACTGCCAGAAGGAAATATCTTTCCAGAATTTTTCTCACCTTCTCATTTTTAAAGATTGGGTCTCACAAACCCTACTTCTCATGCCAAAATCCCAACGTGACTCAGAATTCGGCTATCCGGAATTTGGGTGGAAAGCCCATCCAGGAATGCACAAGAACCAGGCACCAAGCTGCACCAGGATCTTCCATCATGCTCTTAAATAAAATGGAAAGCTCCCTAAACACATTTCCTACACAAATTAAAAACCTTATCCTCACCACGATTTCATCTACAAGTATTAGAGCCCTCACCCCACCCCACTGCATCCTCCTGGTCCTCAAATGGGTTTTCAAGACATAGCCTGGGAGTGACACAGGCATGGCGTGTTCAGGTTCTGCCTACTTGGCAGCATGTGTCCCAGAGGCCTCAGTGCCTACCTGCTCTTCTTGAAAGCCCAAAGTACAGGGTGAGCATAAACAAGTAAAGTGGGGGTAGAGGATGGGTACTCACATTTGGGAGTGCCTACAAGGTACCAGCACCAAAATATAGTCATTTAGTCATTTGTTGAACACATTCACTAGCGTCTCCTCCTGGTACTCTGGGCCAGTCTGTGCAGGTCCAGGATGAACCTGCCCTTGGCCCTGGGGTGCTCATAGCTGGAGTGGCATGCAGGCACATCTATAATGGGCACAGACACCAGGGAAACGTCCAGAAGCCAACTGAGGCTCTCATGCCAGGATTAGGAAGTAGCTGACCAGTGGAGAAGACTATC